AAACTGTTGTGTGTGAGATTGAAAGAATTATAAAAAACGATAACTTCATATCGTCACTTGACTCAGTTCGGAAATATATGATACATGTATTCAGAATCCCACTCACCGTGAAACTAAGAGATTCTGGATAGGATCCTTTGTGATTGTACGTGATTCTATGATTATAATTTATTGGGGATAACTTTTAAAATTTGTAAACTGAATAACAATGATCTAGATATATCTTCTAATCACCTAATACAGTAATCGGATCATTTAGATTTTTTTTAGGAAAAATGACAACTAATAGAGTTCAAGATAATGTTGTTTGGTAGTCAGTAATCAGTCAATAATTTCTAGACTCTGTTAGACGACAATATCCTTCGGTGTATCTAACTTCGAACAATTACAGATGAATAACACAGATCTGCCTATTTCATAAAACAATAACAATAAATGACACTGAATAATCCGAATTCATTTGTACTTCATATTTTCTCATCAACTGTTTACAACCATATTCATCTTTCATCCACTTTAAAACTACTTGTTTTCCACGCACTTGTTTCTTAAATTTATGTAAACTCTTCAAATCTTCATTAACTATTACCATTAAGATATTAAAAGACAAATTGAGCTAAGAAATACTTCTACTCAATAGGTTATTTATCAGTACTATACACTAATAGGTAGATTCTTCAAATGAGTAGAAAGTCAATATCAAGTAGATGATGGTGAGTCAGTTGAACAATATAATAATCAGTTAGTTACATAGAGTTTAGAAAGTTAAAATTAAAACTAAGTTGAGTTTTCATAGTCAGTTAATTATTATTAAGTAGTTACATAAAATTAGGAATAAAATTTTAAATTGGATGTAAATATGTCAAGTATTTGAACGAGAAATATTCTTTTCGATCAATTCTCTTCAGGTTCTACAATTCATATATATCCAAATTAATAATCCGAAAATATGGTCAGGTTAAAGGCCTCTTACAGCTTCCTCGAGTTCACCGGTGGTCCGTCGTCACAATATATCCTTTAAAGTATGTGAATTTAGGATTGTTAAACAAAATACAATAAAATGGTTAATGTTGATATAAATCAGATTACGATTAATTAATTGGCCTTGATGTTGGCCGGGGGAGAAGGAGTGGTTGAAGATATTTATTCTTTATGCATAGCTCCGGTTTTTTCATCCAGATGGCTACTGCTTCAGTCGTTTAAAGGACTTTAAGTCTGACAAGTTTTAGCAAAAATTACTGACCTTATAAATAAATGAAAAAGATTGGTTTATACTGACACTATGACCAGTTTGTACTAAATGGGCCAATATCGGGCTGTTGACTTTCTTCATCAAACCTTTGTTTAGCCACGCTGGGAAGTGTTCATGAACACGAAAATGTAAATTCCTAGGACTTCGATCAATATAACTAGCTCCGCAGGAGCAGTCGAACTGATAAATACAAAATGTGGTGGTCATTCTAGGTAATTCATCTTTTCCCCCCGGTGTCACCATTGGGCGCGTAGAAAACACTAATCGCAGTTCTCCGGCGTTAGAAGATTTTTGTATTGTCCTGCGTAATCTCTAGCCGCATCCCTTCTGAATTATAGACTCATGAACAGAGATTTCTTCTTCCCCGTTTCGCCTATTTTCACCTTTTAATATGATAGGGATCTTTAAACGATTAAAATATGTCAGAATGGGTTTTGTGGAGATTTTTAGAAATTTCACAGGTTGAAATCATGAGTCGATTGAAGCTAGACCACCATGGAAAACCTGGAAGCACTGGGCGGCCGTTCAGTTCTAGTATGGGACTCCTGAGCAGTGCGCATTCACGATCCTGCACCCCGCGGGGCTCGAACCCAGGATCTACTGGTTTCGCGCGCGAGCACTTAGCCATTAGACCACTGAGCCGGCATCCAACGGTGTTAATGTCTAATTTCAACCAATCCACGAAGTTGCGCCACCGTGAACCATTGCCTTCAGTGAGTTGTTATCTCACAACAGACCTGGTTGAACTCCACTGGCAACGACTTCTCACTAGAACTCCAGGAGTATTTTCCTGAAGTCAGTCACTAGTGAGCAGTTGATTATTTTCAGAATGGGTTTTGTGGAGATTTTTAGAAATTTCACAGGTTGAAATATGTCTTTCGTTATTTGTGAAATTAATGATTGACAAATAATTCCCTTTCTGATCACAATTGATTGATCATAGGGTGGTAATCAATGTCATGCTGGTCTAGTCCTTATTAGTGCAGATCGAATGCTATCGGTCATGTTGCAATGTGGCCACCAGTCTAGGTGACTCGACACTGCGGGCACTATGTATTGAGATTTAGATGGTGGTTGGAGGTAGTCAACAGGAAACCCTGGACTCGGGTTTCGTGCTACTTGGAACTCGTCAGCAAGGTGTACCTGTAATCTTGAGGGAACTGGTGCTCCCTGGCGGATTCTATCTCGTGTCACCCAGCTTCACAGTCAGAGACGTTACCACTGAGCTATCCGAGCCGCGACTAACCTCCTGTAGGACTGAGATGTAATCACAATTGATCGATCACTGGGTGGTGACCAATCTCATGCTTGTATAGTCCTTATTAGTGCAGATCTAATGCCCGCAGTGTCGAGTCACCTAGACTGGTGGCCACATTGCAACATGATCGATAGCATTCGATCTGCACTAAGAAGGACTAGACAAGCATGACATTGATCACCACCCAGTGATCAATCAATTGTGATTACATCTCAGTCCTACAGGAGGTTAGTCGCGGCTCGGATAGCTCTGACTGTGAAGCTGGGTGACACAAGATCGAATCCGCCAGGGAGCACCAGTTCCCTCAAGATTACAGGTACACCTTGCTGACGAGTGCCAAGTAGCACGAAACCCGGGTCCAGGGTTTCCTGTAGACCACCTCCAACCACCATCTAAATTCCCTTTCTGATTCTTAAAAACAAGAAGTTTAGTGAAGGGATCTCTTTTCAACGAGTTTATGATCATATACATGTCTAAGTATTAGTTCTATGAAGACATGTAAACAATGAATGAAAATGATGTAATAGAAAGATTATTTCACTAGATTACGTAATGTAATGACAGAATATTTGTAGGACAGGTGTAATGGAAACTAGATACAAAGATAATCGAAAATATTAAGTAAGATGAAAATTAAAAATTAATATGTTAACAAAATCAAAGTTTTGGAAATTTGAAAGGAAAAGAAAAAGATTTTTTAGTAAACGTTATAGTATCTAAGTGAAAGGTCGAGTTAAACTCTGAGGCTGTATAAACTTTTTTTCTGTAAACAGAAATTAGATTAGTAGATATAGATTTCTATAATTTCTGATATAGGTAAGCATTATTCATCTTACAGATAACATAAAACATTTGTATTTTAATTGTTGAATTCATGAGTCGATCTAAGCTAGACCACCAATGAGAATCTGGAAACACTGGACGGCCGTTTCGTCCTAGTATGGGACTCCTGAGCAGTGTTCATCCACGATAGCGCACTCGGGACTCAAACCCAGGATTTTCAACCTCTCACGCGAGCACTAAACCACTAGACCAGTGAGTCGGCATCCAACGGTGCTAACGTCTAACTTCAACCAATCCACGAAATTGAGCGACACATCCACCATTGTCTTCAGTGAGTTACTATCTCACAACAGACCTGGTTGAACTCTACGGGTCACTACTTCTCACTAGAAACCAGGAGGTCCTGGGTTCGAATCTCGCAGGGGGCGAGGTTGTAAGTGCACACCGCTGAGGAGTCCCACAATAGGACGAAACGGCCGTCCAGTGCTTCCACGTTTTCCATGGTGGTTTAGCTTAAACTGACTCATGATCTTAACCATTGATATTTATAATTGTTAAATATATCATCTGCGTGATCAAACAGAGAATATGGAATCATGTGAAAGATGAATTACACGAGATTCTTACTCTTGATGCAGACTGTATCTAAATTGTAAATTACAGGTTGATCGTTGGTAGTTGGTAGGAATATTTTTGATGGAGATTATAGTGGTATAGGTAAAAGAAATAGAAAAATTTCCTCACTCTTAGCAGTAACTGGGGATTTGAAGGTATTATGATTACTTACCAATTATTTTCAATTTAGTTTATGTGTACGAACTGATATTAACTGGAAACTCATTAAAAACCAACGAGAGCCCGACAGTTATTTTTTACAAACTTTGAACTCTTCAGGATTCGAGAAAATCAGAACGAAAACAACAATATATAAGAATGACATTCAAAAAGTGTAGCTCTATCGTATGAATGAACAGAATTTTCCAATTTTGATCCTTTGACTTTTGTAGTATGTTCACCTGACTGACGATCGTTAAACTGGCACTAAACACCTGTCTACTGATCACTTATTTTTAGTGGTTTCACAGTCTATATCATTTCTTGTGTTATTAAACTGAAATCAATAAACAACCTAGATCAAACATGTATTGATTGAGATCATGAACCGATTGATGTTAGACCACCTTTGGAAACCTGGAAGCACTGGACGGCCGTTTCGTTCTATTATGGGACTCCTCAGCAGTGCGCATCCACGATCCCGCACCCCGCGGGATTCGAACCCAGGGCATCCGGTCTCGCTGGCGAACGCTTAACTAACTGGACCACTAAGCCGACATCCAACGGTGTTAGTGCCTAACATCAACCAATCCACAAAATTGCGCGACCAACTTCCGTTGTACTGAGGTAGATACCTGTCTCTACCCGACATAGATTAGCTCCACTGGTCACGGCTTCTCACTAGAACTCCGAGAATTCCCTCACGAAGCTAGTCACTAGTGAGTACATGTTGATTACTAGTATAGGGGTTGTGGAGATTATTAAGTTTTTGATTGAGATGTAGGTTTCCAAAGGTGGTGATCAAACATCCATCGATTCATGACCTCAATCAAAAACTTAATAATCTCCACAACCCCTATATTAGATCAAATGGTTTTATCATACAAGCTTGAGTTAATAAGGAAAACTGAGAAACAAGTATATGTTATCTATTTTCTTAGTAATTTAAGCTTAAGTAAGACTAAAACGTTTATGCACCATGCTGCACAATATTGTTTTACAATATATCACTATCATGTTTAACAAAACAAATATATATGTCTGCACATTTATAATGAAACTGAAGAGACTAAGTGGAGTTTATTCATTTAGCTAATTAGTGCTCATGTAAAGGTAATTAATTTAGTGTAACAGACATACAATGATTAAATTTATATTGATCTACTTAAATATTGTGTGATATAATGATTTTAATTGGTTGACTAGGGCATGTGCCCCATTTATATATACATTCCTAGAATCAAGAAATACATTGATCATTTTAGTTTCTATTAGAGTAAAGTGTAATTCAGTGATTCTGATTCAATTTATATTTGTATTTTTATGTTAATCATTTAAATTTTTTCACAATATAATGAATATGTCATCGGGAACTTTTCATTTATCACCTTGTGCACCAATTACAAAGTTTTTCAAAGATAAATCTGTTAAAGAGGTTCGTGAAAACACATCACATATTAATGCACATTTGGTCAGTTTTAAAAGATGGTTACGTTCAATGCCACACCTTTCTTGTGCAGATGGTAAGTCACAATGGTGCTATTTTACTGTAATGATTTTTATCTAATTGAAGTACAGATAGCAGATATTAACTGTTTACCTTAAACGTTATTACAGTCATTCAAGATAATTTAAGTATATTGAGCAGGTTGAATAGTTGAACAAGATTTCCAAATGAATGAAAATTTAATCGGAATTGTGTTTAGACTAAGGGTTTATCATGCTCAGTTTTTAATTGTTGAATTTATGAGTCGATCTAAGCTAGATCATCATTGAAAATCTGGAAACACTGGACGGTCGTTTCGTCTTAGTATGAAACTCCTGAGCAGTGCTCATTCGCGATACCACACGCGGGAGTTTTTTCTATGCGAACGTCAATTGAAATCCAACCTCAGTGTTCCCTCATTTTGTAATAATTACAATCACAGTATACAATCGCAAGATGTATGTTTAAATGTTAAACAGTGTGAGATAGATTTTTAGCATTCTAATTTATAACAGTCTGTAATGGAAGATAAAATTTATAATTCACAAGAATGATTTAATCTTATCTTCTAAGACTTCACCAACAGTATAAACTGATTTTATTAGCCAATGAAAAATGTCGATCAAATGAAGAAATTGTAACAATTCCAATGTTTGAATTAGCCATGATGATGATGTCTGAAAATATAATGACAACGCTATATTTAGATCATATAGTTCCAGGAATCCAACACTGTCAATAATGAAATATCATCCAAGAGATCCATCTTGATAAATTAGTTATATTTTTTCTAGCTTGGAGATTGGGTAATAAAAATCGAAAGAATCCAAATTACAATTTATATATTACAACATAGAATTCTTTCTCATTTCTACAGTGTGTCCTACGTCTTTTTTAGATAATAATAAAATGTAAAATGAATAAATTAGTAACTAGTGTGATCTTAACAAAATGACAGAAAACCATCTCAAAGCTAATTAATAATAATCAAACGATAACTTATCATTTGGATGGTTCAGGATTAAAGTTGGGTTTCGTCATGGACTGCAATTAGTCAGTGTGGATCCTAGGGAGTTCGGGAAATTCATGAAATGTATTTACGGTGATTGTGGAGAAAATCCGTTGAATGAAGCAGTACTTTTTTCACTTGGATTAAGGATTTCGGCGAAGATCATGAAGACTGTATAGATGATAAAAGGCCAGAACGACTACTGACCTCCTGTGTTGATGAAAACATTAAATGTGTACGGTGCATTGTGCTTTCTGACTGTTGATTTGGTTTTTAGTTGGTCGCTAATGAACTGTATTGTTACCTCACATGATGGTGTTAAAGGAATCTCGTGAAGCGATCAACCTAATCAAAAATTTAATTTCTGAGAACTTTTGCTAATTTTTTGGACTTTAGAAAATACAGAGATAAGACAAGTGTAATCCAGAAGACGGGAAGTATTTTGGAAGGCAGAAGATTGACTTGTCTTAAATTTCATTACTATAACGTTCCTATGATGTCATTTTATAGACTTATATAAATATAATTCTATTCTGCTGATACATTTCGACTAATACATACATCAAGTACTGGAAGCTATTGCGAATTAAATCACAGAGTTATTACTGTTTTAATGGAATTAAGACAGAATTTGACTTTGTACGCGAATTCTGTAAATCTTTAAATAAAAACGTTTTCCAACTAAAGTGTATGTATGTAATATTAATGGTCATTGTTCATTAAGAATTTATTTATCATAGGATATACTGGAAAAAATTAATCGTACATATGTACTTAGAGTACTTACTTATGCTTATTACTCTCAATGAAACATAGGCCGCCTACCAGCATTCCTCCAACCCACTCGGTCATCGGCCTTCCTTCCTAGTTCTATCCAATTGTTGTTCATTCTTCTCATTTCTCGGAGTAATATATTCTTTCATCTTCCTCTCCTCCTTTGGCCTCAAGGATTCCAAGTTTAGGCTTGTCTTGTGGCGCAGTTGGGTGCTTTCTTCAATGTATATCCTATCCACATGTACTTAGAATAACTATATGACATTGAGGAAATGTAGACTTTCTGACAAAGAATAACATTTCTTCATCCTTATTATCTTACATTTCATCAGATTACTTTCTTTAGATTTTCAAAATCAATTTAGACTTGTATTTAGTAATTTCTACTAAAAAAAATGATTTAAACTAGATTTCAGTATTTCCTGTTATTTATTTAAGTATACTGATTGATTTTGTAAATAGTAAACATGTTCATGAATGAATAAATGCTCGTTTGAAACATAAGAAGCAATAATTATTGACCCCTGCTAAGATTATGGAACAGTATCTGTGAGAATTGTCATGTTAGAATGAATCACATGTTCAAAAGTTTTCAGTTTTTTTTTTATTGGTGATCTCATCAAAAATTAATTTGTAATGTAAATAGTTAAATTTTACAAATTTCTATATAACCCCATAATAAATATCTAATTATTCACTTGTTCAGTGAGTATTTCTTTAAATTTTATGTTGAGCGGTTAAGAAACTAATAATAATCCCATGTTTTTTTTTCAATAATGTCAATAATATAAAACTGATATATCTAATGAGACATTAATGAATTACTTGAATTGAAACAGGTGAGTATTGTATGTACAACCGATTTCATTGATGATAACACCAAGTAATTATTACTGTAGTGAACCGAACACAAGTGAGGACAACCGAATGTATTTGGCATAACATTACAGAGCATCTCAATAAAATCTGAGAACTATATATTAAATCGTTAGTTTGCAAAATGTCCACCAATTGTCTCAAAATATCACAGACTTCATTGTTCTTACATTTTTCATACAAATTGCAATATATACCCACTCTTGTTTTCTTGATCTTCTTTCATCTTCTGTTGCCAGACATTACTTTCTTGACTAGTATAATATACTACTTATATCAATATAAGTAGCACGCACCACATTACTACTATCATAATGAATGAACATTCAGATGGGGATAATTTATACAAAAATTACACAATATCTTCGTAAACTATGAGAACCATAGACTGATACTTCATTTGCAAATCTTCTATCATTTGTCTTTCACCTTCTGTATGATTCTTCAAGTTCACAATTCCTTTCTATTTTTTTCCTTTTATTCTGTTCAACTCGACCTTCTTAGCTTTCTACTTCCCGATTTCCACTTCGGATTGGTGTTACATACTACTAATGCCACATACTTACTACTTTAAAAGTAATAAGAAAAATCTTTTTTTACACATTTTGCATGTTTATAATAGATTTTATAGCAATTATGAAAATGTCAAGCTGTTAACTTTAACAAGAGACATGAACGGAATCTAAACACCATTTTGAGATCCCATAATGCTTGTGCCATTGGAGACTCTTTGATAAACACAGTGTTGAAGGTCAATTATCTTGATGTCACCTTTTCCTGTGATCTGTCTTGGTCTTTTCACGTTTTATTCTTATCAATGAAGGTTTTCCGTCTGACTTACTACATAAAGAAACTGCATGCTCTTGGGATTACTCGTCACTTACTCTCACAATTTATCAATTCTTGCATATTACCTATTATTCTTTACTGTTCTCCATGATTCTTTACCGGGCTTTTGAGAAAAGACTTTGCTGTATTGCGAAGAGTGCTGAAGGCAGTTAGCAAGATGTGTGGTGAATCTTACGAGGTCATAATCAATATTGTTGTGGATAGACATCTAAAGTCATGCAAACTTCTGGCAGGCGTTATCTTATCAGATACTAACCATCCCCTTCACTCATAACTTTCTCATTGTATATCTTCCGGTAGAATGAGACGTAATTACATTAAAATTCATGCACGCAAGCAAAAGTATAAAAGTTCTATAATACCTTACCTAGCAAATATATTCTGTGACGAACAGGTTGTTAGAGTTAACCTAGTCAATAACCTGCACTCTTAACATGTCTCTAATTTGGAAAGTTGGGCAGTTTTTCAGATTTTTTTAACCCTTGTTGCTTTCTTTTTTTGTCTTTGTTTTTTGTAAAAGAAACTTGTTGAGATATCTTGTGCTGAGATTTCTATATTGTACCAAAATATTATATTGAATAAAGCCATTAATAATAATAATGAAGATATTTAATTTATTTTTTTAATTGAGATCATCGATCAATGAGTAGTAGACCACCATTGAAAACCTAGAAACACTGGATTGTGGTTTTGTCCTTATATGGGACTCTGTAGTAGTGCGTATCTACAATCCCATAGGTGGGATTCGAACTCAGAACCTTCGGTCTCTCGTACAAAAGCTTAACACTCATTCATTCATGATCTCAATAACAATCTTCACAACTTCACACTGATAATTTAATTGTTTTTCTAATATTAAATAGGTAATTATTGGATTAACTAATGATACTAATGGCACAAAATGTATTGATTTTGATTGTATTTATAAAATTAAATATCGGTTAATTTTTAATTATTTAAATGATGGAACGTTTTGTAATCGATTAACTGATCAGTGAAAATGATTTGATTTTATTGACTTATTGGAAATGGAATTGATAGATGTATATTTTTAAAATTTAAATCATGCACTGACACTAGCTAGAACATTGTTACAAACTAGGAAGCAATAGAAGGACGTTTCGTCTTAGTGTAGCACTTATCACCAGTGTACATTGACGACCCCAAATCCGGGAATCGAACCAAGGACCTTTAGTTTTGTACGCAGACACTCGAAATTCAAACCATTGAGCCGGTATTCATTAGTATCAGTGTCTAACTTTAGTCAATTCATGATCTTGTGAAACACTCATCCATTACCGACGGTTGGTAATTAGCTTACACTAGACATGGTTGAACTCCACAAGGCACAGCTTCTCACCAGAAATATGAGTTGCGTCTTGAAGACATTTCCTAGTGAACTTAATTACTTGCGCCTGTTACTCCTCGTGAAGGAGCATAGGCCAACCTACCAGCATTCTCCATCCAACCCTGTCTTGAGCAATCCTTTCCAGCTCCTTTCAGTTGTAATTCATCCTTTTCATATCTGCTTCTCGTTCCCGACGTAATGTGTTCTTTGGCTTTCCTCTTTTCCGCTTCCCTTAACGATTCCAAGTTAGTACTTGCCTTGTGATGCAGTTTTATGATTTGCGTAATGCATGTCCTATGCATTTCCATCGTCTTTTCCTAATTTCCTCTTCACCTGTAAGCTGGTTTGTTCTCTTCCAGAGAAGGCTATTGCTGATGGCATCCGGCCAGTGGATGTTGAGTATCTTGCGTAGACAACCATTTATAAATACTTGTACCTTCTTGATTTTGGTTGTAGTAGTTCTCCAAGTTTCAGCTCCGTACAATAGAACTGCCTAGACGTTCGTATTGAAGATTCTCACTTTGATATTGGTTGACAGTTGTTCTGAGTCCCATATATTCTTCAGGTGTAAGAATGAGGCCCTCTCTTTGCCAATCCTCGCCTTCACGTCTGCATCTGAATCTCCTTGTTCATCGATGATGCTTCCCAGGTGTGAAGTATTCTACATCTTCCAGAGTTTCGCCATCAATTGTGATTGGATTGGTGTTGTCCGTGTTGTATTTGAAGATCTTGGTGTTTCCAAATCGGTTAATTGATTCTGATCTGTTCATTGTAAGCCGTGTTTTTCCTCAAATGTCGAGGTCTTCATAATCCAGTCGACCACCAGAAGAAAGAGGAAGAGGGAGAATAGACAGCCCTGTTTGGCTCCGGTCCTTACTTCGAATGCATCTGTCAGCTGTCCTCCATGCACGACTTTGCGATGTAGTCCGTAGTATGAGTTCCAGATGATGTTGACAATCTTCTCAGGAACTCCGTAATGTTTGCTTCTATGTATTCAGCATGTGCTTAAATTTTCTCTGCCCGTGTTCGGCTGTTGCTAATTGGTATTTTCTTGTTTTTCCTTTCTTTGATCCTGTACAGTGTTTCTATAGAGAACCATTCCTTATGATGGTGCTTCTCTAGGCCCATAACCTCTTGACACGTTGAAGTCAGTGCTTCTTTGATACCTTCCCAGTTGTCCTTCATAGTAGTTTCTTCTTCCTTCAGTAGATCTTGTAGGGCTTGGAACCTGTTGTTGAGAGCTATCTTGAATTTATTGGGTTTGTCAGTATCTCGAAGGAAGGCTGTATTGAACCTTTGTAGTGCTGTTTGTCCACTTGTCCAGTTCCTCTTTAGCTTCAGTTTTGAATTGGCCACATCTAGGTGGTGATCTGAAGCTATGTCAGCTCCTCTCCTGGTTCTCACATCTTCGATTGTCCTTCGGAATTTTTTGTTGATGCAAATATGATCTATCTGGTTCTCAGTAGTGTGGTCCGGTGAGATCCATGTAGCTTTGTGTATACGTTTGTGTGGAAATATTGTGCCTCCTATGATCAATTTGTTGAATGCACACAGATTTGCAAATCTTTCACCATTTTCGTTTCTTTCCCCCAGTCAGTCCATGTCGTCCCATAATATCTTCATATCCGGTGTTGTCTATTCCGACTTTGGCATTTAGATCACCCATCAGAATGGTGAGGTCCTTTCTTGGGCACTTCTCTATGATTGACTGCAGCCGCTCGTAGAATTGATCTTTAATGTCGTCGTTGCTATCGTTGGTGGGTGCATAACATTGTGTAATATTCATTGTGATCCCCTCCTTCTTTGTTTTGAATGATGCTTTGATGATTCTGAATCAGTGAGATTCCCATCCTAAAAGTGCACTTCGTGCTACTTTGAACAGCATTAGAGCGACTCCCTGAGTGTGTGGATCGTTTCTCTTTTCGTGATCGGAGTATAGCAGCATCTCTCCCGTATCTAGCCTTTGTTGTCCAGCTTGAGTTCAGTGGGTTTCGTTGATTGCCAGTACTGTCAATTTGTATCTCCTCATTTCCGTTGCTATTTGACTGGTCTTCGCGGTCTGCCACATTGTTCGGACGTTCCATGTACCTATAAAAATTGTTGCTGTGGTTGTTAGAAGGGGCATTGGCCTCGTGGCTTCCGAAGGAATTCGGCTTTCACCATGAGGCGTCATAATTCTTCTAAATGAAGACCTTCTTACTTTCAGGGCAGAGTTTAAATGGTTTGAATTATTTTTTCGGGTTAGCGTATTTTAGCGAGTTAGTTTTCTACGGGCTGGTGTCGCTAACACCATGTTCTACCCTCTTTCTTTACCTGGCCTTTGGACTGGCAGTAACTCTAGAAGAGCTACGGGCTGAGTTTTACTACTGAGCACGTATTTGTTATTCATATTGAGAGATTTTTGGACATTGTAGGATTTCCATAATTTTAAATGACTAATTATTCTTATCTAGATTACTTTTGGGGGTATGGAAGCCAACTCAGTGGTCTAGAGGTGATGTGTTTGTGCACAAGACAGAAGGCCCTGGGTTCGATTCCCGGATGTGGTATTTTAGATGAGTACTGCTGAAGAGTTCAACTCTAGGGCGAAACGGCTATTCAGTCCCTCCAGGTTCTCAATATTGATCCAGCCAAGGTCATTTTATAGTTTAAAATATGAGAATTCTGTGACCGTCACAAATCCCCTAGATTTATACTTGTTGGAATATATTTGATAATTTTGTTGTAAGTATCAGAAAAGAGGGTAAATCCTACGTCTTTTTATGAATTAAGTTTTCGTTTAATCACTGAATATGATGCTTATACAGTATTAAAATCGCTATTATCAATTATCTGGCTTTTTTAAACATTCACATAAAACTGAACCATAACTCTAACGTGATCTAAAATGTTTAGTAAGATCTAGATTATTTAAATTTATGGATGAGGCAGATGAAAATAAATAAGTTTTAACTTGAACTTGAAATGAACTTGCGCCTATTACTTCCAATGGAGCATAGACCACTGACCAACATTCTCCAACCCAATCTGTCTTAGGCCTTCCTTTCCAGTTCTATCCAACTTTTGTTCATTTTTCTCATTTCTACCCCATTTCTCGGCGTTATGTGTTCTTTGGTCGATACTGGTGCAAAGCACATGTCAAAACAGAAAACAAAGTTTAGGACTTGTATAAAGTGAGACAATTGAAATATATTCATTCATTGATATCATTATTACAAGGGATTTTAATTATACCAATGCCGATAATCTTGACTGGATTTTGATTAGTCTTTGTTGATATATGTGCGTCTAGTGTGGATTGTCTCAATATGGCCATTCTGTACAAGTTTTTTATTGAATAGGTAGTTCTATGAGTTGTAATGGTTTCAAGGACACACCAACATCAACACTAGGATGGATATACATTAGGCCGATTCCTTTGTTAGTCATAAATCCATTTATTCTATACTGTTTAACATGATGAAATACTTAACGAAGTAGCTTAGTGACTAAGGCAATCGATGCCAATTAGTGAGTTGTAAGTTTACTCAGTTCGTCATCTCGTTCTGTTCAGCACTACTAAACATTATACAAACATTTTGACTCGAAGCTCATATTTGATGGTTATTATTATCATTTCTGTCGAAATAAGTATATAAAATATCAGCTATGAATTTGTGTTAATGCATACTTCATACTTATGTAAAGTAATAAATTAACGATTAGAAAGTATTCTGGTTTTGAACTAACAGACCATATATTCAGTCTGTATCAAGCATCTGGTATTGCTAACAAGTGTTACCTAACATGAGACATTAATTCAAGACTTGATGCTGATTACCTGTCACTCAGATCTCATTCCAACATAGTGCACGTAATATCGAGTCATTTCGACTATTAGATACACTTTCAAATTGATCGGTAGAATTTTAATGGGTTATATGTAGAGTTAGACAAACAATGACATTGGATGACATTCAGTAATCAAATGACATTGTACATCTTAGTGATTTTAAAGTAAATTTTATTTTTCAAAAGATAAATGGGAATTACACTGATTAACCAAATCATAAGATAACTTACAATAGAGACTATATGAAGAATATATCATAAAATATTGTTTAGATTTTGATGGAGTCGACCAAACCATTCAGGTCAGAGAACAAAACTCCATCAAAATCATTCACCTGAGCTACAAGTCTTCACCACCATTGTTTATATTTCCATTTTAAAGATATAATCGATATATTATCATTTTTTAGATGATCGAATATTCTTGCCATTTCTACGTCAAGCAAAATATAATCATTCAGAAGCTCAAATGCGTTTAGATAATTTTATTACATTGCGTACATCACCAGAAAGTCCTGTGGTTAATTGGTATGATCGTTCAACCATAACTAATACAATACTTGATGAATATTTAAACATGGGGTAAGTAATTGGTTGAGTAAATGTAGTTAATTAATTAGTTAGTTAGCATTTAGTTAATACTGTGTTGTGTGCTACTTATTTGGACATAAGTAGTATATAACGCTAGTCAGGAATAGAATATCTGGCAGCAGAAGTTTGAGAAGATCGAGAAGGGAAGAATGGGGGACAGAAGGCAACTGGTATGGAAATGCAGGACAATTAATCAACATATTGCAAATAAAGTATTTACTGTATGGTTCTCAGATTTTACTAAGATATTCAGTTATGTTTTATTAAAATACATTCGTCCCCACTTGTGTTCTCGTTCACTTCCGTTATTATCAGACGCGTCAAGTCAGGTAGACGGCATGCTCAGTTTTTTGATGGAGTTTCGTTTAATGAGCTGGTAGGTTTAGTTGTTGAGCCTTCGTCCTTTTTGGACAACATCAGCACAAACTTCAGGTAGAAGAAAAACCGAACATCATCTCTATCATTTCAATCGTATGCTCAACTAAATATACTGGTGAGAAGACTGAGAATTGACTAGGAAGATTCATTGACAGGGCAAAATGATAAAATACAAACATCACCGGTATATATATATAGGTCATTAGGGCTGGGACCTTGACCAAGTGCAGAATCGATTGCTTCCCAAAAAGTGACTTGTTTATCTTTTCTCAATTACCAGTTGAAATTGAGATGGCATGTGAACACAAGCACATGATATGTCTAGATTTGTTCAACCTATTAGTTTCATAAATTGACTTTAGTTGATATACTACTGGAAGTGGGAGAACGCTGAATGGTTTTTACTTAGGTCTGAATTTCTTATAAGTGTACAATGACTATCTCCAATCATGGATTCAAACTCAAGATGTTCTTGCTATACTATGGACTTGTTCCATTTAAACTATTAAATTGTAATCGAGCGGTCAGCAATTTTTATTTTACTGTTGAACAGACGTAACATCATATTAAAATGTATATAATATAATAGAAAATATTTTTACAACTGATCTATCACTGAGCAGTGACCAATACCATGTATCTGGATAGCTCAGTGGTCACGTTTCTGGGAAGGAAGCTGAGTAACACGAGATTAAATCTGGTAAAGATTATTATTTCCCTCAAGATACATGTACACTTTTGTGATAAGTGTCAAACAGCATAAAACTTAGGTCCAGAGTTTCCTGTTGATTACCTCCAACCACTATCAAACATGAAAGAAGATTATTCTTTAATGGCTTTAATGGTATAATGTATTTTTTTGGATTTTGTTGATATCGTAAACCCATTAAAGTAAGATCACAATTGAAAACCTGGAAGTACTGCCTTATATTCTCTGAGCTAGCTGGCTTAATTTCAAAGCTTTTATTGCTGTTCTGGACAACATCAGAGTTCGCTTCGCATAGAAGTGAGCTGTTTATTTAATCCTCAGCCTGCTCAGATGACCTCATCTGTGCTTGGATGTTTTCAGAATTTCTTTGATTTCCTTCGGAGATTTTCGTTTTGTTGACCTCCGGCTACGCGACTGACTGACGGAATAGCTAAGTTTAAGGGAAACACATTTGAAAAAATGAATTATAAGTTCACAATATTTTTTTAAGAAAATGTAGGGTAGGGAGTATTTACATTCAGTAAATCAGATCATCTAATAAGTTTATAAAAATTTGATCAAGCTAAGATCATAAATTGAACATGTCCTTTTTGATAATGGGACTTCGATTTTACTTAAATTATGACTAGCTATTTACAGTATTAACTATACCGTTGCAGCATCACACACGCATTAGAAGTTGTTTATCAATCTAGAAATGTGCATTTTTCATAGCTTTGATCAATGTAACTTGTTTCAAAAGAAACAAAATACAACTATATATTCAATTATGTTGCTATGATATGCAGTTGTTGAATCATTCAGTATTCAACAACTGCTTCTGTAAATTAAATCTAATAGATGAACAGAATGAAAAATTAATAATGATCATTATAAAATATGATTGTTGAACAAATGCTAACAGTAATTTAAATAAATAGAATGTAATTGTTGCTCAATGTTAGTAAATATTTGGATAAAACATTTTAAAATGAAATAATATCTAATATAAATAAGGTTAAGCGTTCGAGTGCGAGACTGATAGGTCCTGGATTCGAATCTTGTGGGGCAGTATCGTAGATGAATAATGCTGATAAGTCCCATTCTGATATGAAACGACCGTCCAATGCTTTCAGGTTTTCCATGGTGGTCTAGCTTCAATTGCCTCATGAATTCAACTGTCAATTTACTATAATATCCACAAAAGCCCTGTTTGATTATAAATCATTTTTTTCATTATTTCAATGTTTGTTTATTATTCTGATCAGCTTTCATTGTCCAATTGGATTCCTTCATGATGGGACATTTTTATTTCTGATTCGAATTGGTAAGTTATTGTAATCTTTTGCAGATAAACATATATATATATATATAGATCTAAATTTAGCACATTTGACTTAAATGACTACTAAGTTAATTCTTATTTAAGTAGTATCACACACTGATATAGATTACTGTAAGTGATCAACATTCAGTCTTACATGAATATGGGACAGAGTGATGGAAGAATAAATCTCTGGGTTTGAGTGCACATTCTGTTGAAAAAGTGCTATTGGTTTACTTGTATTAGTTGATTGAATCTTTCCATTGACCTTTAGGACTGCCAGTGATCAGTCACTTTTTCAGTAGTGCAAAGTTTTGAAGTGGTGAGAAATCTTTGTTACTCAGGTGGATGATTTCAGTTTTGTTGCATTCTGTAGGTTAGATGATCTAAGTACGAAGCTCGTGTTTTTATTTTGAACAACATCAGCAGAAGCGAGATTTCTGATTATTCGTTCTGATAACTATGTTTTCGACTGGTTATATTTACTGGTTTATTGTCTTTATGGGTTCACTTTGTTCCCTTTTGGCTGTTTGAACAGTTGGTGTCTGACGATGGTGACTGTTTAACTTTTTCCACATCGATATATAAATTTGATCTATATCGATATGTCTGTCAGTTGATTTTAATTTAATGATCCTAGAAATCTTCTTGATCCAGAATTTTAACATTTCCTTAATCAAGTTTGTGATTGTATGCATCAATATGTCTAATGATTAACTAACCAAGTAAACAAATTAGTTCATACCATTCATCCGAAATAATTGTTTTGGCATTTTTAAAATGACCTTAATCAATCCATACTTTTTCATCTTTCTCCATTATCTCTGTCCTGAATTTGAAACATATGTATTACTAAATGGTCTCTTTATCCGGGAAGCTGCATGTGGTAAGAGATTGTATTTGAATAATAAAATCTTTTTATTATCAGAATGAGGATTTGTGGAGATTGAATTAATGTTAAGAGTTGAAATAATGAGTTGATCTGAGCTGCACTACTTTTAAAAACCTGGGAGCACTGGACGACCGTTTCGCTCTAGTATGGGACTCCTCAACAGTGCGCATCCACGATCCCATGTTCGCGCGCGAAACTGAAGATCCTGGGTTTGCATCCCGCATGCAGGGTCGTGGATGCACTCTACTCAGGAGTCCCATAATAGAACGAGACGGTCGTTTAGTGATTCCGGGTTTACAATAGTGGTCTAGGTTAAATCGACTCATGAATTCAACTCTTAAAATAACGTTTTTACTCCAAGCAATACAATATTTAATTCTTAGTTAATTTGACATTTTCAGAGTATGCATTAATTATTTTGTTTTTAGGTTGCTGGAACAATAATCGTGTATCTACCGAGAGTGTACTCAAATTACTCATGATTCAGTTAGATCGTATCTTGGAAGATCCAAGAGTTCAAATTTGTGGTTTGCGAGTATTTATTGATTTCACCGGTGTCTCACCTTCTCTATTGGATACAATTAATCCGAAAAAGACCATTAAAGATTTAAGTAAAGTATTACAGGTAAGCTTTTATATGTACATACATACGTTTTTTCGGTCCAGTAGAAACATTGTTAAATAATTTTGTTTTCATATTAACTGACTAATATAATGTCAAAATATTTAATTTCATAATAAACAACATTGTACGTACACAATTTAAATGACAATCGCGTAAAGTTAGGCGAATGCATAATATATGAAAGGATCGATCAGCGTCTTGATAGCGATTTCAAGATTACAACCCGTCTTTGAACTGAAAATGTTTACTGTTGACAAAGCGATATTGTGTGATTTTGATGAAAGCGTGATTATACAATACTTTCAAACTGTTTGCTGCGAAGAAAAATGAAGTATGATTGGAGTTTGCAAATTAATAAAGATGTTTTCGAAAAGAAGCATGAGGGTTGTTTTCAGATGCAACTGTTGCTACAGAAAATGTTCATTAGAACAAATTACATCAAGGCTGATTTTAACATAAATGGTGTTACTGGTAATATAATGACTGTTGGGCCAGCTTTGATGAATTTAACTAAAGTGACTGCAATCTATTGGTATCAGTATATATCGAGAAATATTCTTAGAAATATTGTTTAGTTATATTGGGAAAAGTTGTTGAGACAAGCGAGACAATAATCACAAAACCTAAATGTAGCAAGGGACGGAGTGTGAAGGAGGATTGGGTAAGTGTCTGTAAGTTTCTGGAACATGGGATGGAATACTATTTAAAAGTCACTTCAAAAAGTGAAAATCTAAATATTAATTACTGGTATGGAGAGCCAATCAGAGGTAGCCTAATGAGAATGTCAACCGATGGCAATCAGAAGTAACCTAAAAGACTAGTGCATTTCATTGGCTAAGAAATAGATTAATTTCTTAAGGATTAGAGTGATATATATATATATATATATATATATATATATATAAATGAGTCTTTGTACATTTTATTCGGTAGCCCTATGCACTTTCTGTCCCACTCTTGTGTTCTCGCCCAAGTAGTCAGTTAGAGAGTTAACGCGTAGCACAACATGTATTAGTGTCAGATTTTGGACATTACCTGTCACAACAGATACTTATACCAATAATTCAGAAAATGATTCAATCTGAAACAAGGGTGCTTATGCGTGACTGGGGGTTTATAAATCCCTTTTCAGACTGAAATATTATTATCATATTGTTGTTTATAAGAAACACTGCAGATTCATTGATAATTGTAGATATATCGAGGCAAATTGAACATCGCATGCTGCATATCCATACGGAAGAATATATATATTGTTATTTTTTATTTTACAGACAGAAACCTCTATAGGCAACTTCAATAAATCCATTAACTGTCCATACGTTTTCTTTCCAATATTCAATAAAAGTGTGATGTTTAATATTTTCAAGCATTTTCTCCTTTGTCTAGTGGGTGAGTGCTTCATATGAGGATATAAATTATTCCGGCATATGTATATATGCCTTCCATGAACATCGCACTATAGAGAATTCTAAATTATCAGATGAAAATAAGCAAATAAAGTGAAAGTTAGAGCTTGAAATGAAAATCTCAGCGTAAATTATGCTCATACGTGTTACACTCACCCTCTAGATGAACGGGAAAATTACTCGAAAATAATTTCTACCCTACACATACTTAACAATCAAAAAAGAGGATGTGGAATAAATTCACAGACATGTATCCAATCTCCGTGGTTAGTTTTACAAATGAATTAAAATTTTGAAATTACTTTTAAAAAAAAGTTAACCTTAATTGTAACTAATTATTTTCCGTTAGGAAGCTTATCCATTTCGTATGAAAGGAATAATCTATTATAATGAACCGCCAATTATGGAAGTTTTGTTCAAATTACTAGCACTGTGGTTGAGACCAAAAGTTAGAGAACGGGTAGGTTTTTTAAAATATTTTTGGTATTCATATAAAATACACAGAGAAGGTGGAATGTGTCTAGCAGTTGAATTGAGGACGCGCTTTTCATTTCATTTAGGACTCGTTAGTAGGATGTATCGCTTCACTTCTGAGTTGATTTTCACTCCGGGATTAGAACATAGTAACGCTAGCTTGAAACTTCAACGCGTTTTCCGTTTAGCTACTCACTTGTGCAACTAGTATGAATTTCAATTTAATTCGTGATGTTCTGGATTATATAGAGTGTGTTTGTAGCATTAATTAAGATGGGAGTGTGTTGATGTGCATTAGTACTGTTAGGTTACAGTCAAATTAAACTTTACATATCAGATTTCATTTTCCGAAATTTACAGCCACTTTTTATCCTGACTTAACGTTTACTAACTTTTTTATATGAACAGATAAGAAATCGTTTATGTCGAAGGCCACATTTACTTAACAAAAATATTTTTTAACAGTTAGTAACAAATACTGTGAATAAATGTAGTTGAGTTTCAAGCCTGTATTATGGTATGCCGAATCGTTTTATTCCTTATCACAGGTATCTTAACTGCTATTCCTATTAACCATGAGAGATTACAAGACTAAGAAAGGGTAGAGAGGTTTAATGACAAAACCAAATAAAAGAATGTGCGACTTTTAGGAATTTCCATCACACACACACACTCTCTCTCACTAATACAAATAAGGCTATGTAGGTTGAGACCTTGGTAAGATGAATAACTTATTTACTTATAATAGTCCGTCCCTTTGTACATTTTTTCACTTAGGCTCTACCATGCCAGACAAATCAATTGAAAGACGATAAGTTTAGAAGCATAAAACTCATAGTCGAAAGATAAAGCCGTATTATCGTCAGGACAATAAGATTATTTTTTTTAGACAATCGGCATCTGGGGTGATGCTGCCTTTCTATAACGGAGGGATTTATAAATGACTAGGCCTAAAAGTAACACACCTTAATCTACCCTACAGATTTCCGCCTCATATGATAAAGTCTATAAGATATATAACTAATTCATAACGACTACTAGCAAAAATGTCATTTATGACCAGTCCTTGAGTTTTATGATCACGCTATCAAAATCAATTGTAACTCAGTTTCATTTACAAGTATCACAAAAAGAAATATCCTTTGATAGTTCGGTCAACCCGAAAACAACCTACACGTTTCTGATAGTATTTGAGAACATTTTGTTCATTTAGTTTCATTTAATAGATCATAATGAAAACTAAATCCAAATGAACTAACTTTCATAAATAATTATGTATTCTGTAAACTAGATCGTTTAATTATAAAGTTTACATTATCATTCAAAAAGGCATTCACATTTATGACACTGAAAGCTTCACAATGAAACCATGTATAGTAAACAATGAGTTTACTTTTAAAATGTAAACAAATAGAGAATAAGAAATACATTATTGATTATTAATTGAACATCAATTCTTGTTGCTACATTAAAAAATAAGACATTTTCTGTTTGTTTTACTTTGAAACTTATAATAATGTTAGTGTGACTTTCTGGATGTTTAAAAGAAAACACTGACACCTTTTAATTAAACAATAATGAAACAAGTGAAGTTTATAATGTTGGTACTGGATTATAAAAAGAAAAAAAGAAAAGGCTTTTTCTTGTGAGATGAATAAATTATACAACTTTCATGTTAACTATAAATACATGAGTAGTATTTATTTGATTATTTACTAAAACATTATTGGTCACTTTAACTTAGTTCCATGATTTCTAATCTAGTTGCTAATAAATCATTTCGTAAGAGAATAAGTCAGCTTTTACTTACTTTACTTACGCCTGTTACTCCTAATGGAACATAGGCCGCCGACTAGCATAAGCCAATTCACTCTGTCCTGGGCCTTGTTTTCTACTTCCATCCAATTCTTGTTCATTTTTCTCATATCTATCTCCATTTCCCGGCGTAATGTGTTCTTTGGTCTTCCTCTTTTCCTTTGGCATTGAGGATTCCAAGTGCGGGCTTGCCTTGTGACGCAGTTGTGTGCTTTCCTCAATGTGTGTCCTATCCACTTCCAGCGCTTCTTCCTCCGCTGGGATCTGATTTGTTCTTTCCCACAGTTGGTTGTTGCTAAAAGTGTCCGGCCAACGGATACGAAGTATAGATGGTAGTTGGAGGTAGTCAACAGGAAACCCTGGACCCGGGTTTCGTGCTACTTGGCACTCGTCAGCAAGGTGTACCTGTAATCTTGAGGGAACTGGTGCTCCCTGGCGGATTCGATCTTGTGTCACCCAGCTCCACAGTCAGAGACGTTATCACTGAGCTATCCGAGCCGTGACTAACCTCCTGTAGGACTGAGATGTAATCACAATTGATTGATCACTGGGTGGTGATCAATGTCATGCTTGTCTAGTCCTTCTTAGTGCAGATCAAATGCTATCGATCATGTTGCAATGTGGCCACCAGTCTAGGTGACTCGACACTGCGGGCATTCGATCTGCACTAATAAGGACTAGACAAGCATGACATTGATCACCACCCAGTGATCAATCAATTGTGGATCCGAAGTATTTTGCGTAGACAACTGTTAATAAACACTTGTATTTTCTGGATGATAGTTTTCATAGTTCTTCAGGTTTCTGCCCCATACAGTAGAACTGTCTTGACATTTGTATTGAAAATCCTGAACTTGGTGTTGGTTGACGGTTGTTTTGAGCTCCAGATGTTCTTCAGTTTTAGATATGCTGCTCTTACTTTACCGATCCGCGCTTTCACATCCGCATCAGATCCACCCTGTTCATTAATGATGCTGCCCAAATGCGTAAAGGTTTTTACATCTTCCAAATCTTCTCCGTCAACTGTGACTGGATTGGTGCATGCTGTGTTGTATCGGAGAATCTTGCTTTTCCCAGGCGGAGTCGAATAAGTCAGCTACATATATTTATTCAATAATTTCCAAAGTATCTTATTAATAGTGATAATTATTTTGAATTTCATGAACTCGACAGAGTAGTCCAGTCCAGGCTATTGTTGGAAGTGAGTTGGTAAGAGAGAGAGAGAGAGAGAGGTGATCGTTGATAATCACTACAAATTCGATTTGATGGTTGTGGTACAATATATATTGATACTCATGTTAATTACTTATTCATAATCGTCATCACATGACTATGTATCGACTATTTTATTGACTAACTAGCTGAATCTATAATGACGTACCTTCTCAAACGTTCTACTTTCAAGTATCAAATTTCATATGATTCAGAGACATTTCTACATTGTTTTTAATCAATCCTTAAATTCAAAACTTATAGTTATTCTCAATATGTTGTTGAATTACTTATGCATGACCATGAATGAGAAAGTATCGAGTGTGTGCATTTATTTGCATCAACTTTATCCAATATGACTTCTTATTATTATTATCATTGAAGGCATCCGCTCATTGTAGATGACATCGATGTTGTTGTTTTGTTCATCACTATCGCATATTATAATTGATGTGATACAATTGTGTGACATTGTTTGTTAATACAAGAAGTTTATTGAAATCTTGGACATGATCATTATTTCAAAAATAATAGTTTTAGTTCATTTGAGAATAGTTTCATGATTATAGAATGAGATAATCAATAAATTTGTCAGTGTTATGATTTTGATAAACGGTTATGATTGCGTAAAAAATAACAAATTACTGTCATTAGTTGATTCTGTCACTTAAATATCACTGCATATGTGACTAAATGTATGTTGTTTACTTGATGTAGTACAGTTTTTCTATCCCAATGTAGTGGATGCTATTCACAAGATCTCTTGTAAATAGTATATAGTGGAACGTGGCTTCAAAGTTGTCACAATCGTCCGGTGGAGTGAAGAGTTTAGTACATCGAAAGCATGGCGTAGGGAAAATACTTGATGGCCAGACAAGACAGTTTAGTTTGCAGAACACATCGCGAGATGTAAATGAATGATCGAAGGTTATATATACGTATTATCTAAATACTACTGTAATTTCTCTTAACCATTGGTCATTGTCCTATTATATACCGGCCGAAACATGTTTACAGATATGAAGGAATAAATTAGTTGTGAAATGAGGAATTATTTCAACGCGAAAAATAGATTCAATTACTCTGATATTCATGGATCATATTCGTACTGATCAATATTTAGATACTTGACTTGGCATCACTCATTACTAAATAATCAACAGCTAATTATATAAACACAATTTGTAGATATTTTAAGATTAAAACTTTACAATCCCAAAGTGTAGCTGAATTATATACTTGCTCCTTCCTGAGAATTACTCATTTTCTAGTATTCCGTTGGAGATCAACTTTAAAAGCCGTTGCCCTCCTTCATATTAGTCAAGATATTTTCTTCTTTAAAACTTAGAAATTAATCTGGTTTCAGTTTTTTGTTTATCAGGAGTTCTATCACATGTACAGTGAACTATTTTGTTTTAAAATCACACAGATATTACTTATAATACTTCTTTTCGTAAGTTGAGCACATGATCAGAACATACGTGTTTATTCAGTTTCATTAATCCTTGATTTGATGATCAAGACATGGAAAAAAGTCTTGTTATTCTACTTCTTTCGTCTTGTTAATCAAACATAAGTTAAAATGGTATTGACACATTTCCAAGTGTTGTTTCTAATGTTGTTCTTCTTGAAAGATGATGAATGCGTTATAATTAGTTAAATTGTAGGTAATAAATAACGGGTAAAGAGGAATAGATCATTGGTTATATTCAAGCTGCATGACGAGAGGTAATGCGTTATTCATTTGGGAAAGGTCAGCGTTCATATGTTGCTATCATTATTGTCACTTATAGGTATTCTTGAGCCGAGAATATTTTTGTTAGGTTTTTCGAGATAACTCTTTCCATGGAGCCTTAGTTTACTCAACGTAACTAGTTGGTAAAAGATTAAGAATTCGGAAGCGATTAGGTCGGATAGCAGAATATAATAAACTGTAAATTATTCTATGGTAGATTTTACCATAAATTTAGCTACTGACATTGTAGTTGACATAAATGTACAGAAGCTTTAAAATAAAGATATATTATTAGGTTTAAACTCGATCAACTCCCTGTGTGTTCCAAGTTTTTTGATGAGAAAAAAGAAATCTTAAAAAATAATCACAGAAAGTTATGGAAGATGGTCGCACACTATTGTGGACGAATCAAAGTTAAATCTGCGGGTCCTCGTTTCAATCCTCGATGGGGTCAAGGAGCACGCAGATTCAGTTTCGCACTGGCACAAAGTAATTGTTCAGTACGTCCTGGTTTCAAATGGTTTACATAAGGAAGACTAGAAAAGTAAGCTTAATGGAATTAAATAACTTCGTAACATGTGATCCAGGCTAATACTAATATTGCACACAGCATTAACGTTTCCTGACCAGTACCAACGATTCACGTGTTGATATTTAGTCAATGTTTACTACATTGGAATCCTCATTTATTGACATTAACGAACAATTAACTCACAACCGGATATGATTTTCTCATTTTTGTCACATAATTACTCACTTGTTGCGTAAATTGACAGAATCGCATACAAATGGTTATCAGGCTCTTGACTTAAAACAAGTTTTTTTTCTTTTCTTTCTTTTCCAACAGTTTATAAGAGTAAAAGGTAATATAAAGAAAGCCTATGAAAAAGTACCCGGTCTCGAAAGTGTACTGCCTAGAGAATATGGTGGTCATAATAGAAGTATTAAAGACATTTTAAGTGAGTTAGTCAATAGGAAAAATGAATAAATTACTATAATTATGATTATTATTATCGCATATATCTGATAAACTTAATGTTAGAGGAGGTGATTTTCTGGTCGATTTTTGGGCTCGTGGAATCGTTGTCACTTGCGTTCTGAACGAAATCAAACAGGTGGAAATATATGGAAGAGACTTTATTCTCAAGGCTAAATCATGAACTAAGAAGAAAGGTATTTATTAAGCGATTACAAGTGACCTTAGGAAAAATATGAAAATATGTATGGATCTCATACAACCTACCTTTAATTTACATGATATATGAAGGTACCATCGAGATGAGTATTACATCATCCTTCGAAAATGATTAATTGTTTAACTGATTGAATCACTATGAAGTTATGCCTTGTAATCATGGAACATTATTAGTTAATAATAATATATATGTGATTTTAAAGTGACAAGCTATTACATTTTATCTTAAGGTATGGGAAAAATTATATCTAATGAAGTTAGCTTATTCATAGTTCGCAGCTGGTTGAAGAATTATCAGGGACTTGTAACATCGTCTTGGATTAGGAAAACAGTGAACGTAATGAAATAATTACAAGGCATAACTCAAGACATTGGTGTTTCATATTGAACACGTTAAAATTAGGAAATTAATTTGGAATCGACTATCCAATTTAGTAGAAATCTTAACATCAATACGACGTTGATAAATTAATTAGATGGGTGATAAGGGTATATTTACACATTTTGATACATTCAAAATGATAAGTGTTGTAACGTGTGTGACTGAAGGTTTTTGATAAGCAGCGTATTTATCGATCGATTCTGTGACAGTGGACACGCAAACACGTAAGGACGACCTAGTGCCCTGATTGGCCCTGCTTCGCTGTCTGTCCTAGCCAGTTGAGTCAAGAACAAAAGTCACAGCCTCTGGGTTATGAATCATTATATTTCAAACATACTCTGTTTATATACCATTCAAGCATACCACATCGTACCATAAAATAGAAAACAACATTTTGTACAATATTCGACAGGTGAACAGATATCGACCAATAGGAAATGTCCATTTAAAGTCCAAGGACACCATTGGACTTACCATGATAATTATTGGTCTATTTTTCCGACTACCTAAGACCTGGATTTTAAAATTTCTGCGTCCGTCCTCCCCCGCGAAATAACGTTGGCTCCTCATATACCCAAGTTAAAATTAATTTGACTTTATTGAACGCATAATTGTCACATAGAACAGAGAAGTCACTAAAAGAGATTAAGTAGTGTGGCCCAACGTCGCTTGATATGAGGTCATCAACGCTCGATTCTTCTGGAACATTATCATAGAATTCCTTGAAAATCTCATTTGTGGATAGTCGATCACTGGGATAATTAACATCTATCAAAATTGTATTATACTTCTGACCATCATTTGGTGCATCTAACACATTTTCTGGTACAAGAGGATCTTCTTGTAAGCTGGATACCTCACATGTTTCAGGCACAGTGGGATTTGAACCCACAACAGGGCATGTTTCTGAATTGGACAATTCTGGATCGCTGGACGGATCATGAGCGACTGCCTCGTTTGCATTACTGATCATAAGGGATTCATAGAGGCTTTTGTTTTCATCTTCATACGTTCTGCAGTCATTTTAGAGGTCAGTATGCAAGTGAGAAATCAATTCGTCAACCTCTTTCACATCTCCGAAACATGGGAGATTTAGCAGTCGCGTGCGTAAATTGTCCAAAACGTTCAACTGGCTCTCTCTGAAACGCCGCTGCAAAAATTATTAACGGGTTCCTGCCAGGTTATTTTGATAGGAGCCTTGCACTTGCTTGAAATGTTGACTACTCTGAGCTGGATGGTTCAACTGAGGAAATTTAGATGTCCTTATTGAAACATTTTTTAGTGCCTACTTCAATTAATCTACCATCACTAGATCAGTCCTCCATAATGACAATGTTCCCGACCGGTTGTCTTTATAGGTTTTATCAACCTCATTCATCCTACAGGTGTTTTTCCCAGTGATTATGTGATGCATAGAACTTTTCTTTTTAAATTGATATATTAAATCTATTAATAATGTGTCTGTTGATTGCAGACTATCTTCAATGACAAGCTCTTAATAATTCTCGGGAATTCGTAAAATCCAGCACCTATTTACGGACTTAGGTTTTTTGTTTCAATTTATACTACTAACTAGGATTAAGTAGCACGAAACATTGTGACAAAATTAATTCCAGCTGAAGCGTTCGTTACAACTGTCTTGTTCATGGTTACGTTTCTGTCATTGCCCAAACAAGCTAACCAATCTTACTGAATCTCCAAACATTTCATTTATGATCTGTTCATATTCTTCTCTGATGAAATCATACAATCTGTTCATTTTGATAAACATATACATGCTTCCATTTGATTGTGGTTCTAATTATGACTAGGACAAGGATGATTGATTTACAAGCTCCCTACTTTAAATATATGATGAATTATAATAATGGAGTATTGAAGTAACGTAAAAATCAGTCTACGTATTTCTTAGTGCATAATGATGAATGTGCCTAATGATCACAGTTTATAAAAAAGGCTTATCTTGGAAATCTATTGAAAATCAAGTACTGGACAGTTTTTTCCCAATTATGGGACTTCTCAGTAAAGTACAAAGTGATTGTGCAGTATCACTAATTGATTGAAGTTAGAAATGCAAATCATATCAACACAATAGTCCAAAGACTAAGTGTTTACCGGGAAACCTTAGAGTTTTGACTTTCATAGTAGGTGGAATAATGGATGTGCACTGTCAAAGAATTTTATACTAAAACGACACAACTGTCCAGTACTTTCTGATTTACATTGTTTATATAACTGAGGTCAGTCCGTGATATAAAATATGGAAGTATAAACTCTCCACAGATTTTCTATACTAAACGATTAGCAATATGAACTTCTCAATACTACTTAACGTATCATAGATGATTTGTACCAACTAAAAGACTCATTCAGTATTAAACAATTATGTAATAACCTCCAAGAATAATTGAGTTGCAACACAAACAAGTCATGTTTGTAATATCAGTTTTGCTCTATTTAATCCGGAGTTAGTCATCTTGGTAATACTATTACGCAATCGAAAGTTATTTCAAGGAAAGCATACAAGCATGTGTAGAGGAACAACGTTTTTCGCTAAAAACTATAATGCTCATGTTTATCAAATTTTATCTATTATTTCCCTCCTTTTCATACATATGTATGACGAACAGAAGAACAAAACGCTGATTTTAAAGAATACTTTTTAAAAAATGAAATATTATGGAAAGGTATGGCAGTCAATGAGGTCAGTCCGTGATATAAAATATGGAAGTATAAACTCTCCACAGATTTTCTATACTAAACGATTAGCAATATGAACTTCTCAATACTACTTAACGTATCATAGATGATTTGTACCAACTAAAAGACTCATTCAGTATTAAACAATTATGTAATAACCTCCAAGAATAATTGAGTTGCAACACAAACAAGTCATGTTTGTAATATCAGTTTTGCTCTATTTAATCCGGAGTTAGTCATCTTGGTAATACTATTACGCAATCGAAAGTTATTTCAAGGAAAGCATACAAGCATGTGTAGAGGAACAACGTTTTTCGCTAAAAACTATAATGCTCATGTTTATCAAATTTTATCTATTATTTCCCTCCTTTTCATACATATGTATGACGAACAGAAGAACAAAACGCTGATTTTAAAGAATACTTTTTAAAAAATGAAATATTATGGAAAGGTATGGCAGTCAATGAAAGAAAACGACCAGAATCATCGAAACGATTAATAGGTGAATATAAAGAAGCTGATGATAGATCAATGGGTACAACTGGAACATTTATTCCATTACCTGTGAATGACTAATTCCTGAATTCATGTCGGATTACATTTAGACGATATATTTTTTCTTTAATATCAAAACCAACAACAATCAAAATAGATGTAAATTTGTATAACTTAATAAAATGAAAGCAATTAGTGATTACTTATTATTATTATTATTATGGTGAAATAGAAAGTACAAAAGTTCCGATTTTTTTTCTTTCGCACGATTTAATGTAAATGTTTATCTTCAAAAAAAACTAATATACAATGCAACCAATTTAATTGATTAGATGAAGATTAACCGATAAGTGTAAGCTTGAATCAAATAGATATATGATGGTCAAACAAAAAAAGATTTTTGATTGAGATCATGAACCGATTGGTGTTAGACCATCACTGGAGACCTGGAAGCACTGGACGGCCGCTTTGCCCTATTGTGGGACTCCTCAGCAGTGCGCATCCACGATCCCGCTCGCGAGATTCCAACCCAGGGCCTTCAGTCTCGCGTGCGAGACTAGACCACTGACCTGGCATCCAATGATGTTAATGTCTAACCTCAACCAATTCACGAAATTGCGCAACCATCTTCCATTGTACTGAGGTAGGCACCGGTTCCTACCCGACACGAATTAGCTCCACTGGTCACCGCTGAATTTACGAACTTACACAATTTTTCTTTAAAATTAATAATCCACTTACTAGTTTAAGATCTTCATTATAGTGCTATGAGTTTTTATCAAACAACCAAAATGGTTTTATTTAGAAATTTACCTTGAAATTAGTGACTAGGTTATGGAATGTGAAATTATTTCATATTTGCTTAGATTTGAATACTTCACACAGTCAACATTTAAATAACGATTAATACAAATTATGTGAAAAGATTAGTTGACACATTTTCAGTATAATAGAACGTGTAACATATAAATTATTATTGAATATAATGGAAATTATTGATGTAAACTTGTGGGAAACCCATTCAACTATTGTATTATTTATCTGCTCACTGTAATTTAGACACTTAATCCACTATGTAATTTTCTGTGTGAGTCTGATTGAGCATATGTCAATTATTTAGATGGTAGTTGGAGGTAGTCAACAGGAAACCCTGGACCCGGGTTTCGTGCTACTAGGCACTCGTCAGCAAGGTGTACCTGTAATCTTGAGGGAACTACTGCTCCCTGGCGGATTCGATCTCGTGCCACCCAGCTTCACAGTCAGAGACGTTACCACTGAGCTATCCGAACCGCGTCAATTATCCTCCCATTGGTTGTAATATTACAGACAATCAATAATTTATCCATGCTTGATTAACACTCACTAATATATATGGATTTTTAATACTCAAACACACACACACTTGTTTTTCCTATGTGCTTGCTTCCTACACGCTTGCAGATTTTACCAATCTTTAACAATAAACTATTTCTATAACTGGTGTTTAGGCTTTAGAATAAATCTTAATTAAATCCATATTTCTGCTAGGAGATTTAGTCTGCATTAAATACTCAGTTAATGGGATGTAGTCAGATATAAGGGAAATTAGCCTCTACAAGCTTCTGAAATTTATTTATTTGGTAACAACTAAAAGGATGGTGCCAAAATTAACAATGAAATGTTTCCTAAACATAAACTGACCTGGAACAAAGAAATAATTGAACTTGTCAACAAACAACTTAACTAGTAGATTAGAGATGATAAGTTTGCTGTGATCATCGAAGTGAAGCAACTCTAACATTACCTGGTTCCATGCAGCCCCTTTCGTAAAAGTAGCAAAATCTCTTTGCCGAACATTTTATTTTGGAAGTTTAAACAATGGATTGACTTAAGTTAAAGAATCCCTGAAAATCAAGAACTGGATAACTGTTCCATCAACAGTGCCCATCTACGATCCCGTCGGTAATCGATTGAAAATTTTCAATTTTCGTTAGTACTTAAAATTTGAATTAATGAGTTTGGATTTGACAGTCCACAAATTCAATCTTAGTCAATTTGTAATATAGCGGAACTATCATCCATTGCCAGTGGTGGTACTTGACCTACACCTGACATGGTTATACTCCATTTGGTTACGAGAATTTCTTTTTGAAGTTAATTACTAATGAAGATATAATTACTACTAACAATTTCATAGTTGGCTAATTCTTAGTGCCCGTCGAATTTCAGTTGCATTCATACCACTAGTTGGTATAATAAGATGTACCTAGAATCTTCGGAGAACTGATGCTTTCCATAAGACTGAGTCCAATGTCATCATAATATCACATTTATTATTATACCTAGTATCATTAGCTGCGAAGCATAAAATTTTATATAAAAAAACCTGTACTTGGTATAAATATGTATCGTTGTTTATCAAAGAACGAAAATATTTACCAATAATAATATTATTATTAATAATTATTATCACAAATTATTTATGGTCAACTGAAATACCGATGATTAAACCGTACACAGAAGAGATAGAAACAATGTAAACAAACTCTCTAGAAGCTGAGGAAAAGGAGAGCAAAATGTGAAAACAGTTTCTGTACATACACATTTATCCATACAACATAAAACATTGGAAACAATAGTCAGTATAAAAACACAATCTCCCGTACACACACATACAGCCTACTCTGATTGTTCGAAGAAAACACAACAACATATAGCGGTGTATATATGGATGAATGTAGTGGTCTAAAAAAGCGTGCTTTATTTCACTAATACTCTTTGTTTCTCTCTCTCTCTCTCAGAGTACAGACAACAAAATTAATAACAACACCACGACACTTCTCATCTTTCACTTTATAATCACTTACACGATAAGCAAGAAAGAAAGAAAACTCTTTGACATATACATACATTCAATATAAGCATTAAACTATGGCATCCAGTAGGATACACACAACAAATGGACAAAAAGAAAAAAAACTAGATGAATGTCGGAAAAAGTGGAGGGTAGGAAGAGAGAGAGAGTCTTTAATCAAAAAATACATACATACACAAAATGATAAATCTATTTCGTTTACTTTCGTTACAGACAAAACGAAACATAAGAAAAATCAAATGTGTGTATGTAGTTCAAGGATGAAGTACCGCTAGGTTGCTTTTTTTGATCTCGAACAGTATGTTTTTTTTCTATAATGAAAAAAATTAATTTTTTTCAGAATATTTGTGTTTTAGATACGAATCAAATAAGAGGTAATTGATAACCTGAAAGCTAAAATTGTTCACTCATTCAAAATGAAGAAGAGTAAAGAAGGAGCAAAGATAATGAAGGTGTTGGTTCAAAGTAGGACTATTAGATTATTTTATTGTAATAAAAAAGGGATGTTAATAATGAGAGGAGAGGGAGTAAAAGTTAGTAATTTATATATCTATTACTATTCACAAAATAAAATACTTATTTTAGAAAAACAGAACATTTTATGTAATATATGCGAGGTACTAGTAGTAGTAATAGTAGTAGTGGAGAATAGTGTGTATGTATACGCAGAATTAGTTCAAAATAGAAACATGAAAAAGAAGGCTCAATTTGTGTATGCAAAGAGAAATAATGAAAATAATCAAATGAACATGTTTACATGTGTTAGAGGAAATAAATTACACATTTGACTATTATTTTTCTGGAGAAAAGAGGCACATGAAGGATATGCGGGAAAGAGAGAGAGAGAGAGAGTAACAAGTGTACACTTTTGAAGTATCTAATTACGTTTAGATATATTGTGTATTTACTCAAAGCAGAATAAAAACCGAGAAGTTAAACCACAATAAATTAGATATTTCATAATTCAACGCTAAAAATCTGATTTTTTGTTCGGTTAACTAGAACAGTCAATTGATGTATTAAAGAGTAGTATGCCAGTCGTAATCTTTCGAAACATATACTCTCTCTCTCTCTCGTTGTTATGTGTATGTGTGTGTTGATGGAGAAGCAGTAGGAAGTAAACAGTTAGCTTCTTACATTCAATCATTTTGCATTTATATAAATAATTTGTTGACCATTAATCGATTCGACCGGGTTGTATTAATAGTGTGGTAGACAAAAAGAAATCATACATTGGTAGCAGTGGTAGTAGTAGTAGTAACAACAACAACAACAGAACACAACATTTCGATGTTGTTCATGGAATTAAAACAAAAACAGAGAAAAACCGCCCAACAAGACAAGTAAAAATGAAAATCTGACTAAAATGATGTGAGAAAAACAAACATGACAAAAATTGATTCACTAATTAACTTAATTTAACAACAGTGAATTAGATGGGAAGCAAATAGCGTAAGTATTATGTAATCTTCAAATAAAATGCCACTCTCTATATTTCATTTGTATGCATTTCTTACTATAGGAGAAAGAAGTTGATGAGAAAATGGTTTTCTTTTGTTATTTGCAAATGTGTAAAAGGAAATAGACAAATTCTTATAATATTGATTAGTAGAAACGTCTGACATCATTACCATGATCACGACGACAGTAAATGGTAATGACGAGAAATAAGAAAGGGAGGAAGAGTCAAACAATTGGTTTCATACAGATGATTGGTACACACACGTATATATATATGATCGATAATTGGGATTACTTTTTTAACAAACAATAATGGATGATGAGTGGATCAACTTCTGGTTGTAATTGAATCTTCAGATGTGGCTGAACTTTGTTGACGGTCAATATAGAGTTTCAAAAGGCGTTTCTGTTGAGTAAGGATAAAAGGGAGGGAGGTTAAAGAAAAGAGCTAACTGAAGTGATAGGAACTACTAAAAAAAGGAAAATTATTCAACAAAAACTGACCGACAGAATTTAACTGGTCCTGGCAACAACACAAACATGAGAATAGTCACTTATTATTTAGGGATCAATTAGTATAAGCATGAAAGTTCTACATATTAGTGTTGATTTTTACGACTGTAACACTTGGTCAAATCGACTTCTATACAATGTAATCAATAGCATCTTCATTCTCTGCATGAATTTAGAGCGGGAAAAACACATCTGAACCAATGATAATAATACTTTTAATGAAAGTACAAAGAAAGCATATACTTCATGATGAAGGCTACAACCAATGGCTTTTCCTAGTGAATAGTTTACGGAGTTAGTGTTGTCTTTCATTGAGATCATGAACTGATATAAGTTAGACCACCATTTAAATCTGGAAGCACTGGACTCCTCAGCAGTGTACATCCATGATCCCGCAAGCAGAAAATCGAACTCAAGAACTCGGGTCTGGCGTGAGAACACTTAATCTCTAGACCACTGTGCCGGCATCCAACGGTGTTCAGGGTTCAAATGAAAGACAAACATCACCGCAATTCCTATACTGAAAATTACCATGCGCTCATAAGAGACTAGCTTCGAGAGGAAATTTCCAGAGCTCTAGCGAGATGTGACTAGTGGAGCCAAGCCATGTCGATTGTGAAACATTTATTAACCGAAGACAGTGGAGGATGGTCATGCAATGCCGTGGATTGATTGAAGTCAGACATTAGCACGGCTAAATGTCAACCTAGCGATCTGGAAGTTAAGCGTTCGTGCGCGAAACTGGAAATCCTGGATTCGATTCCCTCATGCGTAGTCATGGATGTGCACTGCTGAGGAGTCATAGACTAGGATTAAACAGCCGTCCAGTGCTTCTTGGTTTTCAATGGTAGTTTAACCTGTATCAGTTCATGATCTCAGTGAAAGTCAACAAACTTCACAACCCTATTACTGACAGCTAGTATTGTATTTATGAAGGTAAATGAACTATCTCTCAGAATACCCCAGATTCAAAGTTAACTTCATCTTAGACGACCTAATAATAACTTCCGCGTTTTCGACTTTACTAATTTTACTAGATCTTTGAGAAATAAGATGATACCACTCTACGGTTGATTAACAAATGTCCATTCTGTAAGTTGTAATAGACGTCCTAAATGAAGACAAAGATAAGTTAGTGTTACGAAACCTGGATTTAATCTATGGACAAGTTGTTGAAAAGTACGTAATATGACTAGTCTTATAAACTGCATAACTTATTCCTAACAAAGCTGGCTTATTCATAAGATGCGTGACTGTGTGTTCTTATGGTTAATCAAGTGTAATTGTAATTACATAACGAACATCATACAAGTTTATTCGTAAATGATTTCAAAACATAGATGGATGGTCGGAAGTAGATAGTATGCATAAACAGGGCGGATTAATTATTCACCTAAAAAGATCATAACTGTGAGATAATACATATTACGCACACAAATAAAATTCTGTGTTCAATATAATAATTTAGTACGTAATAATAATGATAACAATAATAATGCATCATTCGGATAACTTACTTTGCCAGCGTTTAATTCAGTTAAATAACTCCAGATATCATCACCAAGTTTCATAGCTATTGCAACTAGACAAAACACACTGGCCTTACGAATGGCACTCTCTTCATGATTACAAGCCTTTAATAATAATAATAATAATAATAATAATAATAATAATAATAATAATAATAATAATAATAATAATAATAATAATAATGTTGATAATAATTAATGTGCACAAGTATGAATGGGCTATATTTTGTCTCAAATATACACAACAGCTTGCACAAATGTTCAGGTCAAAAGTCACGCAGAGTTACATATAACTAACCATCCCAAAAGAGCGGGAAATAGTCGAAGAAAAAACTGAAAGAGTTCAGTTTAGGGTAAATTCTTTTGGAGAGCGAGAAGGTGGGTAGGAGGATTGTAGTCAAATATTACAAACATGATTAGGGACGAACTGATTAAACTAGGTGCGGGGGACATTTTGTATTGACTTAAAAAGTATGAAGTGATATTGAAATATTTCCACGACTAGTAGTACCGTGACGAGACAATAATTTATGGACGAACCGATCAGGGATAAGATAACAGGTCTCGAAATTCGGCGCGAAATTCACTCATCCAGTTGGCTGAATAGAGTTTGGGTATTATAGCTGATGTCATTTCTTGATGAAAACCCTAAATCTAATTCCTAACTTTAACCATCATCTGTAAATTATAATTATAATTCCTCACACAGGTTTATAATCCTCATTTGGTCCTAGTTATTAGGTGGACATTCTTGAGATCAGTCTAGCGTCGCTTAATGGTCGTCCATAAATTATAGTTTAATCAGTATTGCTTGTTGATTGGCAATATAAACAAAACTCATTTATTACATTGTTTGATCATGTATGGATGAATTTGTAAAAAAATTGTATGTATTTTAAAGAACATTGGTGGAATATGAGCACTATGAATGAAGTTGTATTTTAGTAGTTAATGAGGGTTTGAACACAGGTTCATCGGTTTCGAGTAGTGGTATTACTAGTCTTCATGTTTGAAGTGTGGTAGTTGAGTGCCAAACCTATTAATACCTACCTGTTAAATAAGTGACGTAAAAAATATCACTCATCAGGGAAATGTAAAACAATTCAAAAGTTCCGATAAAAGATGGACAAACATTGACATCTGGGAAAAGGACTCCTGTCAAATAGGTTGGAAAGACGGTTGGTTTATCAAAAGAAAAGCGCATTTTTGCAAAGCAGAATTACCATGGTGCAGATGTCCCTTTAGAGCACAATAGTGATTAGGAAATGAATGGGAATCGGATTCTCGAATCATTACGCCAGTCAAAGTAGAACACATTGTCTCCCCGTCTAAAATCCCGCTTCGACGCTCGCCTTGTGATATGATGGAGTCTTCTATTGGCAGCATATTATCCTAACGGTCAAACCACAATGGGTATCGTATATATATATATATATATATATATATATATATATAAGTCAAAGACCGATGTACTCCATTGTATACACAAGAATATAGATGCAGCTTCTCTTGTTATCGCCCCAGAATGAACTCTTAACAACCTGTAGTATTAAATTACGCAGTGCGTTTTGGCCAATCCAATTTATGACAGAATGGTAGGTTAGTTCAATCTCCATTGACTACTCACATCGGTCTTTATAGGACAAGTCATGATAGCAAACAGAATTATAGTCAAATGATGAAATGCGGTCAATTCAGAAGATAATGAAGTAACACACGTGAAAGCATAAACTTACAATTACAAGTCCAGGAATTAATGCATTAATAAATTCATGTACTAATTCCGGCGAAGAATTTTGTATAACTTGCATTTGCATTTTAATTGCTGGTAAATTAATGTGTAGTTGTGAATCATTTATTAACGGTGTCAATACATTGAGACATAATTCTTGTGGAAGATTTTGTGCTACTGTATTGGCGCAATCTTCTGCAGCTCGAATAACCTAGTTTGTTTGAAGGAAAGGAAGAAATAATAGTAATACAAAAATGATGAACATAGTAACATTATTTACTTAACTTACAAAGATTTTAAACAGTTTGTTTTCATTTCGAAAAAAAAACTGTCATCCACAAATTGCTTATAACTGTATTCTGGTTTAGTTTATTGACATACTGAGCAAAAAAACATAAAACTTAAATTTATGGTTACTAAATTGAGGACAACTACAATCAGTGGGATTAAAAGCAGTCACCTAGGATGTGCTAGCGATCAGATATTTGAAATGAAGTCGGACTGAGTGCATCGTTGGGTGATAACATTAGGTACTCGGATCGTTAACAAAGGGAGAATGGACTCTCTCTACACTCGGCTGTACCAAGGCATCTGGTGGCGAATTTACGAACGAAAGACTATTAGTTTGAAAGTAAACACTAAAATTATCTACGAAGATGAATATAGAATAAATGGCATTTGTAGAGTAGTGATTATGAGACTAGAGGATAAGAATCCTCGGCGTAATATATATATATATATATATATATATATATATATATATATATATAAACAAGTACGGTTGAAAGTCTAACACATAGACTCTACTAAGTTGCAAAGAATTAACGTTGATTAATTTTTTCGAATGACTCTTAGCAAAACAAAAAGCAGATGACAGAAAATAGGTGAATAATAATAATAATATTTTGTCCATGAAATGTAATGATCTAGACATTCAAAAGTGAGTGAATACACGTAATTAAAAATAGAACTTACAGATTTTTCACTATCTCGACAGGCTTCAAGTACTTTAATAACAAATAAATAAGCGAAATCATGAAATAATTCCGGTTTAGCTCGTACTAATTCTTGAAGTACACGAAGTGCAAGTGCTCTTGTTTCATGCTAGTAGAAAGTAAGTGGGGAAAAAAACAGGCAACATATATTTTAAGAAATAAAAACTTGATTGAAAGTGAAGAAATTTCTCAAAAGACAAAAAAGTCCTGCAGCCAAATGTCAACAGTTTCATTTATATTACTTTTTTTTCAGGTAAATGGTTTATAATTGTGAATTTTTTGTTGTAGTAGTTTTGGGAGAAATACCATCAGTTCCTATTCTAAAAAGCAAAAGAAGGGAGCTTTCTGATTATTTTACAAGCATCAAACCAGTTCATTCTGATGACGTCCAACTGTTTGTTTTCTGAAGTTTTCTTATATTCACGTGTTCTGTTAACTGTTATGTTCGGGAATACAGGTGCATCTGAATGAGATAAAGCCAGTTGAACAGAAATTCACCAGAGTGGACCGGTTTTCAATGCATATGGAATAATCAGAAAGCTCTCTTTTTCTATTTGAAGTAGGCGGCTGATGATGTTATACAGAGTGATGAAATCTTTGGAATCAAACCTTAAACGTCAGAGAATACGCTACTAACTAGAACAATTATTTGTGATACTACCACAATCAAAACAAAGCATCATCTCCTTGAGGATTGCAAATTAAAAAGATATGTATTCTGATCAAGAATTTTCGACACAATGAAAGATACACAAAGAAATCGATATTGTTGTTTTATCATTCACATGAAACTCTCTGGTTAGCATGGAATTATTTGGAAAGGTATAGAGGGAACCGATCTAATTTGCAGACTGTATAAATCACACGTTGACCTCAGTTGGGATAACTCTAAAAACAAGGGGCGTTGGACAGCCATACCATCACGGTGTGGAAGTGTGCCCCCACAACTTTGACGTCCCAGCAGTTCTAATGATTAAGTGTTCACAGAGCGACATGTAGAACATTAAATTCGACCCCTGCATGGTCGTAGGTATGCATTATTGAGAATTCTTACATAGGGACGAAATTAATATTCAATACTGTTCGCTTTTCGATAGCACCCTACGTGAAACTAATCTATGAGTACGATCTAATAACATGGAACTAGACTGCAAAACATTCTACTTTTGTATCATCATATTAGACCTAACTTACTTACGCCTGTTACTCCTCGTAAAGGAGCATAGGACGCTCACCAGCATTCTCCATCCAACCATGTCCTGGGCAATCCTTTCCAGCTCCTTCCAGTTGTAATTAATCCTTTTCATACCTGCTTCTCGTTCCCGACGTAATGTGTTCTTTGGCTTTCCTCTTTTCCGTTTTCCTTCAGGATTCCAAGTTAGTACTTGCCTCGTGATGCAGTTTTGATGATTTGCGTAATTTATGTCCTATCCACTTCCGACATCTTTCCCTAATTTCTTCTCCATCTGGAAGCTGGTTTGTTCTCTCCCACAGAAGGCTATTCCTGATGGTATCCGGCCAATGGATGTTGAGTATCTTGCGTAGACAGCTATTTATAAATACTTGTACTTTCTTGATTGTGGTTGTTGTAGTTCTCCAAGTTTCAGCTCCGTACAGTAGAACTGCCTTGACGTTCGTATTGAAGATTCTCACTTTGATATTGGTTGAAAGTTGTTTTGAGTTCCATATGTTCTTCAATTGTAGGAATGCGACCATTGCTTTGCCGATCCTCGCCTTTACGTCTGCATCTGAGCCTCCTTGTTCATCGATGATGCTTCCCAGGTGTGTGAAGGATTCTACATCTTCCAGAGTTTCGGCATCAAGAGTGATTGGATTGCTGTTCTCCGCTTTGAATTTGAGGACCTTAGTTTTCCCTTTGTGTATGCTGAGGCCTACTGGTGCAGAGACTGCTGCTACACTGGCTGTCTTCATCTGCATCTGTTCGTGTGTACGTGATAGAAGGGCTAGGTCATCTGCGAAATCCAAATCGTCTAATTGATTCTGAGCTGTCCATTGTATTCCGTGTTTTCCTTCAGATGTCGAGGTCTTCATAATCCAGTCGACCACCAGAAGAAAGAGGAAGGGAGAGAGTAAACAGCCTTGTCTCCGCCTGTAGCTCTTATAGGGTTACTGCCGGTCCCAAGTCCGGGTAAATGAGGAGGGTTGGGCATGGGGTTAGCGTCACCATCCCGTAGAAAACTAACTCGCTAAAAAACGCTTACCAGAAAAAATAATCATATTAGACCAGTAGCCATAAATATGGTCCTAAAGATAGCATAATCGGTTACAAGAAGTGTTTAAATCAAGGTGACACTATATGAAAATTCGGTTTAGCTACATCTTTTCAATACTAATCATATTCAAAAATTCGTCATTTTAAAGTTGAAAAATCTGTTAACTATGACCTTTACAGCACACCATGGTTAAAATTATTTATAGTTGCTAAGATACAGAAATATTTTTCAAGACATTCACAATAACATATGCATTGATTAGTAATGGTGTTTGCCAGTCAATATATATAGATATAACATGCAAGATTTATGGTCGAATTCATTACAGAAAACAATAACCACAACAAAATAAATAATCAAGTGTCCGAATTCTGTTGTGGTGTGAAAATCAAGTATGTTAAAATAGTAATTTACATGGAGGTTAACCGTTTACTAACAGTTGACTTTTATACACATATAGTTCTTTTTTTAATTTGGAGAGAAGAAAACAATTAGAGAAGAATAACATGAATTTACTTCATTAGGTGCCCACCAATTATTTATTACCTGAGATAAAGCTTAACATTTATTATTATGATTAGAAAGTGTTTGAATGATCCCATTGTTGATAATCTTGTTTGAATTAGTCTTTATTGTTAGATATGTGTCTTGTGCAGTTTGCCATGATATATTGTCATTTTGTCACACAGTTTTTAGGCAGAACGGATCGATTATCGCTAGAGGTGGAACAATAACACTGAGATGAAGGTACGTACCTTCAGTTGATGAATTCTAAATAAAATGAAAGGCGTTTTTTATATTTCAGTGCTAGTCCTAAGCCATCTATTATGTATAGAACTTAATACACTTATAAGATTAGTGTTCATTACATTCTTAGTGTGAAAATATATCAGCAAAGTTGATAATAATAAGTCTATAATAATCCCAATGAATAAGCATTAGAAATTCTGACGTTTGATGACTTAAGTCTCTTCTTCAGAATAAATCAATAATTGAATTCGGTTTGCACCATCACACGTTTATGTAGTGTTTGGGTTGATGGATGTGCATACACAAGTTGAAGTGATAGAATGAAATGAGCTTTGAAAATATATACTCTGTTGACTAGAAAAAGAGCTCATATATGGTTTTTGTGTTTTGCAGTAATTTTGATCACCCACAAGTAATATTAAGATGATTTACTTATATAAAATCCCACCAAATAGTATTTAACACATGTGAAATATATCATCACCGAAAAATATACCATATTCAAACGAACTGTAAAGAAAAATTTATCTACAAGGTGAAAATTTAACTCACTCCATCATCACCTAATGTTTCTAGGAGAATTAACAAAGTTGGCTTGAAATATTCATCCCAATTACTGATAACACCATCACGTAATAATTTGATAAGTTTTAACATACATGTCTTTCTTTGTTCATAGCTTGAATTAATATGAGACAGAGAGATAGAATGAAAATAAGAAAAAATTGCAATGAAGAACTACAGTGTAGAAAAAACTTCGAAAACAAACTAAAAAATAGAGAACACCGTTGAAAAATGACAGTTGAACAAAATACAAACACAAATAAAGCTGTTGTTAGTGAAACGTTTAGCAGGATGTACACAAAATTGTCAAATAGGCTTCAACCTATATGCATTTGTGACAGTTTGGCAGTATTTGATCTATATCATAGCGATTGATTAAGCTGTGGAGTGTATTTCCATAATTTGTCAGTTTCAGAAATAAACTCATTAAACTATTCTAAGTACGAATTATGGGACAGAGTAATTATACTTTAGTAGAGAGATGTGTATATATAATTTAGGGGTGATTTTTTTCACAAACCTTTACCATGTCAAGTGGTATTAAACACTAAAGAGTACTGAGTCGGCAGTTTAAACGCTGTTCGAAACTCATTTATAAAGGAATGGGTTTTATGCTAAGTGAGACGTTAGTTCATCAGTGACATTATTTAATGACGAGCATATATTAAGGGTTAAAATAGTGGGTTGTTGGATTACTAAAGTTCTGGGAGATATTTTAAAAAATTATTTAGCTTTTCTCTCCTCAAGTTAGACAAATGAATGCTTCTACATACATAATGGATGATATTTAAAGCCAATTACATGATCCAATTGTTTAGAAATTAACAAGATCGTTTGAAAAACATTTGAGTGTTTATACATCAGTTTTTCGAATCGACGCCATTTAAAAATGCAAAGATTGCAAAAATCTTAATCAATTACCATTACTTCTACTAATCTATGAATGTACTGAAAACAACAGCTGAGTGAATTTTATTTAATTAAACACATAAACATTGGTACAAGGAAGCCCCAAATACATATGTGCCACACTTCATCATTCCATTTGCGTGAGGGCTGAAATACTACCCGTGTGCCCAAATCGAAGGAATATTTATTTCTTATAACTTTAACTTTTAATAAAATACAAAAATGGAAATAATGTGAAAAAGACTTCCGCTGAATATGTAAGCTGTTAATGTGAATGACTTGACATGTGTGATTGATTGTTCTTCGTATGTATTTATTTCAATCATGTTGACATGTATGTCTTTCATAGTAGTTCCAGAAGTGAATTGTATTGTTTAGTTATTAATTTCTATTAGCAAGTTTAGTTATTAGAGTTTGAGGTTTAGAAGAATACTTTGACATACATAATATCACTTCAGTATATGTTTAGGATAACCTGATTGCCATGTGCATATTCACAATGCTAAAAATAATAACAATATAGTGTTCAAATGGAGATATTTTTAGCACTGATATTCGATTTGATGCTTATTTGTTATATTGGGAAAAACAACAGTATATGTAAACAATTTTTAAAAATCCAGTTAAAAACTTTTTGTTTGTGTATAGTGTACATGATGAAATGGACAAAAGTATAGTTTCCCACTAGCTATTTGATGAACTTGATTCCTACTGTCATATAATTTTTTTCCACTGCAGCACATATTTGAAACGAATAAACTTATTTATCGGGCATATATATATATATATATATATACGGCTTCGAGTCATACGTTTATTTGGGTTTGAGAGCTAATATTACTACCTAAATTGAACTGGAACGATTGATGTAGCCACTACTCCATAGAGAAATCGTTTGAGTTATTTGACTGGAACTATTTGTAAATGAATTTTATTTTCTACTAGTTGTTCAGTGCTATCATGGCTTTTAATAAGTCTGTCGGCTTCAGATTTGTAGCAATAAGAATGATGAGATTGCATGCAGGGTATCAAGGGAAATACCAAGTTGTTAGTGGATCTTGGTTGGAATACATATTACGTATACTTCAACCACTTCCTACCTCGACAGGTAATGATAACTGGTGCAGAAGTTAAAAGAAAGCTAGGAGAGGTCAAAGGAAAATGCAGTATCAAACCATGAGGTTGTTGAGTATTGTTCTGAACCAGGTTGTTAGGTGCAGACTACTTGGTTGTGGTCCACACAATTAACAGATTTAAACGTTGGATGATATTGATCACAATGGCGAAATACAATTACTTTTTATCTTCCTCAAGATCATGAGTTTCATTTACTTTCTGGAATAAAATACATGAAGTAATTTTCGTTCTTCTAGAATTATATCTTATATGTCTAATTCTTTTTACTATAATTTAAAATAATAATAATTCTACTACTCTGAGATCGTCTTGAAGATTTTATTTTGATATGTGCATATAGTATGGTAACTTCACATAATGCACATATGTACCCATTTCTACATTGCATATGGAGTGACATTCTAACTAACCGAATGCTCATATAACTAGTGTGGTTTGAAAAGGACTATTCAGGACTCGTGTTTGATATCCTAAACAAACTACGGGAATGAATAAACTGATCCATATACCAGGAGGGTGTGAATGTAAAAAAATACACGAATTATAAAGTAGTTTAAAAAATAACAAAGAAAGGGGAAAAGATTCAAGAAAAAGCAAACGTTGAAAGATATTTTCCTCGCTTACATAACCTCATCAAAGTATGGAAAATAATTTGATAGTCAAGGAAAGCTCTTCGAATAATATACGGAATAACAAAGAATTATTACTACTTCAGCAAACATGATGGGAAATCAAAAAGAAGAAAGACTTGTGCAGAACCGAGTATGCAGCATCAATACATGAGTTAAATGACTGGTTGGTTTTAGTTGTGTATGAAAATATGGGCTTCTCATATAGGAAAATTCAGGATCAATCATTATCGACTGTCAACGTATTTGTACTGTTACATATGCCTAACTATCGCTTAACTCGACGAAATATATCTACTGTTGGAGTAAGTTGGAAGAAAGTTAAAAGGCGTAGCATCAAAGCAAAATGTGCCATCAGTCCATGAAGTCACTTGACTGTAGGTTTAAGTCATGCAGGTGGGTGGATGAAAATTGTTGGCGAAGGACGACGATCGGTGATTGGAAGCTTCGAGTGAAATAGCTCGGAATAGTTCATAATAAAGGCATCCCCTCCTTTTTTTTCCCAATCTTGAATTCCAGTATTTTTTCATATACACTTTCCCAACCTATCTTTTAAAATCATATTCCCGGGATTTAGTCTTTCTTTTTATCACTATTACTACGTTACTTCGATCACTTTTGCTACTTTTATCTCGTCGTGTTAATCAGGTATGGCAATTCAGATCAACGCATATCTATGCCGGGCTCTTTGTTGATTTTTCAATTCACATTTAAACAGTTCATGAAATAATTAGTAGTATTTTAGAAAAGAAGAACAAGTCAATATTGACTACTTTAAATAGTGTCTGTTTTAAAGAGGAATAACAGTATTGATTGAGAGTCTATTTAATGCCATCAATATCTATTTCCAAAGTTATTTTTACTTTATTATTAATTATTTATGACTATTTTTCTTTTGGCACATAGATCCCAGATGAATGAATCTTTCTAATTTTATTAATTTATGTATTCCATCAGAAGAGTAGGTTGGTAACTAAAATACAGATTTAACACATTGATCTTCACCAGATTGATGTGAATGGCCAATCAGCAAAATAAACAGGTACACAGGGTTTGCAAAATCTATGAGACAGTATTTACGACTGTGAATTCCTTTCTACTGTTGATTTCTACTCTGACTTTCATTGTGTGCAGACTTCTGGTTTTTTGTGTTGAATCGTGTATCTTAAGTATAACGTGATCGAGTCTAATAATTTGATGTGTAATGATTAATGATACTAGTTGAAAATAAGTTTTGAATCCGAACACCCAATGATTGTATGCAATACTTACTAAGTACCTTACTTCAAAACCGTACAAAAGGAAGATTGATAGTAACAATAACGAGAATAAAACTTAAATATTAACAGTAAAAATATTATAAAGTTTGCGAACTAATTAGTCAATACGTATCAGAAAAATGGAAAAGTGCATAACAAATAAAACTTTGTCATTTTGTTCAAAAGCAAAACACAGACAATTTCCGTTAATGTGAAAAGAAAAATGCAAAGTCTACACTACTGGAATATTGAGAAAACTTTATTAAAACGGTTGTTGAAAATTTGTTGAAGTAGTAAGCAATGATGATTGTATAGACATAGAAAACACTAAAACTACAAACAAGAATGAAATGTTTAGACAGTAGGTTACATCGATCAACCAATCAGCCACTGAGACATATATACTTACATTATAAAAACGGGTAAATCTAGGTGTCAAGATATTGAAATGAATGACAGTTAACCCACTACAATATAGAGTAACTCAACTAACCAACGACATCTTGGTTATAATGCTAACGAGTATGTTTCAAGAACCTAATCTCGAGTACACAGCTTCTATCGGTAACGGACTGAGTTATTCTGCCACTGCCACTAACTCTTAGAGAAGTACATTTCGGACAAAATGGACTAGGATTTTCTGGTAATCTTCTGAGAACTATGTTGCATTTAGACATTTTAACCTAGCCGTTAAAGTCAAGTAAAATTCTATTTTACATCAAAGCTCAGCGAAATGATTGCCACAAATCGATATTAAGGATTGTGAAGAAACTGTGTGACATATAATTTTGTTAGCAGTCCTTTTTAAAAGTGAGAGTGTTATGAATAATTTATTTACAAAAAAAAACCAAAAAAAAAAACAAAATTAAACAACCCCAATATTCAATACATTTTCTAGTCAAATTAAAAACAAATATTGATAGTAATGAAACAAAAAGTGTTCATAAACATCAAAAAAATAAAAAATAAAAGGAGGCGGGAGCGTGAGAAACTAAAGAGAATGGTGACACCAGCACTCACGTGACATTATCTCTAGATGGGAATTGATTTTATTAATTCATTGAATAAATGTTACAAAACATTCACAGAAACACACAATAATGATGATAATCTATTGTTTATCATTTAATTTATAGGAAAAATTAACGGGAAAAAGTTATGCAAACCTATGAGTGTATGTGGACAAGTATGTATTGAATCGAAATAATTTATGATGAAATAATGAAATTAACAGTAACCGCCTACTCAACAATGTATGCACATGCAAATAAAAATTAAAAAGCAAAACAATCGTAGTATACTTTACTGATCATAGTAAATTGGTTGAAGCAAATTAGGCTATGATAAATCACCTCTTTAACATGTATATATGTATATAATACACAAGTATGCAAAAGTGTCTAAGTTTATGATCATTATTAATAGTGGTTTACGATCCGATTAGTGATGAGAAGTATTATTAGAAATGTTCACTAATTAAATGATAGAAATTGGAAAATCATGTGTATGTTTGTTATAAATAGAAAATTCTACGAAAAAAAGAGTTTTGTCTAATGTTTTTTTTCTCTTCAATTCTTCCAAATTATACGATTGAACAATAAACCTATAGTTTGAAGCATATGATATTTGTTAGGGATGCAGAGGAATATACCGATCATTATCATGTTAAGTCTAATGATGTCCTTGGACTTTAAATGAACATTCCCTATTGACCATTATTTATTTCACTCGTTAAATATTGTACAGATGTTGTTTTCTATTTTTATGGTACGATGTGGTCTGTTTGGTTGGTATGTAAACAAAGTATGTTTGAAATATAACGATTCATATCTCAGAGGTTAAGACTTGCGTTCTGGACTCAACTGGCTGGGCTAGACAGCGGAGCAGGGCCAATCGGGACTCTAGGTTGTTCATTTCGTGTTTACGTGTCACTGAATCGATCAATAAAACGCTGCGCATCTAACTTGCAATCTACCCGTTACAACACATTATTGTCAAAAAAGATGGTATTCCATTTACGAAATTTAAGCTTACGAAAGAAATTGGCACTAAAGAGAATAAGTTTCTCAATTACATGATTTTTTTATAAGAAAAAACTATTGAGAAGATGGGGAAAAGTTTATATGGAATTTGTTCTCATTTGCTGAACATGTATTTATAATTGAATCGAAGAAACCTTCTAGTATGAGATTGTTTAGGTTTCTTAAAGTGGAACCTTCCTTGACAGAGACATAAATTCCAGCATAGAATGTAAGATTGTATGATGGTTGCAAGTGAAATTACTAAATGTTTTGGGGATACGCCTAAATTCAGGAAAAAACAACTTTTCCGTCACACAAATACTACTATTCACAGAAATAAGTTCGAAGCAATAAATTTGTTTTACTAATCACAAAATAAAATGAATGGTTTCTGTTAATACATACTGAATGGAGTATAGATTGGGAAGCACTACATAGAACTTTTTCTCTACTGAATATCAAACATAATTATTGGAAAAAAACAAATATGCAAATATATGAAATCAATACTGTTTTTTTTTAGAAAATCAAAGACGACAAAGAAAAGGGGGCGTAACGAGAAATCAATTAGGTAATCAGAAGAGAGAAAAACTATTCAAAGCAAATTAATTGACAAACATAAAGATAACGTTCTGATTTTTTCTCAATTAAACGGAAAGGAAATCAATTTGTCACTTTTTGTACTTAATGTAAACAATAACCAATTTAGGATAAAACGACAAAGAAGACAATTAACGATGCCATTTATGTGGAAAAGCGAGAAAATGAGAATAAGTAAACTAGCCCATAAAAGACGTTGAACACTAATTAGAAAAAGGGAGAAATATCATGTGATCTGTTGTTTACAATCGACTATTATTACACAATAGTTGTAGCTTGCTAATTAACACTGATTCATAAAACAAAAAGAATAATCTAAATGGCTATATTCAAATTCTTCAAGTAACCAATTAACTAGTTTTGGTATACTCATGTACTACAAGAAGAGAAACCCAAATAGGTAAATCACTTTTTGAATGCAAAAATATACAAATGATGAGATTTAAAGATTGAAAAAAAAATAAAAAACGGTAAAAAACAAATATGGGAAATAGTTGAAGATGTTAACCAATCGTTAACTTGTATACCAGATACGGATTTGTTTAATAGGTTCAAGGACATTGTGAATCTAGGAGTCAGTGAGTGAGACTATCGTCACAAGGTCATGTGAAATAGTATAGACACCCTCATTTTTGTCTACATTAACTAACCTAAAAGTAAAGCATTGTTTTCAGACTTCGTGGCTTTTCTCTCGTGTTCAAGTTGTCGTGTAGATTTAGCCTGGGGATATTAGAAGAGATTAGGAAACCAATTCAAACACTCATCAATAGCGATGAAAAAATCTACTGTGGAAGTTTCTTTCGAACAATTAGAAGTCTATATGCAGTGTTTCAGTCTCAAATAAGAATCATGGAAACCCTTTACAGTCAATTTGTGGATGCCATGTTACAGGGTATTCCAGGAACAGTAACTCATATGTATGACATCATAATCATGGAAGAAAACATAATGGATATACAAAGAAGACCTGATCAGGCTATCACGCATAGATCAATATGGTTTTATATGCACCAGGTACGATAACTCGGTTTCATAATAGATAGAGATAGACAACGACCAGATTCAGAGAATATGGAAGTTGCCCAGAACAACGGATATTTTTACTTTACGATCTTTCTTAGGAACAATTAGTCATTACGGATATTTTCTTTTTGAATTCCATCACCTACATGCTCCACTGTACTACCTACTGGTAAAAAGGCGAAATGGAGTTGGTCCACAGCTTGCTCAGTGCATTAGGAAGGATAAAGTTTGTGACAACGCAATTATTAAATTGATATGTGTCAATGCTCACTCAGTGGTTGTACACTGTCAGTTGCAACAAACAATTATCGGGTACATTTTTGAAAATAAAACGTATTGCCTAATACTCGACCAATATCTGTAAGCAGAATATGAAGAAATCTTTAAAAAAAAAACTAGGCAAACCAATGAAACAAGTAAATGTTAATACTTAACAACAACTCAGAATTGAGGGAAATTCACTAGATGGGCGAACACAGGTAAGTCAGTTTCACGCTCGATGAACACATGGACAGGCACAATCAATATAAGAGAACAGTCAAGAAAAAGAGAACAAGAAATATAGTTTTGAAAAATGGAAAGAAAAAATATTATCCCAAACAAAATCATCCAGGGCATGAGTAAAGGATAAATTTCCTTACCATAATGTCTATTAACAAATCAAGACAGAAAACTGATCAAATAAAAAGCGAAAAACAGTTAAAATATGGTTAGTTAAATTGCAATTGTATTGAGAAGTACTCAATTTGATATTGGGCCAGTTGAAGATAGTCAATACATAGCTATCAAAATTGGTTGCATTATCGTCACAGTATAGTGCATTTTAAACAGAATGGACGTGTTCATGATAAGTTTCGAGAAAAACAACACTAATACACAAATCAAAATCACAAACAACATATTTAAAAAAAAACATATTTGTGGACTGAAAAGGAGAGGAAAAATCTACAAGAAAATCTTAATCTATCTTACCGTTCATTGTGATTCGATAATTCCTGGAGTATTTCAGACATGATATCTTCTGGGGGCATTTCTAAACAACAACAAAGAAAAAGATTAGAAACTACAAATTAATATGCAAACTGTATGCTTATAAAAGAATTGGACATTGACATAAACACTGATACGCCACATGCATATATAACAGATAATACATGCTTCAACACAGAAATGATTTTATTATGTGATTATCACATAATTAACATCATCAAATTGTAGGATCCGTGAATACCGGACAAACATAAACAAACAATTAAAGGAGAGAAAATCTAATGAAGAAAAAAGTATGTGCTATAATTTATGCATAAATAAATAATAATAACAAATACACAGCATGATTGCATAAACCATACAAAGAAATCACCATAAAATTGTTAATAAATAATAATTATTATTACGGTGGAAAGCAATAATATTAACAGAGATAATTAAGTTTAAGTAGCCGTAGAGAGAAAAAATGTGCAAGATAGGAGAGTTTAAAAACTAAGTAAATAAACAAACACGATAGCATACATTGAACAATCCATTCTTACAGTTTTAACAACAACAACAACAACAAACACAAATATCAATACACTCATTACAGAGCTAGCTAATACACATGTAACAACATATAAGTGCTTTCACTTATACTAGTGATAAACAAATAAATATAATGAAAATGTTTTGTTTTGCTCTTATTTTTTTCTTTTCCAGTGAACAGAACAAAAGCTTACCGCGTATTTTTTTTAACGTCTGATAACCAATTACAGGTTTTTTTAATTTTGGCCCTATTCATTGTAAAATATGTATTATGATGATAATGATAATAGTGAATGAAAAATAATTTCATTCATTATGGAAAAATATGACAACAAATTAAATTAAGTATATCGGTAAGTACATAAAATGAAAAAAGTTATACATATATATATATATATATATATATATATATATATATATATATATATACACTTTCAACACAGCAAACTGACATTTGCATATTGTTAGTTTCAGCTATCCGTATTGGTAAGTTGAAACTGTCTTAACTGGTAAGAATTCACATGATTGGTATGAAATTATACGAGACAACTCAGAATAAGTTGTAATGAAGTAGATACATTTACTTTTTGTCTCCCTTCACGGCCTATATACTGAAATTGGAAATGATTTTACACTTTTTATTCCTCAAGGTAAATTTTTCTTCTCGAGTCATATTCATTATAACAAAATATTTTTATTACCATCGATACTACCATTACTGTAAAACAAGACAATAGGCAGAAGGAATCTATACTTATTTTAAATTATAAAGCGTTTATATAGTACATATATATATAACCTTCAACCATCTATTCGTATCTTTCGATGTGTTCTGCAATTTGAACTTTTTTCGTTTAGTCCCCAAGTGTTCTGCCTACGCAGTAGTTTCGCTTTACTGAAACTCTCCACTTCGTCTGACAACTTCGAGGTCACATTACGCAATATATTACTTACAAACAACCTCGTGAGTAACATCCACTACACTACAAATGTGATATTTATATAGTTATTTTTCTCTTGTTTATTTATTTAAACACATAAACATTAGTACAAGGAGACATCAAATACATATGCGCCACACAAATCATTCGATCTGTGTAAGGGCTAGGATACTGCCCGGAAGTGGCAGCTAGGATCAATGTATAGAAGTATTAGATTGTAACTAACTGACTGGTTCAAGTTGGAATTAGTTGAGATAAAATGTAGTGTTATATGTGGACAAAAAATCGATCAATAGAGTTGTAGTCTGAACGAACTAAACATTAAACAGGTTAAGTAATTTAAATGTAAGCTTCCAAAACAGATATATATTTAGTTAAACAAAAATATGATAGTAAGGTATACAGCTTTTTTGATTATTTGTTAAGAGAAATGAGAATTGTGAAAATATATTAATTATTGTAACGTTGGTTTTAGGCAAGAAGCAATTATAAAACAGGATATAGAAAATTGATGCCGATATGCGTTGAAATTATAAAAAAATTATAGGAAATAAAAGAAATTCCCATAGCAGTTGAGTGATAAAATTATATTTATTAAAGAATTGTGGCTTTAATTCAATGTATATCAGATTATACTTAAAGAGGAAGCAATATTGAATCGGAGAGCACACAGTATATATGTGTAGTGTCTGGTGCTATGTTAGGCTCACAAGGATTATTTTAACTTTCTGAAAAAACCAATTTATCCATTCCTCTTTAGTCACATTTTGACCATTATTATTATCCGCCTATTAACCCTGACTGTTTTTATATGTGTGCATTGCCTATCCTATTCATCACATGTCTGTAGCTTATTTTTGTCTGACTATAAAAATTGAGTTACGGTTGATCAAATCGAGTTGGCTCCCTCGTCTTCGCTGTCCTGATTCTGATTGTCCGTCTGAATAAACGAGTGTTTGTAGTAAAAATTCTCCAACGCAATCCGTATTCGTCTTTATATTACCTTCGTACGATCAAACCGGAGTCAGATACTGGGCTACACATGTAAGATGACACATTGATTTTATCATTAACTTTCGTATAGAATAATTAACATGACTGATTTCTTCTTTCTAGTCTTTGACATAGTCAAAGTTTATTTTAATAAATTAGAAACCTATTTCCTCTTAAATTAACAACACAGAAAAATAATATTAAGTATATACATAGATGAACAAGTGAAAGGAAAGAGAGGAATAAAGCAAATTGACTTCACTTACCATCACCAGGATCATAATTGATAAGTGTATTTAAAAGAGCCTGAAAAATGATCAAAAAACAAACATTGTACATAATAAATGAAAGGCGATTTTGATTTAAATTCATTGAGTTTAGTGTTGATAAGAGTATGAGTGATAAGTGAACACAACCCAGCAAGAAATCAATTTGTTATCTAGTCAAGTATAGAAAATTACGAAGCGGAGCATACATTAAAATTATCTGTATATTTAAAGTATCTACATCAATATTATAAAGAGATGAATAGAGAAGAAAAGAAGGAATGAACAACATAAGACTTATGAATGACTTAATAGAGAAATATGATATGTAGTAACTTAATTAAAAGTCAAAATATTAGATAATTGGTCGGTAAGAGTAGATTTGTTGAGCAGCGTAGTCGAAATGATTTTATTAATCAATTTTTCTTGTTTTTGGATGAATTAGCATCAATCAACTCATAACTCAACTTTGTTGGAGTTTTAAGGTGTTCAGAAATCTACACAAAACAGCGTTATTTTTTATAATTATGATTATCTAACAACGGTGGCTTAGTGGTTAGGCCGTTCGACTTTAGTTGTTACTAAGTCTCACGTCAAGCTCCACCACACCTACTTCACTTCAAGCAACCACGTATCATCATAATGGTATACTCATATCCAAGTACTTGGATAATGAGAGAATTTTAGAAAAATATTCAATGTTTAACAGTAACAGATTAGATATAGTTAATTGATAACCTGAGAATCAATAAAATAAAATAAATAAATGTGCCACTGGGTTGCCACTGATTTATGTATTATCAGAACACTTCCGTTTGGTCGTACCAAAACTAAATCGATACACACTGATGAGTGGTCAAGACTTTCGATCTGTGGTAATTAGTCACAACACCAATTGAGCACATTTTGTCTGAATAAGTTATAACGCAAATGAGAATAAATGCTGTATGATAAGGTACATAGATCCATGTAGCAGTGTTGATGATGCTGTTCAGCCATTAAAGCTTAAATCGGTGTAGTATTTATCAGTTATTGCTGCTAAATGGGAAAAGTACGTCAATAAATGATTCACAATTTTATATTTGACAGGGTAAATTATGGTAATTACAATGTGAATCAAAGGCAGTCAATTGAATAAACAGTGCAACTTGTAGTTTCAATAAGCTATACATTTATTCATAAGAAACGTGGATCACTGAAAATCAGACGCTGGATGTAATAATACAATTTTATAAGTAATCACTTACTTTATTTGTACGTAACCCATATGTAGACTGCAGTGTTGGATCATTAGAAGCAGTAGTACCTTGTGAGGAAGCATAACATTGATTTACATTAGATGGAATAATATTAGGTGGCTGTAATGATGTTGGTTGTGAATTAAGAAAATTATTTGGTTGAACAGTACGTAATACACCTGTATTACCATTTGTAGCATATGTATAATCGTTAGTTGTAAAGCTGGGATCAGCAGATACTCTGCGTGTTGGACTTGTTATCGCTGACGTTGGAATACCACCCCCACTCGCACCAACTGAAAGTGATTGAAGGCCATCGGTTGTTTCACGAATAATACGATTCATACTTTCAGGGCTTACTCGACCACTGTCACTGCCAGTAGAGTTATGAGAACGTTGTGAAGAATAATATGGTCCAGAGATTGATCCATATCGTCCACTACTTGGTGGTGAAAAAATCATATGATCTTGATCAGCAGATCTATAAAAAGATATCATAAAACTTGAAAGACAATCCTATAGGCAAAGTATAGGTATGGATTTATGCATAGTGGTAAAATCTAGAATAGATTAAAAATGAGCACACAATCGCTGAAAGCAGATCAATTAAAACATGCTTAGATTTTATTTTGGTGAAAAAAGGAAAAATAACGAATACACATTTGAATTAATGAACATAAACAAATTAACGTATATTTGTTAGTGTAAATAGAAACACATGTATGTATGTGTATAGATGAAGGTTAAAATTAGTCATATAATCAAAATACTTTTTTCAGTAATGTTCTATGGTAGCATTATTAACACTAATGCAACTATTAAGAGGAAATGATGTCAGCAAATAGATAACACTATTTTGATTAAAATCATTTAAAAAACTGTAATCAATCTAATTGTCGAAGTGGTGTATTAGCTAAGTAAGTTAACCACTTACAAACTAATACTAGTTTAGTAAAGTCTTGGTGGATCTTAGTGTCAAAAACCCAACACCACATAAAAAAGGATGGTGATTGTGAGAAAAAACAAGTTGATATAACTGAAGGTTAGTTATTAAAATAAACGAAAAATAAGCCTATAACTGATAGATTGAATCAACCAGGAACAGGTCAAGTGAATAGTTTATGTGAAATTGTTTTTTCTTAAGAGAGTAAGCATGTACCATTAGAGGGATAATCGTTAAGATAACAGATACATAAACAACTGGATGCACATACACGTCGATTTAATTGGTCAAAAAATTTCTTACTTATGTGGCCACGTGTGTTGGTGTGTAGAAAGCTTGCACACCAATATTAGACTCAGATAACGCACATAAAAACAGTAACTTATAGTTACTACACTGTACAAAATACCCGAACGACGTCGATCACGGGCATACTATGTTTTGTTTGGCAGAATACATTATCATAGCAAAAAGGATTCGAATTATCAACAATATGTATTAATTTCGGACTCTAATCTATTCAACTTAACACTATCTTCATGTGTACCACATTACACCAGACAGAATAGACGTACAACACATAAGAAATATAAATAAATATATATTTACATGTATGAAGATTACACGTAATTTAATGTGTTGAAATATCCTTGAATATTTTTGTAATATTCATTCAATTTTATAAGTTATCCCCTGATATATTTCTTCTCTCAATTGATTTTTTTTATCTACTCAATAAGAATTCCGTGATAAGTCCTATGAGTCTATTCAATCAATTCAGATAATTAAGCAGTTGTATCAAGCTGGCTATAATAGTAACATGCATGAGATGTATCATTCTAAGAATAAATTCATTATCAAAAATACACATTCTCTAACAAGAACACAAATTAAACAATTCATTAAACGGACAAATGATTTTTTTAGTGCATATAGTAACGGTTGTTTATTAATCATTCTGTGTGAAACATACACACAAAATTGACTTCATATATGTAATAATAATAATAGTAATAATAATAATAATAATAATAATGATTATTATTATTATTATTATTATTATTATTATTATTATTATTATGAACAAGAAGAAGAAGAAATAATTAGCCAGCAAAATATTCTGAAAGAAAAAAAAAAGCATAATGAAACTGAGATGAAAGTGATTTTGTGTAAGAAATTAGGTTTTTTTTTTAGTTAATCAATTAGACATGTACAACGTAGGACCAGGTGTATATAAGCAACGGGCCAAGTTGCCATACCTCATTAGCACAACAAGATGAACACTAAATTCATAGAAGTAGTTAATTTAATGGTACTAATATATAAAACAACGATTGCATATAAGGATATGGTACAGGGAGAAAGAATTAGTTTATAGAAAGAAAGGAATAAAGTAATTTAAATCTCACGGTTTAAGGGAAAACAAATAGTATATATACCTACGCAATTGTGATCGATCTGAGTCATGTCACTCAGATTCTCCAACCACTGGTTACGATAGTGTGTTAGTATTACATAAGAAGGTTCATTTGTAAACCATAAACTAGTTAAAATGGATTAGTAAGCTAACGACAAGCTCAGATTTCAGTTAGTTATGAAAACAATAACAGCATAGTATCTGGTAGGTATTGATGTTGATTTATTCTATTTTAAATTACAGTACGAAAAACAGGTATTAATAATAAAGTGACTTAGTGAAGGGACTGGAGATCTTCTGAATGTAAGTGATGTACGAATAGTTTACAACTCTGAGAATCAGAAAGTTTTCATCTTTTGACAAGGTACTATTTATTAGTTATTGAAATCTTGATCTAGCACTATCTAGACTCTTTCAAACGGTTATCTCCCTGATCAGTGGAATTAAACATTGGAGGATAAAAGAAAGCAACGTAGATTTAACTTATGAAAACAACTAAATAGAAGTTTTGTTTAACAAAGATGATAGGCATAAAGTTATTAATGGGTATATTTGTTTGCTGTAGTAAATGAACTAGTAGACGTACGACTTCAGGTTACACATATTGATTTTGTCATTACAAAAATGGAAATGAGAAACATCTTAATGAAAATAGCAATAGAATCTATCAATAAAAAATTCACATAGCTCATTTGTTAAGTACAGGTATATGCACTCAATTTTGAGTCACAAGTGAGAGGCTAGTCATATACTATTCGGCTACCATGATTTTAATCTATGACCAACTTGTCAGAAGCTAAGTGTTTTAACAAATAAACCACTATGCTTCAATTAATAATGGTGTGTACTCGAGATTATTAGCAGTCAAGATTGGACATTTTGATCCTGAAGCAAACAATGTCCACAGCAACCAGTCTTGTTTAAACAGCGATTGCGAAAACGTTAAAAAGAGCCTACAAGACATACGTCTGATTGAGAAGGATATTGATCTGACAAGAGTGAATTACAACTTATAGACGTATTTAAAGAGAAAAATGGCCAACCGTTATGATCATATTAAGCAAGCTAGTTGAAAGGTAAATAATCATAAAAATGATGGTATAAAGGACATGTGCCAAAATTTTAGCACTTTATAAATCTAAAATGTAAGGAGTAGTGCGGTGGTGAATATTTAATCAAAATTATAAGACACGTAAACATGCATACATCAACGATGAAATAAGGTAAGCAATCACAAGATCTCAATAGTAAAACATGTAACGCTATACTACTTATTTAAAAGCAATAAAATGTATGAATAGTACACAAAGTAAACATACACACGAACGAATACAGAGAAACATGAAATGACATGACATGAAAAAAGTAGGTGATTAAGTGCATAAATAAACATTAACGGACCAAACAACAAACAAATGACATAATGATGAAAACAAAACAAAGACAAAACAATGATACAAACCTAGTCATAGGACTTCGACCTGTTGATGTTACAGGCAGAGAATATTTCCTCAATGATCCTGAACTGAAACAGCCGTATTAGTAGTGATAGTAGTAGGAGTAAAAGAAGTAGAATGAGAATGAAGACAATAAAAGCAATAAGAGAGATAAAATACAAAATACATAAATATATGAGATGTATGAACGAATACAAATGTAATGTAATAATGTATGCTAACAACGCTTACGTAAATAAATACACACACACACAAGGGGGGATAATAAACATGCATGAAGTAGCGGATTTTGCTAAATTATACCTTATAGTGATATATATGCACGGTATATATACAGGCAAAAGGGAGGTATTTGAAGGATTTATGAACAACAGACTCAATAAACAAAATGAAAGCCTTCATGAATAAATAAATAACTAATTAATGAATAACTTAGATTCCCAAAAATATATTTTGTCTTAAGATTTATAAACAAATTATTAAGCTTATATAAAGATGAAAACAACATAACATCTATTAATAAATAGCGTTTTACCTATAAATGAACTAAATTACAAAGAGAGAGAATTTCAGTTTAAAGATGGAATGAATGATAATAAAAATGATAACAATTTAGCTTACGATGATTTCCATGAAGGAGAATTGTGATTAGTGTCGGTTAAATTGATTAGACCACCACCTGTAGCAGTCTTTTGATAGGTTTTTAATACTTCATGTGCACGATCTTGTACTCCACGAGGCAGTGATTGTAATAAGTTAGAGAAACTTGTGGAATTCAAATCGAACAATTTGATAACAACACGGGAAGCCATCTAAAGAATACAAGGTAGAAAAATGATAGGAAATCACTAATACGAGATGGAGGATGACTAGAGCAAAATAAACTCATGTACCCTCAAGGGACAAAAAACAGATCAGATGTATATCAGTTCGAAAGTGACTCAGGCATAAAAGTAAAGAGATTATTGAAGAACTAAGAAAAACTAGAAGTAAAATGATGGTGGAAATTTGATATTGGGCATCACACCTTGTTTCGATAGTTTTATTACGAAACGTGTTATTTTGATGACAAATGGGCTCTGAATAAGGGATGTCAAAAATACTGTGAATGGCCGATGTCAAACAGTTCCTCAATACAAATCTTGATTTTCACAGGATCGAAAGATACATTCTTTAAGGAAGTGAATAACCAGATTGTGAGAAGTTAAACCCAATGATGACTTCAATATTAGACGAACCGTAATTTCGTACTCAAAAGTTCATGTTTAATTAATATCTTCAGTCTTTAGTTTTCATACATGAAAGAAGGTGGGTTAACTGATCAATGAACAAATACGAAAGCAAACTTATCAAAACGTTGAAGTGTCAAATGACTTTTTATTTTAGCAATAAACTAACATAAAAATATGCAACCAGTAATGATTGTATCGCCAAATTCATTGATACTAACATACACATATACTTTTAGGTTGAATTATTGGTTATTGTAAATGTGCGTGAATGAACATACACAATAACAAATACTAAATAAATTTTAGTCAATGAATAATTACAATATGATCAATTAATTAGTTGTATATAGCTGAAAATTCGCGTCAATATAATTTGAAATATTGTTAAATAATGGATGACAAAAGGATGAAGGACATCATCAACATAGAATCTGATACAGAAGTACGGTGGCTTAAGTTGCTATGATAAGCATATTAATATAAATTTGAATAACTGTAATACTATATCCCAAGAAAATAATGAACTAAAATTATGGAATACTCTTTACAACATATATCCCATTTGTGCTAATACAGTTCTGTTTGTATTGTTTCAACTATGCTTGGAAGTCCTCACAAGTCAGGATTAAGAGCTGTTTTGTTGTCTCATATATTATTGCCTTCAGCACTGTTTGACACGACACGAACATTTCGCATGTTAGGAATAAAATTGTAAGTAGCTAAATCAGTTAAATAGGAGGGAAGATCTAACACGGTGATAGCACAACCTTTAAAATTCGTGGAATTAGGTTTTCGTGGACTCGATACACGTACTTTTGATGGATAAATTTATAAAATTAGAGACTATATCAACATGTAACCAAATAAAGATAGGTGTGGCTCAAAATAGTGAGGTTTTAAGCTACAAAGCCATTGATCAGAACTAAATTGTCTTAAAAGTCAAATTCGGAAGTTTATTGGATAAATTATAAGAAAACAAAACTAAGGTTAGAATAATACACGATGATGTAAAATCACAATATATACAAAAACATTATAAAGTAACAAATCCACAGTACTAACTCGTCGAACATCGGCTGATTTTGGTTCAGCAGACCAACTGATAATTTTTCCAATTGCATTAATAACTTCATTTGATGGATTAGCAATTAAATCTGGACTCATCATTAAAATTAGATCTTTCATGTATTCTAATAGACAAGTTTTAACACGAAAATTTGGTGTATGTGCATTATCCATAATAAAATGACAGCAACTACTGAATTGCGAATTCAAAGGAAAGTGAGATCTATGAATAAAGAATGTTTTGAAAACAAAACATTGGAAGTATAGAAATAGACAGTATAGTCAATAGAGCATTATTTATTAAACGTTCAATGAAAATGACGCTTTAATTAATTTCGCAAAAAAAAACATTATCCACCTAGTGTGAGGAGAGCTATTCGTTTTCAATAAAAATGTGATATCTAGCATTTTTACGTTCATTTAGTGTGCTATAGTCGATATAAGAGGGTAATTTCACAGATTTCATTTCGATTAGCTAAATCGACCTACATATGTCGTTTATGAACATGACACTGCAGCGCATTCCAAATTGTAGAACAAAAAAAAGCAAAACAAGTGAAATTTAGAATCTGAGAAAAAATCCTCAGCTCTACATGCCAGTACTCGTCTACTAAATGGACTAAAAATCGCCTGAAAATGTCACCAAGAGTCTCCAACCACTACTTACGATAGCCGTGCAGACCCCAAACAAGTAGTCTGCATCTACCAACATGACTCAGACTAGAAGTTAGTGATTTCAAGCACTGATGCTATGTTTTGGTTTGGCCGCCCATAACCTTCTTCCAACCATCCCCAACACTAGTTAGTATTGTGCGTCGTGGTAATCGGTGTTCAGGCATGCGCAACACGTAGCCCAACCATCTCAGTCGATGAAGATTCACAACATCATCAACTGATTTGCCGTCATTCCCTAATACCCTGCGTCTAACCTCACTATTACTTACTCGGTGATCCCAGCAGATGCCAGCATAGGTTGGAAGAAAACAAGGATCAGAATAGGTCACAATGAGGCCGTTGTTATATTCATTATTTTTTGTTATCTCACTTAAGATCAAGATTTTTAGTCTTAGTTAACATATACCCTACCAGCCTAACTTTTTAAACCACAATCTCAATGTTTAGTCTTTCTTATTATCATTGTTACAACATTAATTCGATTACTTTTGTTATTTATCGTGGTAATTCTATCTGAACGTTTTGTTATTGTTGTACATAAACGTGGGGATAAATCACATTTTTCGGCAAGCTATACAATGATTACGGTTGAATAATTGATAAACCGGCTATAAACCTTATTAACGAGAAAAGTTATACATTTTATTTTCCAGAACTTCCACATATCGAAATAATACAACTGTACACAACCTTATTTAATGGCAAAGTCGAAATAAAAACTGCTCTTCATCAAAATGTCTTCGCTTAACAAAAAATCATATATATGAATGAGTATGCGAGTGATATCGTCTTACCATATAATGACACTCAGACCATACAATTCGCACTTAATCAGTTGGCAATTAGTGTCTGTAGGTAAGGCATATGCTTTTTAAAACCTCATTTTTATTGTATGAAGCATATGTATTTTGATGGTCCCATCCACCAGTGTTTATGCGTCCAAATGAAATAAATAAATGATTACCTTCCGCATTCTTCCTCTCAATTGATATATTGAATTTCTTGCAGCAATGCTTTCAACAAAAACAAAACTAACGACTGAGTGAATACAGTTCAATTTAGGATGAAACTGTTATTCAACCGTTCATAATATACTAGGTGATACATGTAAGGGACGAATACTAGCAAACTCATATACATGAAATGTCACTAACCTGAGAACAAAAAGTGTTTCTTGTATTGCTTTCTGATGACTGCTCAAAGCCTCATGACTTTGACGATACAACAAACGTATTAATAGAGTGTAAAGCCAATCACGAAGTAATGGATTATATTCTTTAATAAAGAATTGTAATGTATCCATAAATAAACTAACAACCTTTGAAGGAGACGAAATAGGAAAAACAGAATAGAGAAGTACATTGATATTAATAATAACAAAAACCATGTCACGCATTTACCATGTTGAAATTTATGTACACAACCTACCCATTCTTGTGTATCGAAATACTAGGACCAAGACAGATGGAGTGCAGCTTGAACCTACGATCAAGTGACTGAAGATTAAGTGCTTTAACAAATAAGCCGCTGGGTTACATGCACAAAAAACGAACACGTAATATAATTTTAAAATCAATGAAAACTAAAAGAAAAAAGAGGGGAGAAAATGACTTACTTTACTTTGAGAATCCGCAAACATTTTAGAAAATATTTCAGTTAAGCAGTGAATATCGTCAGGACTATAAGGGAAATTTTTCAAGGAAAAAAATCGGATTAAATGTGCCATAGAATTTGTAAAAATTATTTGACAAATCAATTATTTACTAAAATCTGACTCGTGGTGTTTTAATAATACAACTGGATATTTATTATAAACTTTCATTGAAACAATTGAAATTGGGAAGTGGTTTATATATGAAGTAAACGAGAACTCAGATGGGGAAAAACATTTTATTGTTCAATGCAAAATTAGAAAGTGCTTTCTTGAAATATGAGAACCATACATTAAATACATTATTTGCACATCAACTTTCAGTTGACCTTTACATGCTTCATGATTCTTTCAATTTTGTTGTTATTACGATTGCACTGTCTACTTTCCTGTTCTCTTCAATTCATTCTTCTGCTGCCAGGCATTCCACTACAAATTAGTGTTGTATACTACTTATATCTATCAACATAAGCAGCATACGCCACACACTTGTAAATATACAAGTATCAAGGGAGATTACTTTTATATGATAAACTCAGTTACTAACATGCAGGATATATATACTTTAACTTCGAGGTACAGTCTAAATGTGTTACAGCTATTGATAGAAGGTAACTGACAACTCAAACTGAACAAGGTGGATTGCGACTGGAATTTAAGGCTAAGTGGTTCAATGTTGAACATCTTAACTAGTTGGTCACCACAGAATAACTAAAAAAATGATAGCACAAAGCTAAGTAAACAAATCCCTATTAGGTATGTATCATTATCAAGGTTTGACATGATACTTTCGAATAAACTGACCATTGGGTAGATTGTTATGAATAAGTAATATATTTGTAATATTCTTGTTGTTCCGTTGTACTATTTAAACTTGGATTAATTTTGACTTGGTTATTTAGTCTCTTAAGAAGTGGCTTACACTAAGTCACGAAAAGTCAGAAAATCTAATTCTTCTACTCATTGGGATATTACAAATATATTACTTATTTATAAAACTCCCTATTAAGTTCGTATAAAATATTAGTTTGTTGTCAGGACAGTGGAAATAAACTCACAGAAGCAAGTTTCACCTAGTGATATTTATAACATAAAATGAACACATACTTCAGTATGTCAAAATTGAATGTCACTAACATTCATCACAGAGTCATAGGAGTTCAAAAAATGTTTGTACGAAGTACTGGAGTGTCTACATTTGTTGACAATTCCAACTTTTAGATATTAGTGAGTCGAATTGAGATTGAAGACGAATATCTACTCGAAGAAAAACAGCAAATTCGCATACTTTTTAGTCGAATTCTCCATTGATTATTATATGACAACTTAAGTGTGCTTCAAATATTACTATAAAATATTGTTCGTTGATTCTTTTTTTAAAGACTAAACAAAACTGATAAATAGAGTTCTTTGAGAGTGATATCCAGATTTTACAAGATTTACATATGGATGTAATGAAATGTGATTATTGGAACCAGCAGTTGGAGACGTTGCGTGTCATTGTTCAAAATCAATCGCAATTAACCTCATGCATTTACACTTTATTTTATATTATTATTACTGATGGTTTTATTCATCAATATTATATTTTTGGTAGGATATAAAATTCTCAGCACAAAGCATTTCAACAAGTTTATTTTCCTTATTTTTTGATCGATCTTGACAATAAATATTGTGATCGATAATCAGATGTTAGCAGATCAGGAATCGACATCTAAATAATGTTCATTCGTTTTAATGTATATTACCAGCCACCACGATGTCTTTGATTGTATATTTTGTAACTATTACAGTGAAAGGTCGTAAACTTTTCATAAACGCGTCTGAATAGGTTATGAGATATATAGACATAATGATGTGATAAAACAAACAAAAAACATATAACTTGTCGAAACATCTAGATGGCACGAAAAGGTAGTTCAAACATTCAAGCAGGCCGCCAGTTGCCCATGCGGAATAATTGACTCTTGGGATTTAAAATGATCTTATGTTTTTATTCCGCGAAATAATTTTTTCTTCTCCTACTATCACTGATAATACTATTGGTGTTTTTACTACTCTGACATTTTTCATGATAATTTCATCTCGTTGTGCTATGTTAGTGTGGGCACTTAAATTGAAGTAAATATGTACCAAGCTGTATGTTATCACTTATGACAAACCTTGTAATAATGGAAGAAACTTACTTAATAACCATTGATGAATCATAAGGTCCTTATTAAAAAGTGTAAAAGCCTAACAAACTAATCATTATGTACTGAGCAGCGGTTGAAAGTCGAGGAATTTTGATATTGACTAAATATTATCAATTTAACAATCAGATAAGGAAGTGATTTGATATATTGGAGTGTAGTTTTACTTTTATTTTAATCAAAGAAGCAAGAGGTATTACAAAAGAATTAAATAATATTGTTAAGCTCACTTTAACGGATAACCAGAACGCATATAATTCTGTAAATTTGTTAAGCCGTCTTTTCTGTCAGACCATTGAACAGCTTGAAGTTGAGAAATGATTTCTTTTAAATTCTATTAAATATTAGAAAAATTATGCTAGTAATACCAGTCGTAATAAGCTTACGAGAATTATATAGTTAAGTGTCAGTTATATCGAGGCGAGTTTACTTTTTCATAGTGAGGGAAAAACAGTGATTTGATCTACACAACTATTTACATCATTCTATTATCTATAATCATATGAACTGAACATTTGTAAACAAATATTCATAATTAAACAGTTGAAAGTCATGTACTTACAACAAAGCAAATGCAACTGCATTAAGAAGTATGAATAATTTTTGGGATACATATTTCCTCAGGTTATACTATATCAGGTAGATCGGTTGAAGAACGGTAATGCTGAAAGCAGCAGTATAATGTTCAAGGGCCAAGTCGAGCTGTTAACTGTACAAGGAGTTTACAACACCAAGATTTTTTCGTTAGACAACCAATATCTATACTTATGTTGACTTCTCAAAATGGAAGGAAGGAGTAAACGGTCGTGACTAAAAATAGGACATCTCGCTATACGACAAGGATTTCCGTTTCCGGTGATAAGGTTTTTAAAACATGTAGCTAACACATCAAGAACTACTCGTCAAAAGGCCGCGTGTGACAGGATTCAAGCATTTGTCTCTTCCACTCTTCTGCAACACTTCCAGTTTACATTTCATGTACCTCAGAAAGTAGCTTACCACCGTATAGACAAACGCGAATTAGTAACTGACTACATACCTTGAACAACACTTAGGACTACTGAGTACACGATGACTGAGACCGGTTTAACAACGGAATGCATGATTTAGGTGCGAATATGTGAGATTCACCTTTGAGCTACATTGCAGGATGTCTAATGGTACTTAGTTAGATGCAGAAAACAAAAGCAAATAAAAGGTTCCACATCTGTGGTTAGTGGTTGGCTGAAGTCAGTAAGCTTTATTCGTTAAGACACCAGATTTACAAGTGTAACGCTAAACGGAGTCGACACATTCTAATTAGAATTAAAAGACTTATAAATTTTATATTTCCTCCGAATAAATATCAATATTCATTTAAATACAAGTTATGGTAAAGATTATAGATCAGAAAAAAAAAATTCATAAAGTAACTGAAGAGAGAGAGAAAGACAAGTACAAAATCAACAAGCACGGAACATAAATAAGCACACACAAACATGCATAGAAGGAGGAAGAATTCGAACATTTTAAGAGACTTTAAAGAGATTTTTACAACCCAAAACAGAGACGAACGGACCTAGATTGTACAAATTATGGTACTGATAATAAAATAATATTTATTCAGGCTATTTGATTTAACTTGATGGTGACAACACTAGGATTACTGACTAACTTTTCTCATTATATATATATATATAAACAGATAGACAGACGGATTTAGATATGGAGTCTAGATTGGACAGTAGGAACAAAGTGATGCGGAAAAACGTTTGACAGTCGAATGGACTGAAATTAAATTACCAGAAAAATAATCCAATAAGATGAACAAAACGTTGAATTAAACTAGAATGAAATTATTGAAAAGATTGAAAATGATGGATATTTAGAAAAACAACGGAGTGAGAATAAATCTGTTTGACTGATTTTATTATTTTAAGCTGTGTAATTTAAATGCTTTAGAGTTTCCAATATATACTTTGCCAAGATAACTAGGTTGTAAATTAGAACTTGGTTTGGGCGCCTGGGGAGTATTCCAGCCCTCACAAAAATCGAATGATTTGTGTGGCGCATATATATTTAATGCATCCTTGTACCAATGTTTATGTGTTTAAATAAATAGTAAATAATCCCAAGTCGCCTACTTCGATTTGATTAACTGGATAACATACACCAGCCATCATATGCACAAGTGTGGCTAAACGTTGAGTAAACGCACATTGTCATTCTGTAAATACGTTATTAGAAGTATCAGTCAGTTATAATCAATGTAGAGTATGGAAAAGAAATGAAGCATCCCAAGTTACCACACCACATTTGCACGACAAGATGGATGATGAGAGATAGAAATAATATAGAAGAAACGTTATTATGGATGATTGAACATTGAGAAGTTCGTACAAAAAAGTAGATTGGGAAGTTATATATGAAGGAATGTTAGAATTTAATATCGAGGTGGAGACAAAAAGTGAATGCACTTTTGCCATTTTGAGCCATATCATTTAAAGTCCCTAACCACTGATTGTGGTTATCGTATGAAATTCAACAAAGTGGTCTATACTTACTAACACGACTGAGATAAACAGTTGATAACTTCCCGGAATGATGCTATGTCTTGGTTCGGCTTTCTACCTAAGCCTATACCACATAGGTAGGGGCAGTGGTTGGACATAAGTAACATTGTTCTAACTACCCTAGTCAATGAAGATTTAAAACCTCACCAACAAACTAGCCATCTTTTCTTAGTACCACATGCCTAACTTCAAAGTTGCTCACTCGGTTGCTCCAAAAGATGCGAGTAATTTGTTTTCAAGACACCTATGGTAAAGAAACTGTAGACTACGTATGTCTTATACTTTCATATGCCATATTTCACAGGCATCAAATAATATAGAGCGGAATACCGAGAAATGCATTGACTAATTGTTTGTTAGCCGGAGATCTCACTCAAGTCATAAGCGATTCAAGGATGTGTATACATTATGGCGAAATCTAAATCACGTCCCATAAATAAGAAGTCAGTAGTATAATGAACAGATAACTTATAATCATCGTTCTTTATTAGACTACTCAAAGAAAATAACTTTCTGCAACAGTGAAGCGACCAGTTCGCAAGTGCACAAACACACAGAACTATTAAGTAAAAAATATAAAGTATTAATAGTGATCTTATCTTTGTGAAAAATAAACTTACACTAGTCACTTTACTTGAGGACTGGCGCCTGTACCCGGGTACTGAACGACCTGAACGTTCAGAACACTGTGATGATGTTTCACTGAAGTTATCATCTGAGCCATATGGACCACGACTGTTTCCAGTTGAGTAATGTCGACCATATAAAGGCTAAGGAAGATAATATAACAACAGAAGCAATGAGTAAACATACTTTCACTGGTAAGGTAGCTAATAGTCTGGTAAGCAAAAAAGAAAACTAATATTTATTAAAACAATGTTGATATTCTATTCACCTTTGCTACACAGCTGGAAAGCAATTCGAAAATCAATGTCCAACAAATAAAACCATCACTACACGTGATGATTGGATTCAATTAGACCTTTTTCATTTTTCAAATGAAAATATATACCATATTACAGAACAATCTCTCTTGAAAATGCGAAAAGAAAATACTTTAGCATAAATCTATAAAATATGTTCAAATTAGGAAAGAGGGTAACAAAGATAATTCTTGGTATCAATCAATTATTCGACGAAACTTATTTAAAGAATCTTCCTGCATACATATGTCAGTTATCTTGAACTAAGTATCCACGAGAGAATGATTTGTTTTATCAAGAAAAATAGTAAGTTGTAATATAACGGACCTGAATTATTTAAAACAAACTGCGGAATATTTATACACCTTGCAAATAAAAGTAAAGAGAGAAATGAACAACGTTCCACTAATGTTCTATCTAATAATCGAAGTTCAGATTTCAACAAAATCAAATTCAAAGGAACACTGTAGACTAAACTAATACTGATAATAACGGAATGTATTTTACTTGTGAAAATACATGTTTTTTTAGAATGAGTTGGATTTGCTTACAACATAAAACATGTGTTTTTTGGGTACATTTACATTTATAAAAACGACTTTAACATTGAATTTACTCCGAGGCAAACACCATCCTTAAATGCTCTTCATTTTCAACATGAGAAATAACAATTTTGTCTTGGTGGTCCATTACTTCTCAAAAATATGCTCATTTTTACCTTACAGTCAATGCCTAAACCGAACACTGTTGGTTTCACTTAATACATTTTCAGATCAAGATTAATTAGCCAGTAGTGGAATATATCATATATAAGGAAATACGTTAAGTTTAATGGAAGAAATTAATTGATTTTTTTACTAGTTTCTATCCTATCTTATTGATACTTATTTGATTAAGAAATTCACATCATTAATGTGATTTTCATGACTCGATTCTATACGTCAAATCAATATCTACTGATCAATAGTCAACAACCTCAATTGTAGAGACATTATATCTCATTTTTGCTCGAATGAGTAGATGCTAGTTATATATATCAAAACGTATAGCAAATAACTCAAAGATTTGGTATCATATGGTTATTAGCTACCATGAAATGATTGAAGAAATGTGAACATGAAGTTTTTTAAAACGAAAATCACATTAATATATTGAGAAATAATAATGAATTATCCAATCATTGTTAGCAATAGACGACTAATGTGAAAAAAAGAGTAGAATTAAGCTACTAATCAGTGATAATAATAATATTTCTGTACTCATTACATACAAGGATGCATGATTGACGAATAGTAATGCATGCAGACAAAAGGTGCACGCCTTAATCAATACAAGACAGAAACATTTCAACATAAATGATATCTATTAATCAGTTAATGTACATTTTATTGAACTCAAAATGAATAAGTTATCACCAATCGTGATAACAATAATAACAATAATAATAATAATAACTTACTCCATCGCCGAGGTCAGCACAATCACTTAAAGTACCAAGAGATGCTGAAGAAAATACCCCCAACCCCCAAAAAGGGAGAAAAAAAATATTAGAATGAGTTATTTTATATTAATGGACATGTTTAATCAAATATCGTATATTGGTAAGTATGTTGTAGCTTTAAGAACTGAAAACAACGAGTATACATTGAATGAAATGATGAGAACATGTGTGTATTGGAAAGAGAACACATGTCTTACAAACGGTTTTCATATAAGGAAAGAACAAATGTTAGATACAAAAACAACAACTTTAGAATGTCCTGATACGATGGTTGTCACATTAATCAATGAAGACACATTCCAACGTTTGTACTCGATAATACAAGTAAAACGAGAGTCTAGTTTTATTCTATTACGTTATCTAACAACGGAACTTAGTTGGTTGACTAATTTATCGTATACAGGAGCGATAGGTTGCCACTGAATGAACACAAACATTAAAAAAGAACACAGGTTTAGTTGATTAAATCATTCGGCTTTCAATGAACAGATTGCAATTTTGAAACCCGGTAAATCTTATTTAATTTTATGGGAGTAAAGGCGACTATATGAACTTGTATTTGGCAAATTAATCAAATCATGATTGTCATCGCATAAGTAGAATTTAAAACGAAAGATCTTGTGATTGAATATTCTTACACCTCAGTAAATCAGTTGAGAAATCACCTAAATTATTTCAAATTTAGTCACCAATTGTCGTGTGTAAAATTGAACAGACGTACAAAATTACCAATCAATACGCATCCTGTTATTGGGATGACTGACTGACTGGTAAATAACCTAACAGTAATTAAGCTGTTCAAAAACACTCAACCTCATTCTTGGCAACGTATACAGAATTTGTAATAATAATAATAATAAATAAATAACAAAGACAGAATAATTGATTACACAAAGACGTATAAAAAGGGCTTTATTGTTTTCAACACATAAGATTTTCACCTCATCAACCATATTGAAAACTACTATTGAGTTATATACACAAATAGTAATATAAAGTATGACATTTCTGTATTAAGGTACACATTACACACTTCGCTTTCTTATTTTGTAATGTTTTTTTTTAAAGAAAAGCTATAAATAATGAAGATCGAAATAAATAATGAACAATTGTAAATGACAATATGAATCATATTTCAGCCAGCTATATACAATATAGAACCTGACACACATATAGATCAGATTCAAGTTACCACGTCATAATATTAGCACAATCAGTTGAAGTTATCAAGGCCGATAATGTCAGAGTAGTAGAATTAGTAACTGTGTTTATTAATGGTAATAGAAGAGACTGAGCACAAGACAATATGATTTAGTGAGAAAATATAGAGGGTGGTGCATGGAATCTAAAGATTATGATTAAGATAATTTATAAACTTTGGATTTCAGATAAAAAAGAGTGAATGCATCTGCCTCATGATGGATGATTCTGAGCTATATCATCATCATCATGAGGACACCAACCGAGTGGTAGTGATCATCAACCTACTTACACGGTTCATTCACTCGTATATGACTTTATGAATTGATGCCACATTTCGGTCTGACCATCCCTAGCTTCTTTCCAGCCTACTACTACATAAGACTTTATTAAGCAATGAAAGAAAAATCGAATAACATGACACTGTTTTTTAGAGATGGTTATCGGGTATTTGATACATGATTACTAAACATAATGGGAAGGTGAAGAAATTATTGCGGTAGCGTCGTCAAGACAGTGGATAATTCTGAGAGATGATTTTGACCTCAAGTTGATGGAGGAGACAAAAATCGAGAAACAGGATTGGTGGGAAGTATTTGACGAAGGGATTCCAGACTAGAAGTAAAACGGCTACGTTTGAGGGACTGAGATATCACCTAGGATCAGCAAACGGAACGAAAGTCAGCAACACAACAATAGGACAAACTAATCCATTCCATTGCGCGCCATCCCTGCTAACTAGAGAGAGAACACCAAATTCAGCCGGGAAAATATGTAATTCTACAAGCAGCCCAGAAGAACGAACGAACAAGCACACAACTCATGCGTATATATACAATAAAAAAAGTCTTTGAAAAGCGTCACATAATAGCGTATTAAAAGAGAAGACGAACAAAAAATGTTTAAGATCCTTCCTGGTGGGAAACACAAACTGAAGGTAAAAATGGGTGCTTTTGGAGCGAAAATGAGAAATTCAAATTTCCATCACGAAATTACAAAAATGGGAAATTTACCAACAAAAACCTGTGTTTAATGCTTGCCAACTGAGTTTTAGTAGTTCGCCTATTGATGATGAACTTCGTCGTTAAACATGTTTAGGTACAAAAGAAAATGGAAAACGGAGTTTGCCCAAGTTATATATCTCATTCATCTAGGAGGTAAGTTTCATCATGAATAGCTTAGTTTTGATTTCTTAGGTTGTGAAGTTGGATGACACGACAGTATTAGGTATGTTTTAGTAACAAGCAGCACTTAGTACGAAACCTACATCAAACAAGGTTTTCTTCCGATTACTTTCAACCACCTAAAATGATTTACGAACTTAGAAATAATGGAAAGAAAAGTACCAAAGTTCCGAACAAGAAACATCCGGATTTTATTCTTAATGTTAACAGGTTAAGGAACAATTCGGTTTAGAAACTTGAGAGAATTGAGATCAAAAATGTTTTGGGATGAGTACACATTAAGCAATATATAAAAATTCTGTACTATGCGAAAAAAATAGTTCATGCATCATCATTCTACTTGCTTTCAAATAAAGGGAATTTTTTTGTTATAGTCAAAAACCGATTTTAACAAGAATGTTAGTTGAACTATAATACAAATACTAAAAATAACATGACACAGAGATAAGAATAGTTAGTTTTCAACCGATAGATCATGAATTCGAACCCCACTAGTATTACTAGAAATTCACATAACCAATATGTCGCAAATTCGCGAACATGAATATGAACATAATGAATAAGTTAGATTGTATTACTCAACAATGAAGCTACAGTTTTTGAGTATGTAAAAACGAATAAACACTAATTCGGTTGCTCAAAATAGTGTTTGACTAGCTTACATATTGTGATTTTAATCAACGTAAAATAAATGCTCACAAGTTAAATAACGATGTATAAATGATAAATAGATATCAATTAAACTAACGTCTTTGCTGTTGTTGTCTCCGATAATTCATTTGTCCAATTTGATTTGTACCAGTTAATTGAAAATTATTATTATGCTGATATGAAGGCATAGTATAACCGCTTGCAGTAGATCTTGTCGGTGATGTTTCTCGACTAGCACCTTGACTACGTGGAACACGTGAATTCATGATTAAACGTGTAGTACGATCTGTATTATTATTATTATTATTATCTACAAATCCTATTGTACCATTACGATTAGTATTAGTTGTATTGAATTGTAATTTTTGTCCATCATTATTATTAGATGCAGTAGTACCATAGGCAGTGAAATAGGCTAGACGTGATGGTGAAACTTCACGACTTGTAGCTAGAACGATTTATATATAAATATGTAGGCATAGAAAAATTTAAAAAAAAAAGTTATTTCATTAAAAGAAAAAACAAAACGTAAAAATTTGTGCACAAATACGCTGAGATTCAGGATGGGATAAAAATTTATAACTAGTCTTTCCCACCATAAATAAGTAACATTTAACGAAACCATTTTTTCTATAAAAAAAACCAGTAAAATCAATAGTATATTATCACTCAATACTATTTTATCATTTGATATACTATTAGTACTAGTAGTGTTTGTTGTTAATGTATAATTGTGTTTGTTTAATTCAAGAATTATTATTCTTAAACAGAGCAAAAACAAAGATTGTTGCAGAATAATATGAATTCATTTTATTTCGTTAGGTTCCCATCAGTTATTTACAACCTGTAATATTTAAAATCAACGTTATTACAGATATTGACATACTCATAGATACGTAGGTGGTTAGAGATAAATATGTTTATCATGATGTAGAGAAGATTCTAACAGAGTTAATAAGGACATGAAAGTTTTTTTTCGGATGAATAAATAACGTTTGTAAGGGGAAATTCAAGAACATTGGGTGCCCAAACAGAAACAGGTGGTTTTCTTAAAGGGCAACACTCGGAGCCTTCGACCTAAAGGTCTGATCCGCAAGGCAGTGGAGCGACGTCATGAGATTCAGTCCCCTGGTAGCTTGTGACCAACACTAGGTTCATACACCATTTGTTCTCCCAGGATCCTGGAGCCCATGTTCACCATTGGTTTGGAATCAGGGTTTTCCAACTCATCTAGGTGGACTCTCCATGTCCACCAACCCGGTTAAAGAGCCGGACGTTCGCTTTTCGTTCTCTCAATTTTGTAAACAACACCCACAACGTGAGAAGGCAATGAGTAGGACTTTCCTGACAGTAGCTGCATACGTGTGATCATGTGAGGGCATTTCGAGAGGGAGAGCGCTCTCTCATCACTCTCAGCCGTACCAGGGCATCTGGGGGCACGCGACAAAAATAAACATAATAATTCATCTGAGAATAGTTCTTCAAGTTCCATTTCTTCTAACTTATATATATATTAACACTAAATCAAAATTAGGATACATTTATAACATTTTAGAGTTAAAACCTAACTGGTAGTTTATTTGACTGAATTGAACCGAAATCAGTGCAACACAGTAGTTCGGTAAAGTGCATTTCATTAGAAATACAAAAATAAATGTATTCAGTTTTGAGCTACACTTTATATCGGCGGTAAAATGAAAACTACTAAAGCATGAGTGTTCAAACCGAATTTGGTGGAGAACGATTCGACAGTGAGATTTAACATTTATTTTAGGATAGTAATTAAGCAGTTATTTGGAGATAACTGCTACTACCACTTAATGTTATATTGATGTTTACAAATATCATTCAATATGATCAATATATTTCAATGGTTCAATAGTGTATTAATATCAAATAACAAAATTTCATCATATTTGTACAAAAAGGTATGTGATTATTTGCTAAGCACTTTTACACAAATGTACATACATATATGACAAGTAATTAGCTGTTTATTTTGACATGTGTATAAATACAACAATGTCTGAAGAAGGTGGAGTTATTCAAGTTACGAAGGGATTCAGTACGAGTAATGGGTTATTTGTAAGACTTTATATTATCCCATTGTTGATATTCAGGACTGAATTTTGACTAGTCTTTGTTAGTATATATGTATCCTCTGAACATATTATCTCAGCACAGTCATCTTTAACATGTCTTACGACAGATAGATTGTGATAAGCAGTGAAATTCAGGACACACTACGTCCTACTTAGGACACATTAGGTGAATGTACGTGTCTTCCAGTGTTGCTGCTTTCATTGAGCCTTGAACTTCATACATAATGTATCAAAAGCAAACACGTTATCCACTAAGTTAATTACTTCACATTTTCACTAACTTGTACAACAGTTATGATTTCTAATCGTAAGAGCTGTTGAAAAAATAAGCTTCTTACCGATATGAATTTAAATCACATTTTACACATCGAGAAGAATTAGGGAAAATCAATCTTTAATAAAATGGTTAGAACTTAACAATCATATAAAGTATAGTGAGCAGAACAAGGACAAAAGAGGTTTCATGACAGCTGTGTTTTAGTGAGATCTTTATCTTCTGTCATGTTTTAAACAGCAATAAAATACAATTATTTACCGTTTTAAACAAGGTCTTGAAGTTGATGCTAGTCAACTACACTAATTATTTAGTATAAATAAAACAATTAAGGTAATTGTTTTATCATAGTGAAAGTGTAATAATTGAATCAAAACTTACGCTGTGACTGTGATACAAGTTTTCTCCCAATCTGACGTGGACGACCGTCGTAATTTGAAGCAATTGATCCTTGACGGAAAGAACGACCAACTGAGAAGAAATGTACAGAAAAATTATATTGTGATAATCATCGTATGGTAATTTGAAATATTACGAAAATGAAGGTGTATTTTTTAAGAACGAGTCTAAAGTAGGTGGCTATGGAAGAAAATACACTGAAAGACATGAATAAAAATACATTTGTTCCAAAAACATTCTTTGTATTAGCACTAACGAAAAGCTACGGAAGGTTGTTATTCTTAAATGAGCGGTGATTAAAAATAGGCGTTGATTATAATGAGTGGTGACAGGTAAATAATTCATGTTCACAGATCGTCCTCGATTGCTCTAGACATTACGTCATGATGCACTTTTTATTCGCATTATTTAACCATTATTCATTTATATACGATTATTCGTACTCTTATTATGACTATCATCTTCTTCACACAACTCTTTGTGAAATGTTGAATTTTAACCAATGCAATATTGTGACAGATTACACAACGATCTTTATTGTTTCTCACTCTGACAGGTGGAATTCAAGGAAGTTTTACTTATTGACAATTAAAGCTCACGATAAGAAGCTCACTAATAAACGAGGAAACAATCACACAATGTTTCACTTCTACTATATCAGATAAAAAGCGCTAGTAACTAAAATGGAGATGGGGTATCAAAAAGCGTGTAGATACTTCGGCAAACAATGTTGAAACACTACCTAACTGATAATATAAGTCCAATCATTGTGTACAAGCTAATGATATTATCTGGTTGCACGAACTTGGCATTTCAAGCACTCGGAATGACCAGGTGCAATTACCAGTTTTCTTTGTGCAATTCGATTCTAGTGAGTTGGCTAAATTGAGCGTTCGATTCGATTTGCTAGCCGCTTCTAGTAATCCTAGGCTAAATTTACACGGCAACTTCAACACAAAAGAAAAAGAGCGAAGTGTGAAAAAAACACTTTACTCTGAAGTTATTTTGTGTGCAGAGAAACGAGAGTTTTATGGAGTTACACATGATCTTAGGCTACTATGAGTTTCTGGGACCGTATTAAATATAGTTGCAGAACAGGTAAATATCCGACCAGGAACGTGGTATGACTTAGTCTTCTAGATTTTTCTGAGAAGCCTCTATTTAACGCTGATTGGATAGTGTTTCCAAGCGTTTTTGCCCCCTATGAACATCTCCGGTGAGTATTTGGAACTCACTCTAGATTTTTATTAAGTGTACACAGAGAATGTGCATGAGAAATTAGCAACTATTAAAGTAATTTAAATAAGATTATATGAATTTTTTATTAAAAAAAAAACAGCAACTGATAAGTAACCTTACCGGTATTATACTCATTCTGACTAGTTAATGGTGGACGACTGCGATTTGTATTATTGGCTAATGAGCTAGTGCCTAATACAGGTCGAGTTGGTCGTCTGGTACTTTGGTAAGTTAAATTTGACTGACTACCAGGTTGACTTCGAGATGATCCAGTTGTCGCAGTATCACCGGCACCAAACCCTTCTGATAATCCTGCAGCGATCAAATCTTTTTCAATTAGTTTACGTTTTTGAGGATCAAGATTTTGTAAAAATAAATTTGCTTGCTCAGGAAATTTAGCAACAAATAATGGGAATGAACTAATTTAAAGGTAAACGGAAAAACGAGAAGAAGTATAGTAATAACATAAAAACTGAAGTGTTAGTCAACTTATAAAAACAGCCAATTAATAAATCACAAGATATCCGGTTGATAATGAATTATTATTGATAATGTATCGTTTTATACATGAAACACAATGATGCAAGCAATATTCCTTAAACAAATAAACAACTCGACAATTTTTCACGTTTCGATTCGGTCTGGGTACCCGGGCAGTATCACAGCCCTCATACAAATCGAATGATTTATGTGGCGCATATATATTTGGTGCCTCCTTGTACCAATGTTTATTTTTTTAAATGAATGAATAATAATAAATAATAACAGTAGGGATAAATACTAAGAAAAGCGAGTGATACAGCAACAAAGTGCATATTATTTTAAGGTATCTAAAAGAAGCCTAGTGACCACACTTTTGTATGCATCGATGATCATTGTTTAGTAAAAGCGTTATTTGTAACCTCATTGATTATGCAATCATTAACCAAGTTATCACAGTACTAAACTATCTGCTTTCAAACAGATTGCTAAATCTGATAACACTAGTCATCATTCGCAAGTATCTTAGCCATAAAACTGGTTAAGGTATTGATTTGATGAAGTCGGAATCTAAAACGAAAAGTTACTTTAGGGTTATGACGATAATGTGCACTGAATGTGTACGAACTAGTGATACCGTTCAGGTCACCAGTTTATGGGTTGTTAGAAGCGTGTGTGTGTGTTAACGATGCCTCTCAGTTGTTGGAAACGAAGTAAGGCAATAATCTTTAGAAATAATTGAAAGACATGGTTAGTGTAACCATATAGCTCAAGGGGAATCTATGTTAAATTGGTTACACCACAGTTCTTACGTATTAGTTATTTTTATTTTATTTGAACACATAAATATTGGTATAAGGGGGCACCAGATACATATGCGCCACACAAAAAAATGAGAATAAGAAGAGAAATAGAATGTAAGGTGCGTATAAGAGAAAAAAGAGAACAATAACGACCACAGATTAGTGTATGGCAGTGAAATAATAATAATGGGGGAAACGGGAAGAATACAACCAGAAAGAATTCTTTCAGTTAAGAAAGTTACAACCACTTTTTATGAAGAAAGTAAAAGAGGGTTACAGCAAGATCGCCACTGGCTTCTATTCTTAGCCATATCTGACAACGTCTATAGCCACTGTGTTGCACCATCTCTCAGACCCCAGTCAGGGAGTCGAGAAGGACCAACGTATTAGTTATTATAATTTTAACCCCGCTCGTTCTAAGAACTTAATATCTAGCAGCTAAAAGCATTAATTCACGAAAGGAAGCATTGATCATTCGAGTACAACCATATTACTGCCGTTACGTACGTGTAGTCGTTACTTTTAAATCACCTTTAGGCTCTATTCGAATCTAAGTTTTTTTTCCTCAAAAAGTGATAGCATTTCAATAACATTCCACTTTGGAACCTAGTGACTGATTATATACTGCCTAACTCGATGCATTAAGTTTATTGCATAAATATATCCACTATGAACAAGTTCAGTCAACTTACAAAATCAACTGTGAAAGACAGGAGCATATTGAAAAAGAATGAATGCAACAAAGTTTCAAAGCACAAAACCTGTTTTTTTTCATTTAACTTACCGTCTAGTAAATAATCGAGCTTCCTGATCTGCATCTGAAATACCTCGCCTTAGTGCATCTTGCAATACAGAGAGATTTTTTTCAAGAATATTTAATGGCCAGGTTCGGAAAATGATTTCTAAGAATTCACAAATGCATCTATAAAAACAAATGAAACTAAATGTTCGTTTACGAATATATCCAATGGAGGTACAAAACAGTATTCGAACACCGAACAGATCTGATTACCATTAGAGTAACTAAAGACAATGTAATCAAATATCAGAGTTTCTTTTGTGAAGGTTTGGATCTTTTCGACTATATTTACTATATGGGAGCTCCTTGAACAAGTGCATTAATACTGTCCCGGTTTAGAGTTGATTTACATAGTGAATAGGGGAGAAAAATAGAATCTATGGTGCGCTTTTCGAATTATATGGTACTCATCAGCCGAATGTACTTATACCCCAGTAATGGTGTTTACAGTAAGACTGTAGATACATACACGATGTTATTGTAACTCAATAGTTTGGAGCATAACCTTCTGGTATGTCAAGCGGTAAGTACTGACTTTTGGATTTTCTTGAAAAAAACACCAATATAAAACTGCAAGTACATTATCCAGCATACTAATCCCAAATAGTATAAAATGTGCATCTTAGAATTAACTGCCAGACATTTTTTTGATAACGACAACAGCGTAGGACTATAGAAATGACTTAGTAGACAGATTTCTACTTTAAAATGGTAGGTCGTAAGGTTTAAACTCTGCTCCATCTGTCACCTTGGTTTGAGCAATCGGACAGTAGTATCATTAGCCCTCACATCCAAAAGGTAGAGATTCAAAACCGAGTACATAAATATTTATCCAGTAAATGTGTTGTTTTAGAAATTTTTATTGGTTTTACATCTGTTTAAGCTTTTATAATATCAGACTGTAGTGTTATTTATCATCAGAACTATTCGAAAATGAAATAGAAACGAGAATGTTAACAGTTATTGGCCCGAGTGAGGCAAATCCTCAATGCAATTCATTAAATCAAGAACTGTTATTATTTAAGTGACCTTAGCAGAGATAGGTAAGTTGAAAATAAGTTGATTATAAAGATCTAATACTAATTATCCTTTAGTATAACTGATATTGACCTGAAATATCAGTTAGAACTAGAAATCACCACTAATTGACCATCTTTAATAGTGATTTACTTGACAGCAACAACGAATACATATTAAATACCGATGAAAATATCGAGTATGATTAATTTATCGTTAAGCGTATAAAAATTAGTTGCAAAATATATTTACACATTGGATCAGTCTGTGGATGTAGATAACCTGATTGGTGTCAACGTGGTAACCACGGTCAGTTGTGGACCAACTATGATTAATGTGAGTTAAAATTAGTCGAAATGGCATAGATGCATTTACAATTTATCTTTCAGTATTAAATTCCAGTATTCCTTTACATATACCTTCTCATTACGGCTTCTCAAACCATATCCACATTAAACAGTTTTTTCTCATTAACATTTCTTTTTGTTGTGGATGCGGAGGAATAGACCAATAATTATCATGTTAAGTCCAATGGTGTCCTTGGACTTTAAATGGACATTTCCTATTGGTCGATATCTGTTCACTTGTTGAATATTGTACAAAATGTTGTTTTCTATTTTATGGTACGATGTGGTATGCTTGATTGGTATATAAACAAAGTATGTTTGAAATATAATGATTCATATCTCCGAGGCTGTGACTTGTGTTCTGGACTCAACTAACTGGGCTAGACAGGGAAGCGAGACCAATCGAGACTCTAGGCCGTCCGTTCGTGTTTACGTGTCACTGTAATCGATCGATAAGTACACTGCTCTCTAATTTTCCAGTCAAGGACACAACAATTAGCACAGGGTAAAAATCGACCAACTTAAAGTCATAACACTTTTACATTGTTTTGATCTCTTTCGCTGTTTCTCTTCATATATTCATTTGATTGTCTTAACGTGATATGATAAACTGAGACAGTGAGCATATCTGCCAAGCTCTATGTTGATGATGACTGAGACTATTCACATCACTACTAGTTCTAATAACTAACAGATAAAGTCTACATAATCTCGGTAACAATATAGAAAGGAGAATTTCGTATGTGCAACGAAAATAGTTATTGATTAGTTGTTGTTACACAGAATTAAAAACAATAAACTCACTTTCTGGTAACATTAGACTTGGATGATAATGAAGAAATGAGAATGGGGAGAAGACGAGAAGAACATGTATTCTGTGTTAGAAGTGAAGAAAAAGAAGAACTTTTTTATTGAAGGAAATATAGATAATTGACGACGGTTTATTTGGTTAAAAATTTCCTTGAATTCATTCTAAAAGTTACACAATTAGCGGTATTATAGAAAGAACTGTTGAACGAAAACTTGCCTGATTACTGTTTATAAAGTTACCTTTACACTAAACAATACGAATCATTGTGATGTTACCACAAATAACTAGTTTTCTTTGAATGACCTTCACAACATTAATTTTAGATTTGATTCTATTTGCAATGGCTTGGATTATCCCATTGCTGATATTCTTCACTGAAATTTGATCGACCTTGGTTGGTATGTGAACGTTTGAGGGGAACAGTACTGGGTTCGAATCCCAGAGTGAAACCAACTGTAGAACCCAAGTACATCCAGCTGACGAGTCCAAAATAGGGAGAAACGTGTGTGTTGGATCTCACTGCTAACCACATTACATCTATTCTATTTCAATTGTATATATTAGGATAGCTACTTTGATAATTTGAAGGTTACGTACCGTTTTCCAGTGTGCACTTAAATATTTACAAAAAATGTGTCGTAACTGTTCATACCGAAGCAAGATGAATATCCTGTATTCTATTTCAGTGTCTAATCGCTTCAACTCTTGATTATTTTCGGTGTTTAAGATGTAACAAAGAAGGCTCATTCAGTCATATGCAACGTAGAACCCAGTCATTTGCATCGATTCAAGTTGCCGTACAACATTAACACAGAGAGAAAATTATCCCGAGAAATCCAAGAGTATTAGAAATAGTAGCAGTATCAGTAGTAGTAGAAAAGATTAGTTATCGAAAAAGGAATAAGAGAAATTCAGGACTCAGATTTCAAAGGAATATAAATAGTGAATTTACCTTCTGCAGTGCGAATGGTTCTGAGCCATGTCATTCAAATTCTCCAACGATTGATTAAGATAACCATACGAACTCTAAACATACAGCATACACCTATTAACATAGCCCGATCAAACTGTTAATGACTTCAAATACTGGCGCCATATCCTGGTCCAGCCGCCCCTACCTTTCTTCCAACCTACTCCTACATCGGATAACATCGCCTGTTGAAGTACGAGGTGGTTGGGTATATGTAACAAATTTGACAATCACTTCAGTTAATGAGGATGCACAACTGATTCACCATCTTAACCTAGTGCATTATAACCTAACTTTGGTATCACTAAAACACACAAAGCTAGTGTTTTTTAAACTTCCCTTAGCAAGTCCAACCAAGAGTCAGTGTGGATAACATGCATTAGTTTCATGTTTTGGTTTAGTCATTTTTGATTTTTTCTGGCTCCGTCCTACATCGGTGAGCATCCTGGACAATTGATTAAATCACTGAATAGAATCTTCTTATATATCCGTTGAATTTATGGAACTTTCCATATGTAAACAATGAAGTTCATATTTTAATAACTTTATATTTTTTGAAAAGCCTATAGTTGCGTAATTTGCTTAAAGATATTTATTTATTTACATACAAACTGTTCCCATTGATACTCGTCAGTGTAATTGGTCATTTATATTGGTTAAGTTATATTACTTCTACAAAATACTGTCAATAATAATAATACTGTCAAATACATATCAATTATTTCTCCATGATTTTGTAATGTGCAGCACAGACACACACACACACACGCATAAATCTACCTACTCCTGTAACTATTTTTCAATTACTTTTCTAATCAAAAAGTTCACGAAGTTATAACACGAACGTGTATATTAATCTCGAAATTCCACAAAAGTTAACAAACAAACTGAATCATTTCATTTCAAATACCAAATGAATAACATTTTATTGATCATTCATTTACTGTTTGACAGGATTATAATGATGGTAACTTAAAAGAAAGGGATAATAGTTTTATAATTCATTAAAAAATTAATGATCTGGTACATATTCATGTACAACTCAACACTGAGCCACTCGATTGATTGATTGATAGACGGAAAAGTTTTAAACTCGTAATTCGGCCATTGCAAAGGGATAATTTTCATGAATAAATACATGTTACTTTTTTTACGAATAACGAAAGGGAAACATAGCTCCTAACAGCGTATCAGACTGGTATATTTTATGGTATGGTACAGACATAAAACAATACCTTTTCTGTCTACCGTTCCATTCATAATCTAAGCACTGCTTATTCAGTAGTTTTAGAACACGCAAAAGAATTCCATAATTGCTGTCATAGAATACTTGCTACATTCCTGGTATGACCTACCATAAATAACTACATTTCGGTGGTGTAATTAGATAGTGATACCCTAAAAAGAGTACTGCAAATAATAGACATTCGGATAATGAAACTACACTAGAAGTGGTGTAAGTTATCAAACGCTAGTTGAAATTTCACTCGATCAACAATTAACTAAGGTTGGTGCAATTCCAGATGTAGGTAAAATGGTCGAGCGACTTAATTGCATCGTTCCTAACTGTTTATTTAGATTGAATTTTGTTTAGTGATGGGTAGCACGTTGCGTCTTATCAGGGTTTTCCTTTAACTATCGCTTATTTTGTAAGTACGCTATAGGTTTCAAGGTAGATATATGCAAGCAACTGGAGCACTCAACAATCAAGACCAGTGCAAGGTTATCCTTGATAGCAACACGCCCCCAAATGCCCTGGTACGGCCGAGAGTGGGGAGAGTCCGCTCTCCCTCTCGAAATACGCTCACACGGCCACGCGTATACAGACTCTGCCAGGGAAGTCCTACTCATTACCTTCTCGTGGCTGGGGTGTTGTTTACGAAAATGAGAGGACGAAAAGTGAATGTCCGGAGCTTTAACCGGATCCCAAACCAAATCAATGGTGCACATGGGCTCCAGTATCCTGCGGGAACAAATGGCGTATGAACCACTCGTTGGTCACCGGCTACCATGGGAATGCATCTCTTTATGATGCTTCACTGCCTTGTGGGTTAGACCTTTAGGTCAAAGGCTCGGGGTGTGGCCCCCTAAGATAACCACCTGCTTCGGTCTGGGCACCCGGGCAGTATCGCAGCCCACACGCAAATGATAAACTCTCTATGTCTATGGAAACTACTTTTCTCGCTTCGAATAACAATCAAATGATTCAAATGATTATCATTACTATTATTATTATTATCATTATTATTTACCATATTATTCACCCTCTTTTATACTTATACAGTGGCTCGTCTTTGGTGGAAATTCGACTGTATCTAAACGTTCTCGAGTCACTGTCCGGTTGAAAATTGTATGTTACCACCGAATATGAGTACTGAAGCAGTTTTCCTGAAACCACGTGCACCATTCAAACCGGCTGCCTTCAACTTTCGCACACTTATGCAGGTTGGACAACAGATAGGGCTGGCTATGTCATTGGAAAGTCTTAATATCGATGTCTGCTGTCTATCTGAGACCCGTATTCAAGACTCTGATGAAGCACTACAAATTCGCTCGCCATCTGTCGCTTCGAAAAGCTTGTTTTACGTGCGTTTAACCGGGACCCTGTGGCATCTTCGTCTGGTCTTGCTGGCGTTGGTGTCGCACTAAGCGCTAGAGCTGAGGCAGCACTAATCGATTGGATCCCCATTAACAGTCGGTTATGTGCTGTTAGATTAGAGAGTTCCATCAAAATGAGAAGAAATCGGCGTGAGAAACGATGTCTCTTCGTCATCTTCGCCTATGCTCCGACAGATTGCAGCACGGACAGATATTGTAGTACTAGCCGGAGACTTGAATGCTCAGGTCGGGCGTCTAGACACAGAAGAGAGTCGTTTAGGTGGCCGATGGGGACTCGTTGGTCGCAGGTCAGATAACGGGGACCGTCTACTACAACTTTGCAGACCACAACCTGTTTCTGGCTAGCACTAACTTTCGGCACAGTCATCGCCGATGTGCCACCTGGCGTCCTCCCTCTGCATCCCAAGCCTGGACTCAGATTGATCACATTGCGATCAGCTACCCTTGGCGTGGTTGTGTACAAGACTGCCGCTCCTTTTGGAGTACCTATCTGGACTCTGACTATGCCTTGGTCTGCGCCAATCTTACCTTACTTTTCAGTGGACAACGAAGTGACCCCCACCAACGGATTGATGTTAGCAAGCTGGTTGCAACTTCTTTTGATAGTAAGTATCGAACCGAGCTAGTTTCTAGGCTAGCTACCATTCCACCGAAAAGTATAGATGAGCATTGGTTGCAATTGCATGACGCCATGAAAATGGCAGGTACAGTCAGTTGTGGGTTCGCGAAACGTCCTGCTTATAAGCATTGGGTTTCTGCAGGTTCCTTACAACTCATTGAAGCCCGTCGGTCTACTCCGGGTGACCGTGAGTTTGACCATAAACGAAGGATGTTACGTAAGGAAATTGGGCAAAGCTTGCGTAAGGACCGAGAAGCCTGGTGGTCGAAGCGTGCTAATGAGTTGGAAGCAGCAGGTGCATCTGGTAATTACCGGAAGCTCTTCCAACTCATCCGAGCCACTGGCAGCGAGAAGTCTGGTGTGAGCGAAACAATCTGCGAGGACGACGGGATCGAGGACGTATTGATCACATCTTCACCCTCCGCCAAATGTTAGAACACCGCCATACTTATCACAGGCCAACAATCGTAGTGTTTCTTGACATCAGGGCTGCCTTCGATTCGTTGAACATTACTGTTCTCTGGGATTATCTATTGAAGAAGGGTGTGCCTGAGAAGTTTATTAACATCCTAAAAGCCCTATATAAAAACACCTCAGGCAGAGTGAGGGCATACAACCACCTCTCTCCATTGTTCCATTCGAGCAGTGGGGTTAGGCAGGGTTGCCCAATCTCACTATTCCTCTTCAACTTTGCCATCGATGACATTCTGGAAACAGCTCTGATGAATGTAAGTAATGGTAGTGTGGATCTGTTGACTGGAAAAGACTTCTCGACCTTGAGTATGCGGACGATATTGTCTTACTGTGCGATAATGCCCAAGGCATGCAATCCGCACTTAATCAGTTGGCAATCAGTGTCCGTAGGTATGGCATGTGTCTTGTACCTTCTACGTACGAAGTACTTTTGCAAGACTGGCACGCACCTGAACTTGCACTCACCCTGGATAGTGAGCGGATAGAAGTATTCGAGAAGTCCGTGTATCTGGATAGCAGCGTAAGTGCTGGCGGTGGCGTGAGTGATGAGATCAATTCAGGAATAATGAACGCCAGAGAGGCTTATGCCAATCTGGGCCACCTTTGGCGCCTTCGTGATGTTAGCCCGGTTGTTAAGAGTCGGACCTACAACGCGTTGGTGAGAGCAGCTTTGCTTTATGCTTGCGAAACCTGGCCTCTCCGAGTTGAGGACGTTAGACGACTCTCTGTGTTCGATCATCGCTGTCTTCGAAGGATTGCTGACATTCAGTGGCAACACCATGTCAGTAATGCAGAGGTTCGGCATCGTGTGTTCGGGCACAGAGATGATAATTCAATTGGTGTCACCATCTTGAAACACCGACTTCGGTGGCTTGGACATGTTCTACGAATGTCGTCCCAGAGAATTCCACGTCGTGCATTATTTGCCGACTCTGGGACTGGTTGAAAGAAGAGGAGAGGTGGTCAGTGCATGACATGGTGTCGTGGTATGAAAGAAAGCTGCAAAGGACTGGTTTCTGTCGGTCCTTCACGACTCTCTGGTTGGGGTCCGAGAGATGGTGCTACACAGTGGCTAGAGACGTTATCAGATATGGCTCAGAATAGAAGCCAGTGGCGATCCTGCTGTAACCTTCTTTTACTTTCTTCATAAAAAGTGGTTGTGTCTCCCTTAACTGAAAGCTTTCTTCTGATTGTACCTTCCCGCCCCCTCATTATTACTATTATTATTACTACACTACCTTACACCAACCTCTTCGTTATTGTTCTCTTTTTTTCACGCTCCTTACCTTTTTTTCTTTCTCTTCGAATTCTCAGTGTTTTGTGTGGCGCATATATATTGGCGCTCTCTTGTACCAATATTTATGTGTTCAAATAAATAAATAAATAAATGATAGCAACACTAGAGTTGAAGGATGGGTTTGGACTTCCAACAATGGACAGATTTCCCTGAGCTCACTGAGAAACATTTGTCAAGAAACCAGCGTCTAGAGCATGCTCGATAAAAAAGGACATAATGCGATGGTAACTTTGGAAGATTTTTACTTACCTCTAAAATAAATCGCATCGCAACCACTCCACTGGTTGCCATAACTTTAGCGCTATTAGATAATAACGCAATAATTGTTTGTAAAACACTCTCAGCGAAACGATCAAAACGATTACGAATTTCTTGAGATAAAAAGCTGTTATTGAGCAAAAAGAATATAAGGATATGAATCTAGTGAAAATAATTGAAGTACACGTTATGAAATGTTTTAAAGACCTTGGTGGTTTGAAGTGAATCAATGAATGGAGATGTAAACTTTCTTCGGCTGAAATAGTCGAAACATAGATAATGCAAACTTAACCCACGTGCCATCCTAACTAACATATAGGAGTAGCCCAATAAAAATGGTTAACATCAGCCAGTCTGACACACTACACCAGTCTATGAAGTCATCAACTGGCTGGACTTGAAACATGTCAAGCAATCCAAGCTTCCTTGTTAGTTTCCATGAGGTTGGAGACGCTAGGTAACAAAGAAATATATACATTTATTCTTTATTTCTTTATAGCTACCAAGTACGATTTCATACTTGTTAGTGCCTGATACTATTATTTCCTTTCGTGAATCTCTCATGCCTATCTGGTTTAAGAGACACAATGAGCAAATCTAGAGGTCGTTTTAAAGCGGAATTCAAAAATGTGACTCAGTGACGGAAAACATGTTTTTTTAACTAGGACGCAGACTATCTATTAAGTGAGATAGATAGCTGATGATGTTTCCTACAAATACCTAGGTAAATTGGACATGGTTTGAGTTTACAACCCAGTGGCTGAAATTTGAATATTTAAACTAATGAACAACAAGTACATAGGAGTTTAAATTATGAGTGGATATTACGTGAGAAAAGTAGGAAATAGAGTGGTTCCAAATGTTTAGATTGAATATAGCAAACTGCATAATTGACATTCGTATCCCTAACAGCTGAGTAGGTTTTAAACCACCAAAATGTAGTGTTGAACGTTTTTTGTTGAGTTACGCTTGGTAAGTACTATAGGGACATGAGTAAACGGACGTTAAGGAGAGCTCGAAATGAGTGAGGCCGTTTTCAGGTAAACATTATTCCAATCTAGAGACACTTGATAATTTAAAGAAGTGATATTTAATTGTCCAAGATGTTAATCAGCATATCTATAAAGCATCAGGGATCGCAACCTATGATTTTAGCTGGATAATTGTTAGGAGAAACTTTGTTGTCAACTTATTGTTTGATTGAATACTCAAATGTATGAAATACTGAAGTGGACCACGCAATTAGTAAACAGTCTAACCACTTTAAATATTATATTGATAAAAACATTAGAACTTTTCACAATATTGATGAGATCTGACTTGAAAATTTGATTTCAATGATAATAACCCAAGGATAAATATTTTTAATAAATTGTGTAGTCATGCATATGTTAACTTACGCGACTGTTATACATGCTTCTCGTACAACTGAAGACCTTAAATCACGCAGGGAAAGATCTATGGAATTTTCCAAAGTTTTTAATAAGGGAATAAATTCATCATATTGCAGAGCACCATTGGCAACTATAGCACGTAATGTTTTTAACTGAAGAGAAAGAAATGATAACAGAGTAGATTGCATGGAATTCAAAAATACAAATAGTCAATTAATTGTGATTTAAAATACGCACTAAGAATTTTTGATGAATTTTAGAGTGGTTTACATTACAACCAAGCAAATTCCTAATTTTTATTTGGGGACTGATTGTAACTTAAAATTTTAAGAAGGAATTACAAATTCAGAGGAAATTTGTGTATATAAATGAATTAAGTACAACACTGGGGGATAAATCATACTACATTTTGAGCTATTCATAGAAAAGAGATTAATGGACTTAAAAAGAATGAGCTGCTATAAAATGTTGGGAAACGACTACAAAATTTGTTTTAATTATTGTGAAATTGATATTAATTTGGAATAAAAACTGCCATTATTGAATTTTTAGAATAAGTACGACCCAAAAAGAAGAATAAGGAAACAATTGAAATTACCGCATCTACACGTTTTTCCCATTCTTCAGGATTCCCAGAAAGTGCATCTTTTATACGATTTATGATCTCCGTAAGCTCTTTGGGAGAAGATGCCTACATAAGAAGTAGATAAAATGTATAATCATAGTAGACTTACAGTGATTGACATGGACGGTATAAAGGACTGTCGGAATACATCCTCATCCACGGCGCCAGCACCTAAAAGAGAAATTTCTATAAAAGTATGGCTTCTATAGAGAAAAGTTTGATTGCTTAAAAAAACAAAATAAAATAAATACTAATGGTGTTTTGGAGTGGTAAACAGTGAAACAAAACAAGTAATAGAATGTATAGGTAAACAAAAACAACTAAAACTCTACAAGAGTGAAAGGAAAAACAAAACACAACACAAACCAATACCTGATAGTGTTAATGATGAAGATGATAATCTAGATCGAGATTTACTGATGAAATGCTGAACACTGTTATTTGTCGTATCAAGCTGTTGAAAACCACCATCATAACGACAACTGCCATCAGTATACTGTTTTATGCATATTAGAAGTAATGATTTTGACAAAATGACATGTAAGAGATGACAAAATATATATGAGTGGATATGTGTGCAGAGTGGTGGCAGGGGAGGGGGACTTAATAGGAAATCATGCCAATGAAATGATGTGCAAAAGTGAATGATTTTCTTTAATGAAACAAAAAAATTGTATAGCATGCACAATACAATAAAATTAATGAGGACGTTTTTACGAAAACTACCTTGTGGATCACCGGTGGAACGTTTTCGTACAGATTTTCCACCTGGAGATGGTAGCATGTGTAAGATGGAATGATAATGATTAACCCGAGTCAGAAATTGTTTAGATATTTAATTAAAAAAGGAAAAATCACACAAGTCAGTCAAAGAGTTTTTTATTCGACAAAAATGTGAACTACTCTGAATAGTTTCACACGCTAAAACTGCCAAAAGCAAACTAAGCACTAGATCAGCAAAAACGATATCAACAGAAGAAAAAAGGAAGATACCTGAGACTGAAGTTTTGGATAAAGTTCCAGGTTTGCGTTCGATGCCATCAGCAGCGGAGTTGGACATAGCAGTAGTCACAATAACAGATGGAAACCTGGAAACTAAATCCAAAGATAGCAATAAGACCAATGAGAATAAAGTTAGTGTGATATATCACTGGTGATTTGTTTAATGGATTGGGTAGTCCAGTAAAAATAATAACAATGATACATCAGTTTAAACTATCAGAACTGGTAAACAGGGTAAACGAATACGGGAAATAAGGTTGTATAAGTAGGGAATTCGTTGGTAAATGATGCCACAAAACTTAAGAAAATGAAAAGCAAGAGTAAATAGTGAATGTTTGCTAGTTTAACCTAATAACTATAGTCATCTAAGCTCATTACATTTTACACTAGGTTCTTACTATCTCGCGTAATTTGACAAAGTTTATTTCAATGGGTCTCAAATTAACCTTACATTTCCGATATTTTATGACTTAACTATTGAGGCATTGTTAATCCAATAACGCGTAGTTGAAAGTTCTTTACATCTGTAAAATTAAACGGTAAGGAAATTTGTATTTAGAGGGTAATCTGCAATTTAATCGAAATTTTCCAACCGTGAAGTGATCGAACGAGGACTACTGGTATTATCACTAAACATTATCTCAGTCATATGCAGCGTGGGATTTGAAACATACAAATTGAAGTTGTCACATTATATTAGCACAGTGGGATGAAATTATCAAGACATTTCAGAATAGGAAAAGTAACAGTGTCAGCACTAGCAGAAAAGACAAGGTATAGATAATATGATTCGAGGAGATTGAATTTATGCAACGAAAAGAAGTACATAATAATTTAAGAACTCAAGATCTAAGGGAAGATGAAGAGCGAATGGACTTGAACCATTTTGACTAATTCTGAGCCATGTCATCTAACATCTCTTTTTACCGACTGGTTACGATAATTGCAGAGACCTCAACCAGATGGTAATCATTTTGTCTACATGGGTCAGTTCAACTGTTCAGGGCTTCGTAGACTGATAGAGCGGTAGCTTAGTGGTTTAAGCATCCGACTTCTGACAGTCATGTCCGAAACCCACCGAACCTACGTCGGTTTGAAAAACCGGATAGTTTCAATCGTCGGTTCATTTAGTGTGGCTCATACTCAAGTGACTGGTGAACGGGTTTATTATTTATTATAATTTTAGTTTTATAAACTGATGCCACAAGCTTTCTTTCAGCTTATATCAGACATCGCCCTTTCCTGCACCAAGCCATCGATGGACTCAAATAGACCATATTGCCATCAGTCATCGTTGGAGTGGCTTGACAGAAGGCTGTCGATCTTTCTGGAGTGCATGTTTAGACTCGGATCATGCGTTAATACGAGCAAGCATTTGTTTGCGCCTCATTGGACACAGAAAAGCCACACTAAGAAGACATCAGAATTGAACTCGGTGACGAGAAAGCCAAAAGCAGATTTCAGAAACTGAGATCATTTTTGGATAATTCTGAAAACGAGGCTGACCTAGACGTTGCTTGGAAAGATGTACAAACAGCAGCAACATGTTCGTGATTTGAACCAAAGGGTCACGAAAAACCAGTATATTTCTACTAAGTCTATTGCGCTGATAGATTCTCGTAAACTCATCCTATCAGGCTCTGAACATGATGAAGAGCGTAAACAAATCAGATCCAGGTTAACCAAAAGTTTAAGGAATGATCGTGGGCAGTGGTGGGCAACGAAAGCAATAGATAGAAAAGGCAGCGACTGTAAGTAACAGAGGGCAGCCATTCAGACTAATAAAAGAAACTGGGACCAAGAAGTCAAGTGTGAGACGATCTCGGAAAAAGATGACACAGCCCAGACGTTTGAAACGATGGGCAGAATACTTTAGGAGGCAGTTCCGTTGGCCTTCAGCTACTATACAACCACTCTCCATTCCCAAACAGCCTGGATGGAACATTGAAGTAGGTCCCCCCGACTCTAGTTAAAGTTCAAAAAGCTATAGATAATCTGAAATGAGGAAAAGCAGCTGGCCCAGATAGGTTGCCTCCAGAGGTCTTTAAGGATGGTGGTTCAGGTTTAGCGATTAGGTTGACTAATATTTCAACTAAAATCTGGGAACTGCATGTAATCCCATCTGTCTGGTCACAATCACTGGTAATTCCAATATAAGAAGAGATCAAAATCGTCCTGTGATAACGATAGAGGACTAAGTTTGACTAACATAGCATCTAAAATACTATCCCCAATAATTATCAGATGCCTAACAAAGACTCGTGAACTGCAAACACGAAAAAATCAGGATGGCTTCAGACCTGATCGTGGCTGCATCGACCGCATATTCACCATTCGTCAGGTTTTAGAAAACAGGCATGCTTATCGGCGTCCGATAATGATAGTTTTCCTAAACTTGAAAGCAGCATTTGACTCTGTAAACCTAGAGGTTCTGTGAGTGTTTCATAAGTACATAAACCATGTGAAGGCTCTACTCGAACACTACTAGTTGAGTGAGAGCTTATGGCGAACTGTCATCTGATTTTGCAACCTTAAGTGATGTCGTTCAAGGCTGTCCACTACCTTCATTTTCATTCAACATCATAGACTTACTGGTGGAAATAACGTTCTCGTCGACTGAATTCTCGGGCATTGATCTCCTACCAGGACGTTCACTTACCGACTTAGAATACGCAGATGATATAGCCCTGTATGGGGATGCTGATGAAATGAAGTCTTTTGATAGCACTGAGCAACAATGCCAGGATGTTTGGGATGCGTTCCTCCCCTCTAAATGCAAGTTGTTGCTTCAGGACTGGCCTGCATCAACTCCTGAACTAAGGATAGGCAGTGAAGTAGTTGGACGCGTCGACAACTTCACTTATCTTGGAAGCCTGACCGGCCCTAGTGGGTTAGTGCTTGACGAAATCTCTGCACGGATTCAGAAAGGTCGTCTGGCTTCTGACAACTTACGTCACCTATGGCGAAGGCGAGATATCTGTCCATCAATTAAGGGACGAGTATATTGAGCAGCAGTTTGTTCTGCTCTACCTTACGTCTGCGAAACGTGGCCATTAAGAATAGAAGATACTCGTAAGATACTAGTATTTGATCACAGATGTCTTAGAAATATTGCTCGTATCTGCTGGGATCACCCAGTAAGTAATAGTGAGGTTAGACATAGGGTATTAGGGAGTGATGGTGAATCAGTTGATGAGGTTGTGAACCTACATCGACTGAGATGGTTGGGCCACGTGTTACGTATGCCTGAACACCGATTATCACGACGTGCAATGCTAACCGGTGTTGGAGATGGTTGGAAGAAAGTTACCAAACAAAAATGTGGCATCAGTGCTTGAAATCAATAACTTCTAATCTGAGCCGTGTTGGGAGATGCAGACTACTTGGTTGGGGTCCGCGCGACTATCGTAACCAGTGGTTGGAGACTCTTCGTGACATGGCTCAGAATCGATCATACTCGCGTAGGTGTATGCACTCTTTGTCTGCTCTTAAACTAAGATTAAAATTACTTTATACCTTTATATGAACTAATTCTTTCTTCCTGTATTATATCCGTATACACAATCTTTTTTTAATATATTACTACCATTGAAGTGACTATTTCTATTAATTTGGTGCTCATCTTGCTGTGCTAATGAGGTGTGGCAACTTGGACCGATGCATATATATGCCTGGTCCTACGTTGTAGCTGACTGACTGAGACATCGCCCGTCGAGGTAGGAGGTAGTTAGGCATATGTAATACGTGTCCTAACCACTTCAGGTAATGAATATTCAATACCTTATCATTAAACGATTTCCCATCTTTAACTAGCACCCTATGCCTAGCCTAAACATTGTTTACTTAGTCAATCAATCACGACGTAGAACCTGGTACGTACATACATCAGTCCTAGTTATCACACCCCATTAGCGCAGACATGAAATTGTCAGGTCAAATCCCAGAGTAGTGGGAGTGGTAACAGTATGAATGGTGATTGAAAAGATGAGACATCAAAGGTATGATACAAGAAAATATAAATTACTGAAATAAACACAAAAGGTTATGAGGAATTCGAGAGCTCAGAATTTGGGACGGACCAATAACGAGGGGCTGGTGACAGTAGCTAGGTACTAAACTATTATTACGTAAGTTTCAACCGATAACTTGGTTTGGCCTGAATTATTGGAACTTAGCATAACTAGTCCTATAAAGGGGATAGAGCTATTTATTTTGGAACTAGATAGATTTGTATTTACAATACAATAACTAAACTGATTTAGGACACAAATAAACAGATATACTGACTAGCAAACATAAAACTGGGTATGAATATCATTTCTCTTTGATAAATAACTCAGGAATATAGTAGGTAAACGAAAACAACTAAGTGAACTGAAATAGATCAATGCCGAACGATTGATAAATAAGCAAGAAATAATAAATCTTAAGAGTAGGTAAAATCGAGCACAATTGTACAAATGCCAATATTATTGATGCTATCCTTAATCGGAGAGTAAATGGAGTATGATCTGAACCAGAAAACTGCAAGTCAATAGGTCATACGCAACGTAGAACCAGGAATATGTGTACAGGGGTTCAAATCGTTATTTTAAGATATTAAAAAACCACTCCACACATATCTACTGCTGAAAACCAGAATGCTGAGGAGAGTTCTCCACAAACATTTGATAAATTATCTGCCTTGACTCCAAGACATTTAGAACAGTAGCCTAACGATCGCAGCAATTGACAGATTCAGGAATTGCTTTGATTATTAGCGCAGTTGTACCAGCCTTCAAATAGTATGGTTCATATCCAAGTATATAAACCTGTACTTAAAGCTATATCGAGTTTAGTCGATTACGAGACTGTGTAGTGAAGCTAAAAAAAAAACAGTTACATTGGGAATAGGTTGGACTAGTTATGAGGCAAGTCAGAAAGGATGGAGATAAATCTATTACGGACGCATATTTGGTTACACTAAATTGATTCCTTCCATTTTATTTTGAGCATATTGATAAATCACTAGGAACCTCGTGTAAAAATTGGAAAGGGTCAAGAACATACGAGCCGGATTTTGTTTCGGAAACTTTTTGTCCTACGAAGTCTTTCAAGTGAATGTGTTGTCCGGACAATGTACGGTCGGTACATGTATTTTTCTTTACGCAACCTTTACTGAGTTGTCAGCAACTCTCTCTTCCAGATCTGTACACACGCTGCTGTGTATACCACCTATGCACACAACGCCGATTCAGGACGCAATCCTGTTAAAGTTGGAAGTCGCAAATCTATCTGAAACTTTTCGTTGTTAGTGAAAGGTGCACCTTTCACTAATGCTACTTTTATGTAACCCATGGGTTACATAAACAGCACTTTTCGAGTCCATATCATTTTCCCTGGAAATAATTAGATCGTTAGCCAATTTTAACACTGGAAAGCACTTATAGAAGGTACCTTTAGGATTCTAAACATGAGTCCGTTATTCAAAAGTGAATTTGTGTTACAGAAACAATATTTCACTAGATTAACCAAGTATGATCAATACAAGACCAGCCACGGGTTCGGATATTTGGTTTGACAGATAAGTCAACAAATGTGTGAAAATAAAGTTTATAAAACTACCATTTAAGGACTTCATATGTAAAAAAATAACAGCAATACCTACTTTGACTACCACACAGTTAATAACGTAAAGATACGCGGGAGAGTTAAAAATGGTCACCAATGTGTCATTTGATCAAATAATTGAACATTGAATCTATATTATCTGGATAACATACTCCTTCGCGATATTTCAAATAACATTATCTCTCACTACTATGCTATTATTAACTTCCCCATCTATTACATATGTCAAAGAGCTTTGTACAAATGTTTACTCTGAATCTGATCTGAATTTGAACCATTTGTACTTGAATGTACTGTTCCTCCAAACTTCATTCACTACTTCTCTTATTCGTCTTCATGATATAATTCTGATTTAGATGTCCATCAATCCTGCCTAAACAAGCGTATGTTCACTGGTTACCTTATTATTTGGCATTTGGCGGTTTTCGAGGTTTTCATATTTCAAATTACATTATGGTTATATTCCCTAACATAAATTATCAATGTAACACCAGATTTATAGGGGTTTTATGCCTTAAATTCTTAATTAATAAGGATATCTTCAACAGAATCTATGTGTTCACAACCAACCCCATATCAGCCTTATCGAAATACAGTACAAACATTCATATAGTATCAGAATGGGTTTTGTGGAGATTTTAGAAATTTCACAGATTGAAATCATGAGTCAGTTGAAGCTAGACCACCATTGAAAACCTGGAAGCACTGGACGGCCGTTTCGTCCTAGTATGGGACTCCTCAGCAGATCGTGGATCGTGGATGCGCACTGCTGATGAGTCCCATACTAGGACGAAACGGCCGTCCAGTGCTTCCAGGTTTTCAATGGTGGTCTAGCTTCAACTGACTCATGATTTCAATCTGTGAAATTCATATGGTACATTAGCGGCATACTTTTCGTCATCGATATTTTGCATATTAATACCCTTCATGCGGGTAGTGCTGAAGAACTTTAGCACGTACACTTAATATTGTAATGGGTTCAGTGAGTTCAGGTAAGGAGACAACTACTTACTAGTTGAAAGTTTCTACTTCTCAGTTCAACACAAGCAGTTAGCCAAGTTTAGTAAAAAGGAATTTAACCAATTTGTAATTCCTTTTGAGTATAATCTGACGATTTACTCCGGTGGTCACTTCAGCCGCACAATGTCATGTTTTATGGTAATGGTGCATAATAAAGAAAACAACAATATATCTAGAGACGGCCACTAAGGCAGACTTACCAGTTCAGATGTTTGGTAATATTCAACCAACTACATTTCTCACACGAAGCTTGGTAGGACCTAGAACTGTGATTTATACTTATTGACTTATCTATGTTACTTGACAAATTACCTTGATATATTGTAGTTGTTTGGTCATGATGTGACACTTAATCCGAATGATCTTAGTTCAGTCATTGTATATCCATGCTGGCCTTATCATGACAGACAGTATTACACCAAAAAAAGTTGTTTGGTGGCTAGCGATGGAAACCAACTTATGTAAATTGGGCTGAGAAACTATTTTGTAATGACTTTTTGAAGAACAAACGCAAGCTTACAGATGGAATTAATGCTTCCTATCAGGACAGTAGATTTATGAGGTGATTGCGTTTGCCAAAAAGTCTCGATAATCATCCCAAGTTGATATTTATTGATTCCCAATGTTTTTCGTCCGCAATTCAGCGTCTAGTATGAATTTTATGAGTTAGTATACATTCGTTTTGAGATACCATGTAGTAAGACATCGGTTATACACCACTGTCAACACATTTTTGCAGATCAGCTATTTCGAAAAGAAAAAGGTTCACTAGCTTTGCTTTTGTTGTCAGTGCACCATCTTGTTGTAGTCAAGGTGAAACTGAAGCTAAAGAAGCACCGGACAACTGGACAAGCCACATCAAGGAGGTTCATTACAATCTTTCTTCGAGGTACTGTCAAACTCAACGAATTCAAGATAACTCTCAACAACAGGTTTCAAGCCTTACAAACTAGTTGGAGGACAATTGAAAAGTGGTCAAAGAAGCACTAACATCATTATATCACGAGGTGCTGGGCCGCAAGAAGCATCGTCATAAGGGATGGGTCTTTACCGAAACCCTGGAAAAAACTCGAGAAAGAAAGAACAAGAAGACAGTAACTAACAGCAGTCGAACAAAAAAAGTCAAGTCACAAGCTGAATACACTGAATCAAACAAGCAAGAAAAAAAGCATCTGAACCGACAAGCAGAAATATGTAAAGGAACTAGCAACGACAGCAGGAAAAGCTGAAACAGGTGGAAATATCAAACAACTATATGATACATCAAAGAAATTGGGGGGAAAATGTAACTAATCACAGAGAACGTTCAAGGACAAATTAGGCTAGGAAGTCACTGAGAGTTGAGGACTGAGGAACATAAGGATAGAATAATTCGAGGAACTCTTGGATTGACCAGCTCCATTGAATCCACCGGACACCGGTGTAGCACGTACAGACCTTATTATTAATGTCACTCCACCAACGATGGAAAATATCATGATGGCCATTAGATAAATCAAGGGCGGGAAAGCGGCAGAACCTGAAAATATACCAGCTGAAGCAATAAAGTCAGACAAAGAAATAACTTACAAATGCCAAAAGATTGGAAAGATGAGCACCTTATCAGGATACCAAATAAAGGGAGTTTGAGCAAATATGAGAACTACAATGGAATCGCACTACTATGGGTACCAGGAAATGTTTTCAGCAGAGTGTTGTTGAACAGCATGAAAGGTTCAGTAGACTCCCAATTTTGAGGTCAACAGATCAGGGTTCTTAAGGATCAGTGATGTACGGACCAAATCGTGACACTGTGAATCATTATTGAGCAACCGGTTGAATAGAATTCGTCAACATACATAAGTTTCCTTGACTATGAGAAAGCGTTTGATAGTGTGGGTAAGGGAACTTTATTGAACGTTCTTCAATACTATAGAGTGGGTATGTAGAATTATGGCCTAGTATGATATTAGTACTGCTCTATTAATAGATCTAATCCCAAAATGATAGATTTGTCATGATGTAACTATCTAATCCATAAAATCTTAAGTGGAAGTCACATCATTGTCTACACTGACTCATCGTATCCTAACAATTACTAATATGTGATGGAGAACAAGCTTAGGCTAGAGATAGAACAATATATTTAATATGAGTAAGAGATATAAAGTAACATTCAACAGGGACCATGTCCAAAAGGCCGAGCCATGCCAGCCGACCAACTCGAATTTATTCAATTCACTCTTCCCGCATTCTCCGTCGTTGGGTTCTTCTCCGCGTTAAATACTGAATATCTAGTTTCCCAGTTGTCTGGTGTTCGGCTTTAAGGATTGTTGGTTAGGACTCAATGCCACTACAAGTAGCTGAGAGGATCGTCAACATCATCAGGGATTTACACGACGGGTTATTCTGCAAAGTGGTGCATGGAGGACAGCTGACAGACGCATTTGAAGTGAAGACTAGAATCAGACAAGGCTACTTACTTTTCCCTTCTCCATTTCTTTTGGTGGTTGGTTGTATTATGAGGACCTCCACATCTGATGGGAAGCAGAGAATACTATGATCGAATTGGATGAAACCGGACGATTTGAACTTTGAAGATGGTCTTGCTCTTCTATCCCATACACTTGAAAGAATGCAGGTGAAGAAAGTCAGGGCAACAGCAGCCCCTGCAATAGAGGCTATTGGAAACAACTAGAAAGAAGAACCCGTGACAGAGTTAGTCGGAGAACACTAGTGGATGACCTACGTGTCCTGGTGTAACAAGCGTAAGTAAAGGCCGCAACTGAATAAGTTAAGCAAGCTCCTTAATAGTGAAAATGTAATCCAAATTTAATTAATAAATGGATAATTTCACAGAAACTAACGTCTAAATTAAAAGTTTTTACCTTCGTCCTAAAAACCCTCTGCCTAAATTAAACGCGACTATATTAATTTGACATGCATACTGTGAACCAATAAATGTTGTAATTTGTAGATCATGCCTGTAAAAATGGCGTGTACCTGCCTTTGAAGAAATATATTATATCTATATCTGTTAAAAATAGTCTGAAGTTCTCAACAGAGCCTAAGAGTGGCTGGTAACTCCAGTGTAAGACACTTCACACTCTTACCTAACGTCTAGTAAATAAATAGAACTCATTCGTTTTACTTGGTGTTCGTAATATTACATAGTCTAAAACTATGAGCTAAATACATAGCAACTTACCATCTCCTTAACAACCTAAGCCAACCCATCTAGTGACGCATTAGGCTTATATTAGCGTGCCTCTGTAGTATCAATAGTCTCGAAGCAAGCTTAACTTTGCTAATTTAAAGAACTCAGTCACTTATCAACTTTGCGTATTTCAGCACGACTTAAACTTTGAAAATATTTGTTGTTCTTTATTATTGTCGTTGTAGGTTGCTTAACACTCTACCAGACTGTAAGTCATGTTTTTAAGCACACCGACAAATAAAACATTCCTTGATTTACTATTCTCGCTATTATACTAATTTCGTTACAGTTGGTACTAGTTTGTGATGAAGGTCGTAACCGTAATTTTTTACTCTGATTTCCAGTCCTAACTCTTCTCCACTATGCGTAATTCATAACGTTATTTTAAGCTCAGTGTGGGTTCAATATTTTGCGAGGTTCTACCTAGGGTCATTCATCGTTGTTCATAGGCTCTTGCCCCTATTCGTAGGCCAATTCAGAATGATGTTTGCTTGCTTAACCTCAAAGTTGCATTCTCTGTATGAAACAATTCGGCGTGGATTTAATTCATTCACTCGTAGTAAATTCTCAGTTTTGTTGATGGGACTAATATTCCGTTGGTTATTTAGTATATAATAAAATTTCGTTGAATTGATTCGAGGCAATCATGTCATATCAACCGGCAATAAAACAAGTCATTGCTCCACGTGAGGTTTTAGCAATCCTTAATCTGACTCTGATCTGAAAGAACGAATGGATATACCATGAACGTAAATCCGTTTGCACGACAGCGGTCATGAAAGGCCAAATACGGGCTGAGTTGAATGAATTTGTTTCAGGCAGACACCAAGAATTAGGAAAAGGATAGCACGAAGAAGGCCAGCGTATCAACTTCATTCGATTAACTGTTATTTATATTCAGACGAAAAGAAGCTGAATCCGTGT